TATGGTGAAGATATCATCAATTAGCACATGTGCTAGCTAGCGCACTGATTTTGACATGGTGTCATTAGCCCAATTTTCAATATTTCTGCGTTTTTCTGCATCACAACAACTTATCTTAGTCCATAGATCATATGTACGAAGTTTGAAGTTGATTCGACGAAAAATGACGAATAGGTGATTAAAACTAAGTTTTGCATTTTTTGCGATCTAGCAAAAAATCTAGTTAGGCGGAAATGGGCGTGGCCAATACAAAAAAGATGGGGAATCATTCAAGGATCATGTACATATAAAGTTTTTGACTGTAGGACCTACGGTTTGGGAGCTAGTAGCTGAAACGTGTTGACCTCCGCAATAGCGCCACCTAGGTGACGCGGGGTCCAAATTTTCGAATCTGAGTAGCGGTCAGGATTTTCTATCAGACTGCCATGTCAGATTTTCCCTGGCAATTTCAGGCTCTTGCGCCCATATACTTTTAGCGGAGAAGAATAATAATAAATAATAAATAATAAATAATAAATAATAAATAATGAAAAATCCGTAGAAAAACAATAGGGTTCCCTGCCCTTTGGGCTTGGAACCCTAATAATAAATAATAAATAATAAATAATGAAAAATCCGTAGAAAAACAATAGGGTTCCCTGCCCTTTGGGCTTGGAACCCTAATAAATAATGAAAAATCCGTAGAAAAACAATAGGGTTCCCTGCCCTTTGGGCTTGGAACCCTAACAATAAAAAGTACCAACATCCAGTGTGGCCCTTAGGCAAGACCCTTGGTGCTAATGGCCTACCTCATACCATGATGAGGGCAACCAAGATGAATGAGACGCCGGCTCAGGCGTCGCCCAGCCAAACAAGGTCTGGGCCAAACAGGGTGCTGGGAAACCAGAGCACCCTGATGAAAATTGGGCTACTGGAGCAAGACGGAAATGGGTGAGATACAAGAACCTGGATCTGTTGGAATGCCACTACTCCAGTAACCCTAGTCAGAGGGGTTACATGCAGAGAATGTGGGAGGAATGGTTACTTCAGAACCCGCACTCAACACTAACAGCCAAACAACTAGTAGCTCAGTGTTCCAACATCCACAAACAACAACTGCTATCACAACGTGAGATTGACGGGATACAACACAAATGCTACAGCAAGGGAGAGCCAGGACACTAGGTCAGAGGGAAGTTAGCACTAGCCTCCTGACAGGCAATTTTAGATTTATCCCATATTACCTTAAAGGACGACACACAGAGAGAGAGAGAGATTATTTGTAATGTCCATGAATCGTCATGCGAGAGCTGGGCGCAGAAACCCCTCCATTGAGCTAACCAGCCCCCCTCTGTTCCTGCGGAAAGCCTTCAGGTCACCAGCTCTGCATCCCCAGCATCTCCACCAAAATGTTAAGTAATTACATGTGGGGTAATATTTAATCTCCATAACCCTGGAACCTGAAATAACACACATGACAATAAGGGAGACATTTTACCCTGAGTCCCCAAAATAATGGAGAGTTAACGCAGGGAAAAACCTCCTCCGAGGCTTTCCCCCGTCACTCCCAAGTCTCCTCAGTTTCCCAGGGGCTTTATTCAGCAAAAGGATGGGGGAGAAGGCGGGCCTTCTCAGGTTACAGAGGTACAGTTTTCAGTTGGAAACCCACAATCAACATCCTTGCTCAACCTTTCATGAACAGCAACAGTTGGCAAAAACAGAGATTCATGATGTGTTAATAACACAAAATGGGCATCTTTTAGGCCTCAAAAAGGTACAATTATAAAAATACCCAACACCTCCCATCCAGGGATTGGGTACAAAGCCCCAATAAGTGAAACAATGCTGAACAAGGCAGCAACTGACCTGAGAGATAAGACAATGGTGCGAATAAACACCAGGCAACCCCAACGCCAACTATAACAGCTGAGTGAAGTACCATCAGAAATCCTTGAAAATGTGAATTCCTTCAGCCACCATCACTGAAAACAATGAGCTGATATACACTTCAGCAACAGTGATCCTTGAGGTACTTGGCTATCAGAGCAAGAGACACCATGAGAGACAATACCCACCATGGAAAAGAAGGTTGGAGGCCAAAATCAAGGCAGCACGGAAAGAAGTGAACCAACTGTCAGAGCTCCAGAAAGGTACAATGAGAAAACCAGGACCCAAGAGCTACAGCCAGAAACCCACACATGAAGCACTGGAAACTGCCAAATCAAGGCTCCAAGCCTTGGCCAGCCATCTAAAGAGATACTACGAGAGAAAGGGAAGCCAGACGAACAAACCGGTTCTTCTCAACCCAACCAGCTAAAGTGTACTTTCAGTGGCAGGGTAATAATAACAACAGAGAAGACCCACTAAGGCTGGAGACTGAACAGTACTGGAAGGGCATTTGGGAGAAGGAGGCATCACACAACAGCAATGCAAAGTGGCTAGCCTCTCTAAGAGAAGACCACAGCAACCTCTCGGGGCAGAACCCAGTATCCATCACTGTGGCAGACATCTAGCAAAGAGCCTCAGGTCTGAAGAACTGGACAGCTCCAGGACCCGACATGACCCACGCCTACTGGCTTAAGAAGCTCACTGCATTCGATGAGTCCCTGGCAGCACAAATGAACCAGCTGCTAAAGGATGGGACTTGAATGCCTATCTGAAGGGTGCACAATCCTGATAATGAAGAACCCCTCCAAGGGTACAATCCCATCCAACTACTGGCCAATAACCTTCTCTCCACAACATGGAAGTTCATGTCAGGCATCATAGCAACTAAGTTAAGTGGGCACATGGATCAATACATGTGCAACACAGAAGGGAATCGGCAGCGATACCAGAGGAGCCAAACACCAGCTGCTGATAGATCGAACAGTTGCCCAAGACTGCAAAGATCGACATACCAACCTGTGCACCGCCTGGATTGATTACAAGAAAGCCTACGACTCAATGCCGTACTCGTGGATCATTGAATGCTTTGACGTCAACAGGACTCTGACAGCCTTTGTTGCAAACTCAATGGGGCAGTGGAAAACCACCCTTGAGGCCAGTTGCATGCCAGTTGCACAAGTCTCCATCAAATGTGGCACATACCAAGGAGACGCCCTGTCCCCATTGCTGTTCTGCATAGGCCTGAACCCCTTAATCAAACAATCAACGAGACTGGCCATGGATACCGACTCAAGAATGGAACCACAATCAGCCACCTCCTCTACGACACAAAGCTGTACGCCAAGAGTGAGCGAGACATCGACTTACTAAGGTATGGACTTACCATCAGGATCTACAGCACTGATATTGGAATGTCATTCGGACTTGAGAAGTGTGGTCGGATGGTGGCAAAGAAAGGTAAGGTGGTTCACACAGAAGGGGTCTCACTCCCAGAAGAAACAATAGCGGACATTGAGGACAGCTACAAGTACCTTGGTATCCTACAAGCAAATGGCAACCTCAATGAAGCTGCAAGGAAAGGAGCCACAGCCAAATACCTACAAGGAGTAAGGCAAGTCCTAAGAAGTCAGCTCACTGGCAAGAACAAGATCTGGGCAATAAACAGCTACACCCTGCCAGTAATCAGATATCCTGCAGGAATAATAAGCTGGCAAAGGAAGAAATAAAGACCACAGATGTTAAGACACAGAAGCTCCTAACTATGCCTGGAGGGTTCCATCCCAAATCCAGCACCCTGAGACTGTACACTAGCTGTAAGTGAGGAGGCTGATGACTAGTGAGTGTGAGAGCCACTGTCCAGGACGAAAAACCTAAGATGTATAAGTACATCAAGGAAAAGGCCCCAACAGATGATGTGGTCAGTGATGGTCTCAGAAAATGGAGAACAGAGGAGGAGACACTGGAAATACCATTGTGGAAGTACAAACCCCTACATGGGATGTACCACAAACAGATAACTGAAGTGGCTGATATCAAGACATCCTAACAAGGGCTGACGAACAGCACAGAGGCAATCATCATGGCTCCACAGGAACAGGCCCTGAACACCAGAGCAACTGAGGCCAAGATCTACCACACCAGACAAGACCCAAGGTGTAGGCTATGCAAAGAAGTCCCTGAGACAATCCACCTCATGAATGCAGGGAAAGCATACATGGAACGCCACAACCAAGTGGCGTGCATCGTGTACAGAAACATCTGTGCAGAGTACGGACTGGAAGCACCAAGGTCAAAGTGGGTAACACCCCCTAAGGTGGTAGAGAACAAGAGAGCCAAACTCCTGTGGCATTTCCAGATCCAGACTGACAAAACGATGATGGTGAACCAACCGGACATTGTGGTGGTGGACAAAGAACAAAGGACGGCTGTAATACCAATGCCCTATACACTGGCACTACTGGTTGCTGTTGCAGGTGGTGGTCTTTACGTGTGTTTAAAAGAATTGCAGCTTGTGTTTATTTCCGATTATGTTTATTATTTCGTCTTGTTCCAAAATGTCCATGATCCATTTACAGCAGTTAAAGTGGGTTTCAGTGAATACGTTACTTGCTCCAATGACAGTCCGCAGAGTCCTTTACACACAGCCACAGTCCTCGCCACACATTAAAAAACTGTTTGTCCCATCCAGCAACACCTGAGTCCAATCTGTGTTGGCTTAAGTAGGCTGGTGCTTCCACAAGCAATTAACCAATAACATGAGGCAAAGCCTCCTCTCATGTGCGCAAAAAGAAATGACACGTATGGCTCCTACAACGGCCATTGTGCTTAGCAATACCAAGTGATGGCAACATCAGGAAAAAGGAACACGAGAAACTAGAGAAGTACCAGGGACTCAAAGAAGAACTTGAGAAAGCCTGGAGAGTGAAGACATTGGTGGTGCACAGAAACCTTAAGCTCCCAGGCCACTGGTAGAGGACCTGAGCTTGGAAGGATGAGACCACTCGAGGAGGGTGAGATGGGAATTTTTTTAATATAAATCCCATCTTTGTCTTTTACTCACATGTCACACCTTTAAGAAAACCAGATCAACTACAACTGCAGGACCTCTATCAACAATTTGAGAAAAGACTAACCTGTGCAGGTGTTTCCAGAGTGTATATGTGTTCTCCTTGTACATTATAGAACTTAACAAGAGCGTTCCTCATGATGGATGCACAGGCAGTCTCAGCAGAGAGTCCGTGTCTCTCCATGCCGGCCACGGCCAAAAGGTCTCCCTGGGAGCACCACTGAGCTTCTACATCTGCAGAAACAAATCAGTAAAAATATTTGAATCTTTACATGATTAGAAACTATTTATTAGCTAACATAAGCATGTAGTAGGACTCTGGGCTTCTACCTTTTAGACCTGAACGAATTATAGCAGGAGAGAGGTCGTCATAGTTGTTCATCAAACTGATATCTCCTGATAAGAAGGTCACTGTCAGCAAAGGCTTGACTCTCCGCACTTTTAAAAGGATATAAAAACATGTTTAAATGGTTTTTACTTGGGAAACATAATTAACTTGGGCAGGTGAGCAGAAGAGGGAGTGTTTGCACCTAAAGGCAGAATGTTGTCATCCGAGTCCGTATCGCTCTCCATGCTGTCCTCAACCAGGAAATCAGGACAATTCCAGGACATGCTCACAATCCCATCAGACTCGTGCAGCAGCACGTGAGCAAGCATCCGTCCATGGCAGTCCATCACTATTACCTGTCCATCTGCTGTTCCAAACAAGACCTGGGGGACAACAAACATTCACTTTTAACTCATGACCAAATACATTTGCTCTCTTCAGGCTTTAGAGACTTTCCTGAAACATCAGATTCAGTGTGGGTTTGTTCCACTTCCGGTCTGAGTGGTTTGTTTTTGTTTTGTTATACCTGCTGATCATCAGGTGTCCAGATGCCACAGGTGATTTGACTCTCCAGATTGATCTCAGATGACCAGTGGCGCTGACCGCTGACCGAGCCCACTAACACAAAGCCGTCCCTGTACGCAATCAGGGCTTGAGTGCCGTCATGTGACCAAGTGAAGTCACTGACCTGGAGGGATGCCATACACAGAGTTCTCACAGCTGACTTAAATTAAAGTAGTTGTCCTTTTGCACAAAAAAACTTTCAAATTGAATCATGCATGATAGGAGCTGTGTGATGTTAGTAACCTAAAATGTTTTAGTTTTTCTTTTTTATGTGAGGACACACACACACAAACACACACACACACACATATATATATATACATATACATATATACACATATGTATATATATATCGGTGTGTCTGATATCAATAAAAAAATATTAAGCATCCCTAGTCTCAACCACCCTAAAGAAGTCTGAATTCATGTAAGTATATCAGAAACATCAAAAATGTCTATACAAGATAACGGGACTGTCACTGCTGTTGACCTTTGTTAAACTTTTACATGCCTACCTGGGCTCCTCTGTCATTCACCAGCTCCACAGACCATCTTCCTTCATACTGGATCCAAACAAAAATACCTCCTTCCATATCGCAGGTGGCCAACTTCTGAAAGGGTTCATTCCAGCGTACCAAGACAACCTGCAAAGACAAATAAATATAACGATCTCAGTCATCATTTATCAAAAGCACAGGTGGCTGTCTGCTCTGTAAAACTCTGTAATGTCCTGCATAACAAAGCAAGGATAAAGAAAAGTCATTCTAGGCAGAATGTGCTTTAAACAGCCAACGCAGCAGGAAGGGAAGTCAGCATTTAAATAATTAAGAGCTAAACAAATGTTCTATTAACAATGATCAAAGTCATCTCTATAAATAAAAGGGATAACATATTTTTGTGTTCATTTCTAGCTTCAAATTTGCAACACTTTTGCTTAAATATCATCTAAATAACATTTAATTATAGCTCAAAGGTGAAAGGAGAAATGTGTGTGCATGCATGCGTGTGTGTGTGTGCGTGTGTGTGTACATGTGTTCATACCTGCATGTGTGTGTGTGTGTGTGCATGCATGCATATTTGTGTGTGTACATGTGTTCATACCTGCATGTGTGTGTGTGTGTGTGTGCATGCATGCATATTTGTGTGTGTGTACATGTGTTCATACCTGCATGTGTGTGTGTGTGTGTGTGTGTGTGTACATGGGTTCATAACTGCATGTATGCATGCGCATGTTCATGTACATGTGTACATGTGTGCATGTCTATGTGTGTGAGTGTGTGCATGCATGTGTGTGTGTGGGGGGGGGTGGTGTATGCATACCTGTGTTCATGCGTGCATGTCTGTGTGTGTGTGTGTGTGCATGCATGCGTGTGTGTACGTGTGTTCATGCATGTGTGTCTGTGTGCGTGGGTCTGTGTCCAAGTGTGCATGCGTGCATGCGTCAGTTAGTGTGTGCATATGTCTGTGTGTGTGTGCATGCATGCATATTTGTGTGTGTGTACAAGTGTTCATACCTGCATGTGTGTGTGTGTGTGTGTGCATGCATGCATGTGTTTGTGTGTGCATGCATGCATATTTGTGTGTGTACATGTGTTCATACCTGCATGTGTGTGTGTGTGTGTGTGTGTGTGTACATGGGTTCATAACTGCATGTATGCATGCGCATGTTCATGTACATGTGTACATGTGCGCATGTCTATGTGTGTGAGTGTGTGCATGCATGTGTGTGTGTGTCAAGTGTTCATGGATGTGTGTGTGTGGGGGGGGGGTGTATGCATGTACCTGTGTTCATGCGTGCATGTCTGTGTGTGTGTGTGTGTGTGCATGCATGCGTGTGTGTACGTGTGTTCATGCATGTGTGTCTGTGTGCGTGGGTCTGTGTGTCCAAGTGTGCATGTGTACATGCGTCAGTGAGTGTGTGCATATGTCTGTGTGTGTGCAATGTGTGCATGCATGCGTATGTGTGTGTGTGCATGTGTGCATGCATCCGTGACGGTGTGTGTGTGTTTCTGTAGCAAAGATCACTGAAGTTTTGTTTTACATCAAATATACAAAAGTTCTCAGGAGGATCATGGGAGCCAAAGGCTCACTGCTCAGGGCCACACCTCACTGTTGTGTCCTCTCAAGTTAAAGTTGATTCTCTGTGGTGTACTTCTGTCCCTCCTGCAGTGACTTGATGTAAATGTCACCCCGACAACCCCTCTGGCGTTCCCCGTGGCGAGCCAGCCCTCCTCGTAGTAGCGTCTCCGGCACACCGGCTTGTCCTTCTCACTCTTGGGGATGCGGCCCTTCCACGAGAGGCAGAGGATGTTGGAGTCGCTGCAGAGGATGGGACCATGTTCCACGGCGGCCAACATCCCTACTGACTGACCAGGCTGGCAGAGCAAAACACAATTAATCTGCGCGTTAGAGCTGTTACCGTGACCTCGAAGTGGAACTTAATAATGTACATTTTCGGTTTGTGTTGGTGTGTGACTCTACATTTACTCAAAACTGCCTTTTCAGGGGAAGCTCGGGATATTTTGGTATGTACACTGTTGCTATTTTCATGGTCAGCGGGGAGTGGGGCTGCAGTAAAACATGAAAAAGTTTGCATCGACAGTTATTTATAGACCAAGGAAACAATCGCTGGCAGAAAAATCTCTGCACAAAGTCCAAGCTGTTCGTCATATTCAGAATAAACTTTGATTTTTGAACATTTAAAGTGACTTGCAATGCAATCGAACACATTTCATTGCCAGAGTTTTGGAAAAGCTGATCACTGAGAAGCATAGCGTAGTATTTTTAGTGTGGCAGCTGAATAGACCTTGTGGTGAGATTCTTCTATCACAAAGAAACAAATCTCTTAAACTGAAGGCTCTAGGGCAGCAAATGCACTCCTAACCTTTCTGTCAGATTAGAGAATGAAATCATGAGGTTTCACATTTAACATCTAAGAAATCCAACTGAAGGACTTCCATCTGAGAGAGCAGTGAATCACCAAATGTGCCAGTTGCAGCTGCTCAAAATGTTCTCGCTGTACTTCTATTATTCACTGTCCGTGGAGCAGCTCCAGGTTTAATCTTTGGATTACATCACCACTACCTTAGTTGCACACATTCCCAAACTGAGCAAGAGGAGTTCAGATGACAAAATTAAATCTAAATCTGACACACACAGTTTTAGACCCTTTCGGGTGGCAGTTTTGTCCTTTTACTTCCCAATTTGCTACAAAATCATTATTTCAGGAGCAACATTTTTCTTAATTCTTGTAAGAGTGTCGGCTCTCAATCAGTTTCTGTGCGTATCACTCTGTGGTATTAATGTAACATCTCAAATAAAATGTCAGAAGATAAAAATAACTCAAGTATTAATGCAGCAAATGAAAAATACCTCATAGCTCCTGGACATGTTGAGTCAAAAAGCCTCCAATAAAGGTGTCCATGTTTCTATGTGGATGATGCACTGAAGGTAGATGGCTCAGCTCTTTCAGAATCAGTTCATAGGGAGGTGAAATGCATCGTGCACTCTGGCGGTGTCCAGCTCTTCATTTATTTATCCATCTATTCATTCGTTCATCCTTTCAAGTCTTCAGAGTTTTCCATGAGAGGATGTGACATATCTTCAGTGCCAATCATCCGTCCCATATCGTCCTGATGAGGCCCTGGGTCATGATGCAGTGGAGAAGAAGGCGTAATAAATATATGCAACAAGTCAGGAAATATGACAGAGCAGAAAAAAAAACCCCGAGAAACAACAGCCGTGTCATTCAGAGCATCAGCGTTGTTATTCGCAGTGTTTCTCAGTCTCTATGCAACACTGCATTAGAGACCCTAGTCTCCATGGGTACTGATACTGATTCAGCACCGCGCGCGCACACACACGCACGCACACACGCACGCACACACACACACACACACACACACAGGCACACACACACACAGAGTATCACAATTTTTGCATCCATATCTGAACATTATTTTAATGCCACTGTAATAATCAGAAGGTTGTTAATCATATTTTACCTCTTCGTCTGGTACATATGAAGTAAAATAGAGATGATCACCTTTTACATCAGTAGCGTTCTTATCCAGAGGCGTCTCAGTTACCGCATCCAGCTGTCTGAGGGAGAGCTGATACTGCCGCGACAGCGCGGGGAAATAAAGACGTGATGGTGATATTAAACACACGGACACGGAGCTGCGACCTACCTGACACCGATGTGTGAAAACGTTTCTGACCGGAGGTGGTGCTCGCTCGGTGATCGGTGCCGTAGTGTTGCCAGGCGCGTCTCCTTTGGCGCACTTCGGGTTGAGGCGTTAAAGCGGGTTGCCATGAGGCAGGTAGCACGGAAAACGGATCACGAACCGCAAGGGAAGGTAGAACAAACGCAATAAGGAACAAATGACCAACAGCTAGTGTTTCGTTGAATCCCATTTTACGTGTGATTCAGAAGAGACTGTTAGAGAGAGCAAACACTTTAGATCGCTGCTGTATTTACTGATTTAACCGAAACGGGGGTTTGTTTCATTAGTGGCAACCCTGTAACGCAAACCCAATCTTCACAATGTAAGTTGAACTTTACAAAAGACCTTGATTTGATGCAGCAGATGACCTCGAGTCTCCAGCCACCTCTGCAGAGTTATTAATGAGGTAATAACAGACTCCATATACACCACACAACGCATTCTAAATTCAGAAATATACTTTATTTGCTATCTTTACACGAATCACTTAAAAACACCATCTATAGGCAATCCCTTCAGACAAAAATCACGTTTTTCTAAAAGCATCTCAAATTTCAAAAATTGGAAATTGTGTCAGTTTTTCTTTAAATTGCAGCTCATTTTAAATGAATATGATGTGTTTGCTAAGAAAATGCAGTCAAAGGTTGTGGGAAAACACACAAACTTTACAGAAACTCAGATGGGAGGTGCACGTGACATGAAACATATGTGAAATGTATTCTGCACACGGGAAAATTCTGATTTGGACATTTCTTCCTGGTAATAATGTGTGAAAAAATAAATCCCTAATAAAATCTATGGGGCGACAAATAAAAGCCAGAGAAAGTCCAGTGTGACATCCATATGATTACACATGAAATGTATTAAAAGTCCTAATTTATGAAATTACACGTGAGACTTGTATGGGTTAACGTTTTTCCACTTGTGAAAACGTGTATTTTTTGTTTCATTTCTGTTTACAGAAAGCAAGTTTCACATATATGCATATATGTGAAACTTGTACTTCCATGTAAATAAATGAAATTATATACTTCCACATTTCTTCCACATTCTCATCATGCGTTAGTCACATTTGAAACCTATTTTAATTACCTTCAAGTGTTTTCTGTGGCTCCAGAGTTACATGTCTTCACATGTGTTTTTAAGCTTTAATCATGGATTTAATGCACATTTTAAAATGAGTAAATCTGTTTGAAATGTTGTGTAACATTTCTACTCCGTCTTTTCTATTAAATAATACACGTGTTTTAAATCATTTGCATGCATTCAGATCATTATGTACATTTTGTACAAAGGCCTTATGTTCTTTGGAGTTTGACAACAGCTTTGTTCACATTTGCAGAAGGCCTGTGATGTTTTATAGGGACTTTTACTTTGAAATTTACACTTTGATTTGTGCTGTTGACAGTTTTAGGTGCGAGTCTCCTCAAAGGCATGGATGACCGTGTCATACGCTGGAGGTGGTGTGTGTGAGGGGAAGAATCCTTTAAGCCCATTGCTGCCCAACCAGAAGGAGTGTCTCTTGTTTGGGACGAGGGACGCTGAATCAGAGGAGTCTGAAGCCACGGTGTCCTCCGACATGGCTACCTGTGTGTCACTCGCCAGATCCAGACTAGGTCTGCTTTTCTTGGGCAGTGGGCGAAATGTGGACGTCTCTGAGGAGGGTTTACTCCCTAAAGGACCCACGGGCTCTAACGACGGTTGTCTGTAAACGCTCAGGAAAGTGCTCCGATAAAGGCCCAGCTGGCTGCTCATGGGGTCTCGGGTCTGCGAAGAGCCAGATTTCTTTTTGGAGCGCCTGGTGATCCTGGCTGTAGCCCGGCGCCTCGACGCCCAAGTCAGCAGAACGTAAACGAAGGTGCCCAGCAGCAGGCCCACAAGCACAGATAAACAGAAGGCCAGAATCATGCCACCTGGAAAAGGAAAACATCAATACCTAGTCTCAGAAGGGGAAGCAGAGACAGCTAAAATGGAAAATGTAAGCAGAGAGGGAGGAGGGAGCTACGCAAATGTGGGAATAATTTTAGCAGCTGGTGTTTTCAGCTTCTCAGCAAGTTAGAAAAGAACTACACATCACAAAGGAAACATAAACCCGAGTTCTGCCAGGTTTATTTTGCTCCAGTGTATTGATTTATTTCTGCTGCAACAGTTTTACATAAAGTCTTATATCACACCTGGTATGTGGGTTTGTGAGATATCACCATGTAGAATAACACACTGACAGGGTAAAACCTGCAACACATCAAACATAACTCTGGCTTTTAGCAGCTGACTGCAAGATTACCTTTCTTAGATTAGGATAGACTATAAATAAAAGCTGATTCCAGAAAATAAAGATATATTTCTGTATTCTGCAGCACTTGTTCGCAGTAGAATGCTTCTTTTTTTAAACAATAATTAAACATTTATGAATTGCTTAACATTGTTACAAAGCGGTAACAAGCATTTATAGATTGTGTTTCAATTAGTTTGATTATCTTTCACAACAAAAGTGTCCCTGCAGATGGTTTGCATTGGATAAGTTAGGATGCACTTACCAACATTAGTTGATTTCAATATTTCCAAAAAGAGATTTGTTTCATTATGTGCCATTTTCCCACCATCAGCCTGTAGTAAGTTTAGCACTGTCTCATACGAAGAATGAGCTTTTTCCCAAGACAGGCGTTTAGCCCCTGCAGTGTTCTCTGTGGCGGAAACTTTGCTGTCATGCTTCCTTCCCCCTCTGGCTTTAAAATTAGCGAATGCACTCCTTATCTGCATGGAACATAACGCTGGGAAGCAGGGTTGTTTCCTTTTGCATCATTTCCTCAGGATCAATACCTGTTAACAAAATGCCTCACTGGCATGTTTTCATCATAGGACCCATGTCCTATGATGAAAAAGATAGTTAAACTATAGGACTCATATGTTGTTGCAGGAATTACTTGATCCATATAAACATGAATCCTTATTCCTGCTGAGGAATCCAGTCTTGGAATGTTTTCAAGTGTCTTGACAACATTCTGAATAAGCAAACCCATAAAACTCAACAATCCAATAGTGGGTCTGCAGAGTATCAGGCTATGAGTCTCTGCAGGGATTTCCTTCAATTGTTGCTGTGCTCCCTGTTCACTCCAGCTCTCAGGCGGATCACACTGAAAACACGTCCTTTACAAAAAAAATTACATAAAGACAAATTTAAAACTTCCAAACTCTTTTCATATACAGTACCTTTTGTAAATATGTTTGTTATTTTTTTACACCAGCTGAGCAGACCCAAAGAAAGAACTGTCTTGATGGAAGTACATTAGATTACTCTGTAGATGTAGTGTCATAGAAAGTCCAGCAGATGGCAGTATAATCCTTAAAATGAAACGGCAACTCTGGTCTTTTACAGCAGGACGATCTGTTCACAATCACCACTACTGAGGAATAGTGCAAAACATTTTTACATTGATTTGAACTCTTGCAAGACAAGCAAATGTTTTATAGAAAAAAAAATCAAATAATAGTTGAAAACTTTAGTTTGGACAGTGAACTAGACCAAATTCTTGCTTGCCAAGCTACAATATAGTTTAAGGACATTTTTCTTAAACGAATAACTCATTTAGAATACTATTATTCTGTAAACCCTCTCACTAAGTCCACAAAACCCAAATATGGCATATCTGCGGTCAAACTGTAAAAAGAGAGGAATGTACTTGAAGTAGTAAAACCACTGGAATATTTGTTAATTATTGGAAACTATCTCCATTATAAGGTTTCTAACCCAGGATATCTCCACTGACCCTAAATAGGTCTATTTCATTAGGAGTCTGGAAAAGGCTGGTCTCAGAGCTGCTTTGCCTTTTACTGGTACGTGGTAGAACATCAGCAGTCTGCAAAGAGTCCCCTACTGAAAAACACACAGGTGTTACCATCATGGTGCATTTTGGTACAGGTTTAGAAGGTCCAGGATGAGATGCTGATCAGCATCCCATGCTGGACCAGCGGGCCATCACCAAAACACAACATATGCTGTTTCTTTTTGGCAGGGTTGTTGGGTCTGCTAAAATAAACGATGCATTCCCACTTTTAAAGCATATCTCTATCGTTTTTGAGGAAGAACAAAAGTGAAAAGTTATTTGAACTCTCCAGAAAGCAGCAACACTGAGGGAAGGATGCTGTGTTCCACAAATAATTAAACTTTTAGTCCAAATTAAGCGAACAGGAAGCAGACTCGACGTTTCCGACCCCACCTCTTGCCATCTCTCTGTGGTTAGAGTTGTAGGTCGCTGCCGGACGCCACCATGTTTCAGTGTCAGCGTTACCAATGGCAACCGGGCAACACAGACACGCGCAACCACTTCCTCTGTGAAGTTGGCCACGCTCTGCAGTGCGCAAAGAAGTGTTGAGATAAAGAGCCAACCTGCGCTTATTGGAGTCACTTCCATCATTTACCTGGTCTAGTTCTGAACCTGTAAGTACCGGGGATGTTATTTTGGGGAGAACGGGTGCAGTCACGGGTCCAATTCGGGCTGGTTTGTAACTTCCTCTCGTTGTCAGCAGGCTTTGGTAAAACCACGAAAACGGTGTTAGCTAAACTTAAAATTAGCTCATTAAACTAGCTAATAGCTAACGTCTGAAGTCAGAGCCGTTGGTTGGGATCATGACACCTGTCCTTTTTACCTCATTCCACAATTTATATTTCATTTTTATAAATTGAAAAACAATTTTAATTATATATATATATATATATATATATATATATATATATATATATATATATATATATATATATATATATATATATATATATATATAACTTAAACACACACACACACACACACACACACACACACACACACACACGTATATGTGTGTATTTTATAAATGTTACTTTTTTAATTTTAGCTTGCAGAGCGTTTTCTTCTCTGGGTTAACTTTCTGCAACATTGTGTCAATGTGTGGCTTCCTGTCTGTCACTGCTGGACCAGTTCGACAAACTGGGAGCAGCTTTCTCATTAAGCAGAACAACACACGAGTCTTTGCTTATGATGAAAGGTTTCAACAAGTTTCTCTTTTACTTAAATGGTAGTCATCATGCTAGATGAGTGATAGATAAAGATGAACCTATTCTGGTTCTGAGGGCCAATGCCGATTTCTGATTTTTGGGCATTTAGCTGATTATGATTTATTAAAAGTAGCAACAAGTAACAAAATAAATATTTTACAAATGCATATATATATATATATATATATATATATATATATATATATATATATCCATCCATCCATTTTCATCCGCTTATCCGGAGTCGGGTCGCGGGGGCAGTAGCCTAAGGCGAGAGGCCCAGACTTCCCTCTCCCCAGCCACTTGGGCCAGCTCCTCTGGGGGAATCCCAAGGCGTTCCCTGGCTAGGTGAGATACATAGTCCCTCCACCGTGTCCTGGGTCTACCTTTAGGTCTCCTCCAGGTTGGACGTGCCCGGAAAACCTTACCAGGGAGGTGTCCAGGAGGCATCCTGACCAGATGCCCGAGCCACCTCAACTGGCTCCTCTCGATGTGGAGGAGAAGCGGGTCTACTTCGAGCCCCCGAAGAATGTCCGAGCTTCTCACCCTATCTCTAAGGGAAAGCCCAGCCGCTCTGCGGAGAAAACTCATTTCGGCCACTTGTATCCGCGATCTCGTTCTTTTGGTCACTACCCAAAGCTCATGACCATAGGTGAGGGTAGGAACGTAGATCGACCAGTAAATTGAGAACTTTGCCTTCTGAATCAGCTCTGTCTTCACCACGACAGACCGGTACAACTCCCGCATCACTGCAGATGCAGCACCAATCCGCCTATCGATCTCACGCTCCAGTTTTCCCTCACTCGTGAACAAGACCCCGAGATATTTAAACTTCTCCACTTGGGGCAGGACCTCATCCCTGACCCGGAGAAGGCATTTGTAGGCGCCTGTAGTTATACTGGGTAAAGTTTACATGCCAATTATACCTCCATCAGTCAGTCGGTAAAAAGCAATTGTGTGTGTGTGTGTGTGTTAGTTGTGCTTTTTAAAAACAATTATATATACATTTTATTTTAATAAACACATTGCCCCAAATAACTCAATAAAACTAACAATAATTTGCTGTAATATCTTGTTTAAATATGTGACTTGTATTAAGATGAAACTTAGAGACATTTCTTAGAATATCAGTTTAAACAACACTTTCTGTCCCTGAAATAAATGAGAGAAATGAGATTATTTCAAAAGTTCACTTTAAGCTAAGAGTGTAGAATAGCTGCCAGACAAACAGGTGGTACATCCACCTAAACCTTTTGTCTCTTCTTGCAGTCTGTGAATGGAAGAAGCCTCTCTGTTGGACAGCAAACCTGCTTGTACCTGCATGAAACCTGAGATTCGATTGGACCTGCTCCTGCAGCGAAACTAGAAAGAGGCAGCGAGAGAGGGAGGGAGGGGCAGTGGGGATGTCCTGCTTCAGACAGCTGTGAGGACTCGCTCTCTTTCTTGGCATCAGTGACCCGTCTTGTGATACAACCGCAACAAGAAAGCATGGCTTCTTCCAGGCATCTTGGTCGGACGTCTGTGGACATAGCTAATGTGATGCAGAAGCTGCAGGGTAAGTGTCACTCTTGCTTTTCAGGCTCACAGACCAAACATCTTCTCCTCCTGTGCTGCTGCACAGTAAAATTGTGCTGAATCAAGGTCTGGCTCTTTGCCAACCCGAAGTTTTCCAACATATGCAAGGCAGGATGCTCACACACATGCATTCATGCACACCAACCGACTCACAAACTGTCACATATTACAGTAAAAATTCTTAAATGCAACACTGCAGACCGGATTTGTGCAATTGAGTACTTTATAGAACATAAAAACGTGGGTACATGGACAATCATTTTTAATTTGAAGGTGTACAATTCTGAAATAATATATCATTTAAGCTAATACAAAACATTTTCTGCTGAAATATTTTACAATGTTTATCGTGAGACTCATGATCTCAGCACAAGTTTCAGAGATAGATTTTTGTAGTGATAAGGTCGGATGGGGAGAAATGTGCTTTCCTACATGATCAAATTTTAATTTTTAGCAGGTTAATTTCCTTTTTTAGTAGACCGATAATCACGTGAACAATTTATCTGCTCAGAAGCATGAGACAAGATACAGTTTCAACAAACGTGCCTATATGAAGCACAGACGATGCACTGAATGAGACTAAAAGCTGACACCGTTTGTGCCCTTGGCAGCAAAAAAATCAATAGCAAGAATGCTTTTTTTCCCTCTTGAGTCCCTGTTTTATTACAAGAATGTTAGGCCACAGCCTTCGCTACAGCACTGATCATTTCTGTCGTGTAGAAAGTCTATATTTGAAAGCACAGAATACCTGGAAATTGATCAGAGTGGCATGTTACCATAACTACTGTTACGACACATTTGTGGTTGTGCCAGTTCAGCCCAGTTCCTGCTGCAGAGAGACGGTGTTTCCTGTGCAAGATCACTGGTGTGCATATTAATACCAGCTTAATACTAAGTAGATCTCCTTTTAATGAAGAAGGGTTAACAAAAACTACTTGTCCTTGGTTTGACCAGTGTCAGTATATTAGGTGAACTTTAGATGACAAGCAGACAAGTTAGCTGGAGCCTTTTCACTGGTATATAAAACAGATTTGTGTCATTAAAAGCGTAATTTGGAGAAAGTTGCTGCAGGCTTACTTGGACTTGAGCAATCCTGGGTTTGTAGTTGGGTAGATTTGTGAACATTAGCAACATCTGTCTTGTTCAGACCCAAATGAAGCTGATGTAGGGTTCATTTAAGGTCTGTCTTTAGCCTGCTGGAGTGCAGCCTCTTTTTGTGGGAGGTTCTTGCGGTTTTCCGACTAGTTGAGTCAAACGTGTCAAACAGGATATGAGGAAATACACTTAGTGGCATGCTTGAGAGGAGGTTGTAGTCTCCTCCCACAATCAAATCGGAGTTGATTTCTGTAGGTTTCTTTTCTTTGTGATTTACAATACAAATAAGCAAATACAAAGTGAGTAAAGTACAGTAATTCACTTAAAAGTATCTGGTAATCATTTAGAGTTTAGTTTTCAGTATCAATAAAAATAACAAATCACTGAATGGGCTGGCGTTTTTGCATTTTTGTCCAAGGATTAGGGGATTGATATAAAACTGCTTTTGTTTCTCAAGATGAAATAATTAAACACAATTAGATAAATGCAGTAAAAGATGTTAACAGTTCCTGAGACATATAGTTTATTTGAAGCCATAAACAGAATCCTGAACTTCTGATTATTTGAAACACTCAGATTTGATGAAGTTCAGTCATCTAAAGGATCTCTGCATTTTCTTTGGTCCCATTTATTTTCTCCTCTTAGTTTTTGAATACCAGATTTAAGTGTTGCTTATTCAGCAAGTTATAAATTTTCCATGTTGGTGTCTCACAAATAACTGGCTTGAGTCCAGCCATAAAATCACTTCCTGGCCTGCTTGATGGTTCCCAGCCTGTCAGAGTTAAACTATGGCTGTTCTCAACTAAATGGAACAACGGAGTGAGTGGGCTTTTACGGAGCTCCCTGGTGACCATCTCAGGCCTATCAAACCATGCACCTACCCCTCACACTGCCAAGGATATCATCTGTCCTGAGATCACCTCAAGTACTTGATTACTTATGTGAATTGTAGATGCTTCAGTGGTGTGTCATGATGCATCATGTTTGTTGTTGGAGTTTTCCACTTGTAACTGCAGCTCACCAGGCCTTGTTAAATCGGTTGACTTAGACATAAGGATGTATTATGTGGCAGCTGTTCTGCTGTTCTACACACATTTCAAAGTCTATTTCTGGTTAGATGTTGTCATAAAATCTTATTCCACAAAATAAACCATCCAACTGAGTTCAGGACTCTGGACAGTTCATCAACCGGCTTCCTGGTGTACGCTGCTGCAACATCTGGAAACTGTCAAGCTGAAATGAACAAACTACTTTTTATGTACATTCTTTACATTCAGACATATAAAAAGGTTTAACCTCAAAACTCAGCAATGCCAACTCTTCAGGGATTTTCATTGAAAACCTGGCCAAAGTTATAATCCTACTTACGGGATTTAATACTTTAAAGCTGTTATAGAGAATCTGCAAATCAGCTATATTTTCAACACAAACGCAGTTACAGAACACTCACCCCTCCCCTCAGGTATCTTTCCTGCATCCGTGTCCACCAGAACCAGAAACCCAATGTCAGAGGAAATGAGAGAGCACTAAACACTGTTTTCTAATGTCTTTGGTTGTTTGTAACTTCATATGGTGTTTTTCTTTTTGGGACTCTGGTAATTTGTCCTAAAGTTGAAGAGGTAGCAGGCATCTGTTCTCCTTTTTTGATATTATTGAGCAGAGATCTCTCTCACCAGTGATGATCTGTTGCTGAATTTGTGAGTGTGTAATGAGTGGAGATCCCAGGAAAGTGCTGCGATTTGATGAAACCGACAACCAGACGGTCCAATGATTGCTTTTGGTTTGAAAGCTTGTTATTAGCGGACGTTTTTAGACAAAAAAAACTATTTTTTTAAATCTTGACAATATAGTATTTAAAGCTATACGATAGTAGAATGTTGTTAAGAGACATGAAAAAAATGTTTTTAGCTAATTTGTTTTCCAAATTTAACAGCTTTAACAATATTAGGAGTGATTTGAATATCATCAATTTTGTTATTAATAAAAACAATCACCATATCCATTTTTGTTAATCCAGAGAAAGGTTGCTTTAGATTCTTCTGTTAAATGGATATTTTAAAATAAGAACCAATTCATAAATCCACCTGTTGGGTTGCAGAACGTGTTTATTGAAAATAAAACCCTAGAGAAACAAAGCTATCAGTATCTGTTAGCATCCAACATTCTCCTTGTAACTGAGTAGTACATTTCTATAATTAATATGTTTATTGTATGTAATACATTTATTCACATATACTCTATTGGGGGAGTCACTAGTACTGAACCTTTGAACTTTGTCTGGTTTCTTTCTGTTTTATCCCTGTGCTTTACAGAGATTTCCATGTTAGGGTAATTGGTAAGTCCTAATTAAGCGTTTGGTGTGCATGCTTGTCTGTGTTTGTGTCTGTGTGGCTGATTTGTTACTTATTTCATGTTTCATTTGGTCTGCAAAGAGGTGAGCTGAAGACAAAGTTGGTATGAGAAATCAGTGGATTAATAACTTTGATTAGATGTTTGAATTATCGCATGGCATCTCCTTGAGTTGACCTGTTGGGACACAAACTGCTGAAGATTCCTTAGATCCTCGGGATCGAAGGTCAGGTTGCTTTGTTTCAGCACATGCTACAAATGATACATTTTAATCATTTGGAGGTTTGTTGCATCATTAAAACCTCATATAAGGTAAATGTAACCAGTCACTCTGAGTTTCACATGCTGGCTAAACGTGAAAATAGTTTTCTACCCCTATTTCCTGAATTAGCCGCTGATAAAAAACTAGATGGGGAAATGCTTGGATTAGAAAAGCCAGTCAGACCTACATCGCACTAACATTCATGGTCTCATCTGTCTCGGCAACAGGGAAGGCAGTTGTTGATTTAGCGTCCCGCAAACAGCATTAGCAACTCCACCACAAAGCAGAACGCCTTCAGGCTTGTTTTATTTGTCAAGAGAAAACATCAACATTGTAAAGCAAACAGAGTCAGGGGTAGAGTCATGCTGCTGTTAGCCAATCAGAGATGACATGTCTGAATATCAGGAAATCTTGTCGTCTTCTACTCCCCTGTTCTCTGGCTTTGTATCCTAAATGCTTCTTGTTAACTGTGTGTGCAGCTGTAAGAATTATGTGAATGGAGCTGCTAACAGTTTGCAGAATGTGAAAAAGAAAACAGCCCTTCTGGGCCAGTTTCTTCAGCTCTCCTCTTGTCTGAGACAGTATAAATAAAATGGCAACCTTGGGATTATTTTTAACGGGAAAAGTTTTTTTTTGTTCTTGTATTTTTCTGGTTTTGTTAGAATCAAATTTTTTTTCTAGCCTGGCCTGCCATACTCCTCCTCTGTTTAATTCTGCACAGGCTATTTTTTTTCTGCATGAGATGAAAATCTATCAGGTCACTTTCTAATGTCCAGATGTTTGTAGTTTAGTAAGTAAAATACCCTGATTAGACCTAAGGTGGTTCTGCTCCGTTATTTACACCATGACACTGTGTTTGCAAAGGGAATCCCAGTGTGGGTGTGTCTGCTGTGTCGTCACAATAGCATTGACCCTGAAATGGAGAGCAGGTGGTCGATGTCTCTCACTTGCTTCAGAATTAATTATGAAAATTAGTTGCACCAGGGTGAGCTCCATGCAGCTCTTTTGGGTCTATAATCAACAGGACCGCTGAGACCTCCTTCAGTTTGTTTTCAACCCCCGACCAGTTTGTTTCTGTCTGGGATTTGATGTTATCAAATGTTTCACTCTCATAGAGGATTAGACGTCTTATAAGCAAGCTAATACACACACTCTCTCTCTCACTCTCTCTCTCTCACACACACACACACACACACACACACAGACACACACACACACACACACACACACACACACACACACACACACACACACACACACACACACACACACACACACACACACACACACACACATACAAACCAAGCTTAAATCGGGATAATGCAGCCATGGCTGTGACATCACCATCCCTCACACTCTGGTTGGTTGAGCTACACTCCTAGCAGAGCTCTCTCCAGCCTCAGATGGTGCGATGAAACAGCGAGGCAGTGCAGCGGGGGCTGTGCACATCCACACAGGCATGGCTCCTCTGGATTGGGAAAACACAGGAAGAAGGAAGGATGAGACTGGAAGTCACCCGCTCTATTAGAGTTTTCTGCTTTACCATCTGTGCTGTGTGTGAGTGTGTGTGTATGTGTGTGTGTATGTGTGTGTGAAAGGGTCAGGGAGGAGGGGACGTTATCATCACAGCCTCCAGCAGCTCTTTTGCTTTCACCGGGGAAACCAGGCAGCCAGATCTGTTTTGCTTCCTACTGGAAAAGAGTGAAAGGACGTCAGTGTTGTTTTTTTTCCACTGTGGATCTAATTTTTGCACACTTATACGTTTATGTATCGTGGAACTCATGAAATGCGAAGGACAAGAGCTAGAGACTGGTGTGTAGAATGGCTCACTTTAAGGATGTGTCTGTCAGAAAGACTTCATTAAATCTGGTGACAGGATTTTTCCAGTATCTGCGTGGTAAGTTGGAAATCAGCACTCTTGATTTATGCTTATGTTTTGTAGGTGAATCCCTGCTTGGGGAACTTATCATGCCTCTCAAACACAGCTCAATGTGTGTTGCATCTGTGTATTTTTATGTATGTACATAACTGTATGTGTGTGTTATGCTTCAGTGGGCATCTCCTGTGCATCAGTGCCTCTGGGTTAATGATGTCTTAGCTCCTTGTGTAGTGTTCGCATTTCTCCCTTAAACACGTGACCACTGTCTATATTTCTGAGGGTGGATGTTTAAAAATGGCCACTCTGTGCGGTGTGCAGCACTAGCCAACCGGCGTGTGTGGCAAGGTGATAGAAACCAGTCTTCAGTCCTGCAACAGCACAGTTGAAGCAAAGTAATGTGTTGCTTTGTTGTAACTGATGCATAATGCATGAAGCATTGTGGATGAATGTATTAATAGACTACAAAGAGGCTGGGGGCGACCTTAACAATCACATTATCATTGAACAGAGATGGAGGGTTGTGAGACATGTTGGCAAAAACTCATTCTCTGATTTCCCCCCATGCCCTCTTTTTGAGAGCACTTGTCTGAATCCTATAATATACTAGCAACAAGCTATGTATGCTAACATGTATCGTGCAGGATTGCTGGAATACATCATGTGACTATACAATCCAAATATAGTACTATTAACCGAGCAAGCCTTAAAAACATCATTTAGAAAGCTGTAGACTGGTGGTAAATGCATTTATTTGTTTTAGTGGATTCAATTTCTTTCTGTACATCAAAATCTACACATAAGGCCTAAACAAGGCCTATACCGCACCACCTTTCAATCCTAGTTAAAAATAAGGTAACATTGTGTTGAGAAATGGTGACATTATTCTTGTTTTAGTCAAACCTTGAAAATGACATTTTGCACAATTCTGCAAAACAGCAGCATTCTTCATGCAATCTATTAGCATTCATTGTGTGTGTTTTAAATCTCTCAGCTATTACCAAACCAAAGATTAGCTCAAAATAATTGACCATGTTTAGTGTTGTATAACGCTGATTATCTGTAGCTTCTATCCTGACCTGAACTAGCCCCAGAGATGAATCAGTTGTAGATGCAGACGTACTCTCATTTGGTTTGATTTGACTTTTTCCACTGGTTGAGATATTTTGTTTCTTCTCCCTAGGAAAATCACTAGGGTTTTGTTTTTGTCCAAAAGTTGAAGCAATCAAGTATCAGCATGTTTTGTGAATTAAGAATAAAACTTTGTGTTTTAAATTTTCAGATGAGCAAGAAGCAGTGCAGAAGAGAACCTTCACAAAATGGATCAATTCTCATCTTGCAAAGGTAAGCGTGACTTTTATATAATATTTTTTTATTTTATTTTATTTTATAACTACAATATCATACAAAGGAATCCTAAATAAGCTGCGCTGTGTTCTTCGTCAGAGGGCCATGTGACATTTAATTCCTCATTATATGAATCTTCTCTGGGGTATTTCAAGCTGCTGATAATGGTTGTTAAGGGAACAGGGACTGAGACATTCGTTTGCCAAAATACTTGGTCAAGATAACTGAATTCATCCAGTTAGCTGTAAATAATGACCGTTTACCCCGATTCATCTTCACTTCAAATCAAATTATCCTTAATAAGCCTCAGTTTATTTGTAATTAAAGTTTGCTGCATCTGATGGTGAAGAAAGATCATTCATTCAAGACAAGATGCTCTTTTTTTATAAGAACTTCTTAAGGATGCGGACGACTGATAGAATGTGGACATGTGGGTGTTTAATGGAGTTATTCAGAGAGTAGTGTGTGTGTTTGTTTGTCGTGAGTGCTCCTGCTGTGTGTGTGTGCGTGCATGTGTGTAGGTATTGAGTATTTGGACAGGACTGGCAGGGACACTAATGGGGTGTGCAGATGGAGAGCGTGAGGGTGAGGACAGCTCCCCGTGGACAGCGTCTGAATTTTATGCACCTTTATAACAAGGCAATGAGTTCCCAAGGCAACACATTGTGATCCCAAAATAACTACAAACACTTCTGAAGTAACAATTTTGTTTCAAAAAGCTAAACTCAGAAATGTTAGTTGGAAGTCTTTAATATAAATATGATCTCTGATAAGTTTGTGTGCATCTCTCATACACCATGACAGTGTCTAGCTCTGGAATCTGGAGAAAAAATAGCTTCACTTGAGTATTTGTTGAGCCTGATTGGTCCACAATAGTTCAAAGCTTTGCTTAAAAAACTTTAGAAGAATCTGAGTTATGTGGTGGGCCAATTCTGACGCTGTGTGGGTCCATTCTTCATTATTCATCTGCTGCACTCAAGCTTACTCATGATGCATACCAATAGGGCTAATGTAGCATAAGCCACATCATGCTAACTGTGCTACACAGTTATATCCAAACAAACTTCTCCTGTTTCACCTCAAGATGAGATATTTTAACTTTTTCCTGTCAGTCACACATATGCATTTCTATTGTCAAAAGTGCAACCTAAGCTTTCATTTCCTACAGCTGTCACATTTTCCTTCCAGTCTTTGGGTTCATTTCCTCTGATGTTTTAAAACCAGCACCTTTTTTCAGCAAGCCTCTTTGTTTTTCCACTGATACGAGTCCTCTAGTGACTCACCTAAATTAAGTTTCCAGGGTGGGTATGACTTTCATCCAACAAAAACTCTTTTGTACTGATATTAGCATTCAGAAAATTGCAATGGAATAAAAACAAAATCTCGTCAGTTAAAATGTTTTAACATAGAACACAAGCCTAGAACGTTTGTCACCAGAAGGAAAAAACATGTTTTCTGGATGTTTAGCTACTCCTGTCTGCTTTGCCCTAAATAAGCAACCAACTGCGCTTCCATCATGCTACATGTGTAGCTGAGAAATGGCTTGCCTGTTGGGCCAAATAACTAAAGAATTCCCACGGGGAACTTGCTTTCTAAATCAAGCTTTACTCCGATAAACAAACAACTGATTTTTGTGAGACAATGGATTATAATCTTGTTCTTCACCATAGAGATTATGTGGCATTGTAAATGTGTGGATATGACACTATCAGGAGCCCGTATCCTGCTTGGGTTAAATGAGTACCTTCGCCTCAGGACCGGGCGCCAAGCCATGGCTGAGAAAAAGGCACCATCTTTTCAGCTGCAGGGAGGCTCTGTGGTCGTTGCTAACAAGACAGTTTCTCACCAGCCCCATTCGGTCCTCCTCATTCCCAGCAATGCACTAGAATACCAATACTCTAGCTCAGTCCAGACTTAACAGTGTCCATGTATTTCTTTTACGCTGCTTGAATTGATATCTGTATGCATTTTTTTTTTAGTTTTTGCAACTGAAAGCGTATTGTTTGTATTCTAGCACAAACCACCTTTCGAGATTAATGACCTTTTTGAGGACATTAAAGATGGGGTGAAGCTCTTGGCCTTGTTGGAGGTGCTGTCTGGCCAAAGACTTGTAAGTAGAATTACTATTTCTTGATTCATTTTTTTATTTTTGCATCAACTTCAGGCCTTAATTGTGTGGGCATTTTGGACAGCTTTGAAATGCTTAAAATTTGTCACGTTGAGCCAGAAGGAGGTTAGGACCCAAGATGCAGAAACCCAGAACGACACAAGTCAGAAGCAAAATCAAAGTAAAATCCTTTATTTAGGAAGAGAGTCCAAAATTCTAAATTCCAAAAAGGCAGGAAGCCAAGCCTAAAGTCAGTAACCTGACTGACAAAAACAAAAAGCTCTTTGATGAGCAAAACCTAGAGTTTCACGATGAGGAACAGAGCAACACTGACAACGACAATGGACCGACAAACACTGAGAGACACAGACAGGGTTACATACACAGGGCTGGGTGATAGGAGACGAGGAGCAGGTGCGTGGGGAATTGGGCACAGGTGAAACTAATGAACTGAGGGAAGAAGCAGAAATAAGCAGGGGAGAAAACCATATCTAAATCCTAAACCAAAGCTACTAAAATAACCTGAACTTTAAACACTGTAGAACTAAGACCAAAGATAAATAAACTAATGATAAGTGAAGTGACTAAAGGGAAACCTGAAGAAGCTGGGGACCACGAGGACACAGAACATTAGAGGACACACGAGGGAACCTGAAGAAGCTGGGGACCACGAGGACACAGAACATTAGAGGACACATGAGGAGGGGGCTGGGGACCACGAGGACACAGAACATTAGAGGACACATGAGGGAACCTGGAGGGGGCTGGGGACCATGAGGACACAGAATCTGAGGGGACACCTGGAGGGAGAACAGGAGAGGGCTGGGACCACAGGGACACAGAACATGACAAGATTATGCTGTCTATGCTTACCGTGTGTTTATTTAAAGAGCAAGTCACCCCCTACAAGAAACTTACTTCACTCCCACTTCATGTTTGAAAAATGCAACAAATGCTGTTGCTTGGCAGACCGAGAGGGTGGAGCCGCTAACAAATACACACACACACAGGCTCACAATGGCACTGTGACATCATAATGTACCAGATGACATCATAGCATACCTCTTAGCCAATAGCGGTGGCAGATTTAAATTCAAATACAGTACAGAATTTTTCCCTGACGACGACGCAACACTGAGTTTTAGGCAGAATATTTGAATTTTAACCAAGATGCACTGAACTGCCAAATTATTGACTACACATGTCTGTAGCACGATTAGACACTCCTTTATATACTTTATCAGCAAAAAAAATGTGATTTGGGGGTGACTTGCTCTTTAAGGGATGAATGAATGGATGATGGATGGGTTCTTAAAATAGTATTTTATAATTATGACATGTTGTTTAAATCAGGATACTTAAACAGCAAATAAATTCTGTCTTTCCAATGATTTTGGGCAACTCTGAAGTATTATTGAGACAAGACCAACAGTTTTGCTTTTATACTTTTATTTACATAACACACATGCAAAGAGACACTAATTGCAGAGTTTGTCCCTTATCCCCCAAGACAATTCCTCCTAACATGCTGTCAAATCCTTGTGCAATCACTGCTTGACTTTAGGTTTGTTACTCAATTGGGGGATGGTCACAAGTTCCTAATAAAAATAAGATCTGGGCCTTTTCCTGGATGTGGACCCTAAGCCACTTATCTGTGACTTTAGCCTTATGGCACAGTGCTCCATCATCCTAAAAAAGCATTCTTTATCATAAAACTGTGCTTGGATAGTTGGGAGGAGTTCCTCTTAGGTACATTTCTTTTGCCATGAGTTGTGATGCTAAACTGTGAGCACAACTGATGACAAAAAAATTCCCACATGGATGTTCTCAGGAATCTAAGACTCTTCTGCCTCAGTGATCAGACCAGTTCATCATAGATGCTCCGTTGTCCAATCACTTTAGCTTTTGCAGAAAATTAGTCTATCTTAGATATTTTCTTGGAGAGAGAAGTAACTTATTTTCATCTCTTCTTGATGCCATATAATCCTCCAAAAGTGTTCTCTTCACTGCATGTTCACATGATTTTATGCAAGCCTCCATCAAAAACTAGACGAGCAAATGTTGTGACCATTATTATTTGTGTCATACTTGAAAACTTTTGCACATTTAACAGCTTATTTTATAAATCTGTAACAATAAATGTGAATAACAGGTTTGCTGTTACACTACATTACAACATTTACACGTCTGATTCCCCTTGCTGTGAGCACCATTCATCATGTGTCCCTGTCTCATTGTTTTTTCCATGACGCTGACACACGCACGCACGCACGCACACGCGCGCGCGCGCACACACACACACACACACACACACACACACACACACACACACACACACACACACACACACACCAAATCACACAGAAACTGACCCAGATTATAAAGGGCAGTCGGTTATCTGCTGAACTGCTACTTGGCAAATTAGTTTGTCACATTTCTAGACAAACACTTCCTGATGCTTTCTCCAAGGATTTTAAAGGGTTTGGAGCTGCCTCTATCTCGACAAATTCAGAGCTCTTTCATAAACGCTGCATTTTTTGCTGTGACATCACCCATTGATGACTAATTTTTGTTGTTTTATTTGGAGGCCTGAAGCTTTGGTTGTTGGAGGTTAGGGTTGGTTTTAGTTGTGCCATTTGAACGTTTCCAGTTGATGAGACTTGTCAACTTAATTTTACAGCCCTGCAGGTTGCTTTTTGATCCCAGCCTTTATTTTTAGCTCACTGTAATACATTTCCTGCAGATGCTTTATGCAAGAAAAGCTCTGCTAATCCTTGCAAGGTGCTTTCACTATAATTTCATGTGATTTTTAGCTAATATAAAAGCCTTGTTTTATTGCCAGACAGATTGGCATAATAAACAAAACGGCCATCTGGAAAAAAGGATTGTGTTTTAGATAATTTACATTTATCGAACAATGGTTCATTGGCCAGTTTCATTTTTAATTTTTGTCCTTGTTTTCTTAAGCCCTGTGAGCAAGGCCGCCAGCTGAAGAGGATACACTGGGTTTCCAACATCGGCACCGCTCTCAAATTCCTTGAAGGCAGAAAGGTAAGCTTGCTCTCACACCAGTTTATGCTTTTGTTGATAACTTTTTGGTTTTGTTATTATGCTTTAGGTGCACAAAGAGAACACTACACTGAAAAGCAATACTGATAAAAGACAAATTAAAATAAGCCAGTTTTCATCATGGACAGCTGAAGAGTGTGTTGTCTTTTAAAGTAACACTAAACAGTTCTCTTTCTTAACATTCGTTTCGATGTCTCACTATGGGATACGCCCCTCCGCGGATTCCTCAGAAGCACTTATCTCAATACGCCAATCCTGATTGGCCAGTGACTGTGACGTACGCATCCCCCTGCTACTATAAGTAGCAAGCGTCCCAACGTACGCACTATTCAATCACCTCTTCTCGCTTCGGTGGTCGCTTATCTCTGAGGTAAGTTAGCTCAACTGTTCACAGACGGAGCCTTCTAATATTCTCTCCGTCGCCGAACGTTAACTTACCGTCCTTCTGTCCTGACCTTCACCATAGGCTCGGGGCATAACGAGCAGCTTCACACTCCAGTGCATCTGTTCGTTCTATGCTAACACACCAGTTAGCCAACATGGAAGCCGCTCCTCCCACCAGAGGAGTCGACGGCGCAGGAGCTCGCCTCTGTACCTGTGGGAACAAAATCTCAAGCAAAGACCCGCACAGGGTCTGCTCGAGCTGCCTCGGGCTGGAACACGCCCAGCTGGCATTGGAAGTCCCCAGGTCATGTGAGAGCTGCGCTTGCTTCACCCTGAAGAGCCTTCGCCGGCGGCTAGCGTTCCAAGCTAGCCTGTCGGGGAAGGACCCTTGCCTGCCGGCCCCTGGGCCACCGCCTGGGGACGCCAGCGAACATGCCCTCCCGGAGCCGGAACCGTGTGCCGAACTCAGCTGGGGCTCACAGCTCGAACTGGCCGGTCCGAGCCACCCCGCCGAGGACGTGTTGGAGTTGGAGTTTCATCATGGACAGCTGAAGAGTGTGTTGCCTTTTATTGTGGGCAGTATAAGGTACACCTGTGCACTACTCATGATGTCAGATCAGCATCTTGATGTGGCACACCTGTGAGGTGGGATGGATTATCTCAGCAAAGCAGAAGTGCTCACAATCACACATTTAGACTGATTTGTGAACAATGTTTGAGAGAAATGGTGATATTGTGTATCTGGAATAAATTTTAGATCTTTAAGTCCATCTCATGAAAAATCGGAGCAGATTCTTCTTTGTTCCTTAAATTGAGCCACGTAGTTTTGCAAGTTCTGCAGCTCACACGTTCAACATGGAGCTCTGCCAGCTGATCGGTTCTTTTGGTAACTAGTGCAGTTCTGGTACTGAGCAGCATGGATGCATCAGTGGATTTCACTGTAGTCTGTGTTCATAATGGATTAAGAAAGGACAGGAAAACATGAACTCAAATATATCATTGTAATGAACATGTATAGATACTTTATCATACATACCTACCAGCCTGTAACTACTTTTCTCCCCAAAAATGCACCAGACTGATGCGTTTAAATATAAAATGTCCAATATTTTTTTTCCAGGGGGGCATGCCCCTGACACCCCGTACTTTAATACTTATCATCTTTTTTACCTCAGAGAAATCTCAACACCCACTCTTTTAAATGCTGTGTATGTGACGGGATATTCCAAAATTTTCAGAAACAAGAATACTGACCTTAAAACCAATCAAAACCCAAATAGTGGCTGCATGGAAACAATGTGAGCCCCCCCCCCCCAACAATAATTTTCAGTCAGATGAGAATTTTTTGCTTCAATCCCTGAGCTAGCACTAACGAGCTAACGCTAACATGAGACAAGTCTTACTAAATAAGCCAAGATCCACGCTGTTGGACAAAAGAAATATTACTTACAAGTCCAGTAGCAACAAAGCCAGGTCGCCATCAGCCCATGATTTCAGAGAACAATTTACTAGTAGAGCATTAACCTATGAAAGCATCCTGTCCATTTATAACATCATGTGTTCAGTGACATTCTTGTTCAATCTGAATTTTACATAAATATAGTGTTGAGAACATTTGCACAGTTCAGATAATTGAACCTTTTAAGTGTTTTGTGTATTTTTTTTAGGTCAAATGAGACTGCCAGTCTTCATTTAGCATTTCTCTGTCATTCTTTGTGTCCTTCCTTTTTTTGTTGTCACTGACAGATGGTTTATGACAAAGTAGCATTTATTTTCTCCCAGAAAGTAGAAAGAACTCATAAAAAAAGCATCTGGCAGAATGTTTGCTGGTGTGAATAAAACACAGCTGTCTGTAAAGCATGCTGTTTGTCCAGAGTGGCAGCAGACAGGACTTCATGATTACATAACACTTTGGCTCTTTGAAGCCTGTGTCCTACTTTTCATCTGTGCTCCCTGAAGACCGCGACTCACATTGTTGTGATCTCTCTCCCATCATGTGCCTTCAGTCTGTGTATCGAGGATCTCCGGTCAGTCACCATTGTGATCACACAGTATGCATTCTTCCCATGTAATGCATGATGGATACTTTGCCACACTTGGACACAGTCATCCTGTTTTTACATTTAGTCTTTATTTGCTTCTACTGGCCTGGATTTTTATGCATTTTGAGTAGAACTACTGGTTTGTCCCTCCCTCTGCAGCTCTGCAGCTCAAACAGATACATACGTGCATCTGCTTGTCTTCCAAGTTATTTTTATGTGGTTGACCTTTCAATGCCATTTCTGCCTTCTACTAATGAAAGTGATTACGGGCATCAAAGACTTGACTTTGATGACTGAATAAATAGACGCTGACATTATTGCTTTGGATTATATTAAACTCAATGGTGGATGAAACAAACTTCATATATTCCGATTGTGAATGGCCTTTAGGATTAATTATTTGATTGACTTTGGTTTCAGATCAAACTTGTCAACATTCATGCCACAGATATTGCAGACGGACGACCATCAATTGTGCTTGGCTTGATATGGACCATTATCCTCTACTTCCAGGTAAACCTTCATCCATTGCACCTAGATGCTACTACAAAACATGCTAGTGTCTTATAATTTAACCTCAATGACTTATATTTTGTTGAATCGAGAGTCAGCCATGATTCCATGGCTGAATAGACTGACTTGAAGAGACATTCCTTTTTCTCCATTCCCTTTTGTTTTCTAACAAGATTGAAGAGCTAACCAGCAACCTGCCAGCCCTACAGGCACTTTCTAACAGCAACTCTTCAGTGGAGAGCATTGCCAGCTCTGGAGCTGGAAGTCCTCCCATGAAGAGGAAGGTGGTTACCAAGTTTCAAGGCAACGCCAAGAAGGCTCTGCTCAGATGGGTGCAGTGCACAGCTGCCAAGTATGCTACATTGAAATAATTTTTGATATCTATCTCACAAGTTTAACTTTTATACAAACTGCATTTCTTACTATTGTTTCTTCCAGGCATTATGGGATTGAGGTCAAGGACTTTGGACCCAGCTGGCGTGATGGTGTGGCGTTCCAAGCGATGGTACACACCATCAGGCCTGACCTGGTGGACATGGACGTGGTGCGGCAGAGAAACAGCAGGGAGAATTTAGAAACCGCTTTTGCACTTGCAGAAAATGAGCTGGGAATTCCCCGTCTACTGGATCCAGAAGGTGTCCTTTTCCTTCTATGATGTGTGCTATAAAGCTGTACCGTGTGGCCAACTATTACAGCTGAAAAACACTGTTTGTCATTGTTTTAGATAAAAGAGCACCAAAGATTAGATTCATGATTTTGTCTAGCCTAGTGCCATTGTAAAACATGTCCTTTAAATATTAATGACACCTTCCTCATTTGAAGTAGCTCAGACTTTTATTTAGTGGCAGCAAAGCAGTCTGCAGTGACTTTGCAGTCCTGGCTGCAGAGCAGAGTCGTGATGCTTTTTACACAAAGAGCTGCAACAAAACATCCGACTTCAAAGAGTTGTGACTCTGGTTTTTAATAACATCAGGCCACCGTTGCGGATAAAAGTAGACAGATATAATTATCTGTCTGCCCTAATAGATTTAACCTCTTGAGGACAATTCTTTCCCTTTTTAATACCAGATGTAACAGCTTTGTCACATAACATGTTGCCTGTTTTTACAGTCAAGTGAAAGTTTCATTTTTAATTGGCAGTGTCATTTGGAAAGCTATATTTTCTTTTGTTGTTCAGCTCAATTAATTTTCAGGACTTATTTTTTTCAAGCAACAGTTCGGATAATATTTGTTCTGCCCTGTAGACGTGGATGTTGACAAGCCAGATGAGAAGTCCATCATGACATATGTGGCTCAGTTTCTCAAGCATTACCCAAACCCTCACCAGTCTGAAGGGGACGGACAGCATCAGGAGGTATTTCTGTGAAATTTAGCTTTTTCACTTTTTAAAACAAAACCAGTACATCGGATTGTTGTCATAGATTTTGTCTCAAATGCATCACTTATATTTTAACTATTTTGAAGTGTATTTCTGTATAGAAGATATAATTAAATACTCTTGCTCACTGTAGTAGGTAGCTTACTGAATGGCCTCCTTTTGGAGTAACATTGTTTACATCAGAGAGGACTAATGAGCTACACGCTAGTTCAAACCATCTAGGACCAAAGAGTTTTTCCGTTGTCTAACAAGGGCAGCAGCATTCTGTTTACAGAACCTGTTATCTACTTAGCATTTGCAAGTTCCAGGGTTGGAGACCAAGTTATTGGTTTTTTTCAACACCTTTGCAGTGGTCTCTAGTATAAATACATGCCTTGTGAGCTACATCTGTGTGAAAAAAGCTCCTGTGCTCCTGTTTTAGGAAATAGAAGTTAGTCGGAGGAGAGGGGAGCAGAACACGGCAGGATTTAGCTAGATTTATTTTCTGATTTTGGACATCTCTCCTCTGATTGGCTAACAGCAACACTACTCTACCACTGTCTCTGTTTGCTCTGGAGCATCAATGTTTTATCTCCACACAAACTTGAAAGAGTTCCGCCATGTTGTGGAGTTGTTAATGGATGGAATGGATGGAATGCCTCACCTGTCAACTCTCCGGCCCGACCCCCACAATAATTGTCACTGTTTATCGTCCCCCCAAGTTCAGCCCTGAGTTTTTAAATGAACTCTCTGCTCTTTTATCCCATCTGTCCGCCCTTTCCCCAAATGTAATTTTACTTGGTGATTTTAATATTCATATGGACAATATGGCCCTCCCCCTCAGCAAAGACTTCTCCTCATCTTTGGACAGCCTCAGTTTTCATCAATATGCCAATTTTCCCACTCACATTAAAGGTCACACCCTGGATTTAATCTGCTGCTCCGGCCTGACCCCCTCCAACTGTACAGCTGACCCGCTCCCTTTCACGGACCACTTCCTCATCTCCTTTTCTGTTCCCCTCCGTCTCTCCATCATCAAGTCACCACGTATCATTTCTTTTTGTAATATTAAGGACATTGATCTAGCCTCCCTGTCCTCCAGTTTTGCCACCTTGACCCCTAATTTGTCCTCTACTCCCGATGATCTTGTCATTCAGTACAATAACGGTCTGGTTTCTATCCTTAATTCATTTGCTCCCATCAAATCCCGCTCTGTATATTTTACTCGGTCTGCTCCATGGTTCACCCCTGCCCTTCGCTCCTTGAAAGCTACCAACCGGAGGCTTGAAAGACTCTACAAGAAAACCGGTCTCACCATCCATAAAGACTTATATTCTGCTCAGATTTCTCTCTACAAGGACTCCATCTCCCATGCCAAATCTCAGTATTACTCCGGTCTCATCTCGTCCAACTCCAGCAACACTAAAACATTATTTTCCATCATAAACAGCATTTTTCAGCCTCCCGACTCCTTACCCATCCATCTTTACTCTTCAGAAACCTGTAACTCTCTCCTTCAGTTTTTTAATGAGAAGGTCAATAGAATCCATCTCTCTTTACCTCATTCCTCCCCTCCCTCTCCTGATTTATTTGAACCCACCATTCCGTTCTCCTCCTTTCAACTTCCCCATCCCTCAGAAATATTAGATTACATCACCAAATCCAAACCTTCCACCTGTCAACTGGACCCTATTCCAACTGTTTTAGTTAAATCGTGCCTTTCTTCTCTGCTCCCTTTTATAACAGCCATTATTCATTCCTCACTATCCTCTGGTACGGTCCCATCCCTATTCAAATCCGCTTCAGTCGGCCCTATTCTAAAAAAAACTGGTTTAGATCCCAATGATTTCAATAACCTCCGTCCCATTTCCCATCTTCCCTTCATTTCCAAAGTCCTTGAGAAAACTGTTGCATCTCAGCTCCATTCACATCTCACCCGCAATAACCTTTATGAACAGTTTCAGTCTGGCTTCCGTCCCCACCACAGCACAGAAACAGCTCTCATCAAGATCACTAACGACCTACTCATTGCTGCTGATTCTGGTTTAATCTCTATTCTTATTCTCCTCGATCTGAGTGCGGCCTTTGACACCATTTCTCATCCCATCCTCCTCAATAGACTCTCTTCCTTAGGCATCACTCACACCCCCCTCAGCTGGTTTCAATCTTACCTTACTGGCCGCACTCAGTTCATCCAGTTAAAATCCTTTACCTCAGAACCCTCCCCAGTCAAGTCAGGTGTGCCCCAGGGCTCTGTCCTGGGGCCCCTCCTCTTCATAGTATATCTCCTCCCTATGGGCAAAATCTTCCGCAAATTCAATATCCAGTTTCACTGCTTTGCAGATGACACCCAGCTCTACATTTCCAGTAAGCCCAACTCAACTCTCCCACCATCCTCCCTTACACTCTGCCTCTCTGAAATCAAATCATGGTTCACCTCTAATTTCCTCAAACTCAACGGCAATAAAACTGAACTTCTTCTTGTTGGCACTAACTCCACCCTCTCAACATCTGACAGCTTTTCTTTAACTATTGACAGCGCCACAGTCTCCCCCTCACCTCACGTCAAGAGTCTGGGTGTCATTCTCGACAGCTCACTTTCTTTTCAGGCTCACATTAATAACTTAATTCGGTCAGCATACTTCCATCTACGTTCCATTAACCGTCTCCGTCCCTCACTGACCCCTCACACTGCCGCCATTCTCGTCCACAGCCTCGTCACCTCCCGTATCGACTATTGCAATTCACTTCTTTATGGTCTTCCCAACAAACTCCTTCATAAACTGCAACTGGTCCAGAATTCAGCAGGCCGTATTATCACCAGAACCCCTTCCTTTCACCACATCACGCCGGTTCTCCAGCAGCTTCACTGGCTCCCAGTTAAATTCAGGTCCATCTTCAAAATTCTCCTCCATACCTTCAAAGCAATCCACAACCTCTCTCCTCCATATATCTCAGACCTTATAAGTATTCACACCCCGTCCCGTTCACTCAGATCTTCTTCTTCCATCCATCTTGCGGTTCCTTCTGCCCGTCTCGCTACCATGGGGAGCAGAGCTTTCAGCCGCTCTGCTCCTCGACTCTGGAACTCACTTCCCCCAGACATCAGGAACGTCGACAGTTTTACCCTTTTCAAAACAAAACTCAAAACACACATGTTTAAATCTGCCTACAACCTCTGATTTTATTGAAATGTTTCTCTCTGTTTTTTCTTCTTTGGGTTTTATTATTGTTTTATTGTATTTTATTACGTGTTTTGTGTAAAGTGACCTTGGGTGTCCTGAAAGGCACTTTTAAATAAAATGTATTATTATTATTATTATTGTTAATGCTAACGGTTAGCTTCTACTAGGCAGAGCGTGCTCTGCTCTCACCTGGACACCAAATCAACAACAGCTTTCCCTGTCGCAAGCCAAGATGGGTGCGTCCATGAATGCTTATTTACACTGTGGCGTCGATCTAACTGGCTTTTCAAGTCCCTGCGTTTTCTTGTCTATTTTGTATCAGCTAATGAAGGAAATAGGGGTGGAAGACTATTTTGACGTTTAGCCTGCATGTGAAACTCAGAGTGACCGATCAGATTTAAAAACTAGCAAGTAAAAAAACGGTTTCTCAATGAACTTGCTCTTTAATAATTTAGGTGAGATAAATACGATATTTGGAACTGAGAGCTCAAGGTGTTTATAAAATAACTTGCACACAAACTACGGATGTTACTTTATTCAGACTATCCACTAGCTCATCAGTCCCGTAGGAGAAAGACTCCTTTTCTCTGAACAGAGGCCACACAGAAAGCTATCTACAGTGGGTAAAATAGTAATTATTTCTAATTTTTATTCAGAAACCCACTTCAAAATGGCCTAATATCTATTTCATACAAGTAGAGAGTGAATATTTACTTGTGATAGTAAATGTTTTATGTTTCCGTCTTTGTGGATTGAACCATTGCTGACATTAGACAGTATATGTTCAATGAAAGCTGCTGTTATAAACCTGAGCCTGCAAATCTTCAAACTTTTGTTTGTTTAATAAATCATTGCATGAAAGCTGCAGTTTCATCATCATCATTCATACCATGAAAGACTTATTTATTTTTTCCATGTACTCATTTTTGTGCGTATAAAGCTGCTTCTTGGCTCTATTCCAACATTTGCATTGTCAGTTCCAGTGCTTCAGGTGAGGGATCAGATCAAACTGCTGCATGATTTTGGTCATCTCCCCTTCTCATTTCCCTTTCCCTCTGCTTCTTTATTCCTCCTTATCTTTTCTAATGCCTTTATGATGTATTTGCATTTCTCTGTGCTCTGTGCCTTGCTGCAATCCTGGATAGTTTGTTCCCCAAGACATTGAGCAGATGCTTGAGGTATGTTCAAACAGAAAAGGGCCCATACCACCTTAAAACCCCATTCTCTTCTACCTTAATTTCTGAAACTAATTAGTTTTAAAATATAGAGGCTGATTTTGTGTATTAATATCTAACCTTTGTGTTCTTATTTTGGAATGCTTCTAAGTGCCAAGTGGACTAGAGCATGCTGTTTAGGATTATAAATTTTCTGGGATTAGGTTGAATCCAAATCTGAGATGTTCTTCTGCTCTTTGTGACAGAGAGAAGAGCGGAAGATGCTGAGAGAGCTGAAGGTGTTTTTAGATCAGCTAGAGAGAGACCTGCTTCGGGCCCAGGCAGCAGAGGGAAGCCTCACGGACAAATACCAGGTGAGTAAGGCTGGAGACAAATAAAAACTCTGTTGTGAGAAAACCCTTTACCAATAAGTGCCCCCCTTTGTTTTACAGGCCTTCAAAAGCTTCCACGTTCAGTATGAAATGAAGACAAAGCAGACAGATCCTCTGCTCCAGCCTGTGCACAAAGATGGCAAACTGTCAGTGGATCAAGCTCTGGTGAAACAGGCCTGGGACCGCGTCTCTGCCCGGGTAAATCAAGCAAACCTCAGGATTAGTTTTACATCATAGTTTTATTTTTCATGCAGCTTTTCTTTGATTTAAAAAACTGGTACACTGCTCATAAAACTGAGAGGAAGACAAGCCAGTGTTCATCGTGAATGCTCAGCGAGGTGTAGGAGGTTGATTGAGTGAGTTCAGAGGGGGAGGAGATGAGCACAGAGCCGGTTTTGTTTAGTAGCCACTCCAGTTCTCCGGACATCTTGTCTAGACCAACACAATTGTCTGTTTTTGCATGATTTTGCTTGTGAACATTTGGAAATGTTGTGATCAGAACAGCCTCTTCCATTGTTTCATGTTTAATTTGTTGAGTATGGGATGTCAATTGCAGCTGCTGGACTGGCACATCCATCTGGACAAGTCTCTGCCTGGACCTCTGGGGGTGATTGGAGCTTGGCTTCACAGAGCAGAAATGGCTCTGAGAGAGGACATCCCTCTCCAGCATGTTCATGAAGAAACTGCCAACATCTTCCGCAGAAAACTGGAGCAGCACAGGGTAAGAGAATATTTGATGTTTAGATACATGCACGGGAAGTTACTGCCAGCATAAGCAGATTTTTGTTTTATGTTGCAGGATGTGTTAAAAAGCCTCGAGTCACACAGACAGACTTTTCAGCAGATCCACAAAGACAGATCAGTCAACGGGGTACCGGTACCACCGGAGCAGCTCCAAGACATGGCAGAACGGTAACACGTGTTGCTCATTTTCTCTTTATCTGCTCAATAAAGAGTGATACTCATTCATATTTGCCCATTTGTTAAAATTTTAGGTTCAACTTTGTGTCTACATCATCCCACTCTCACTTAATTAAACTGGAATTCTGGGAAATGAAGTATCGCTTGATGGCGTTTCTTGTTTTGGCTGAGTCGAAGCTCAAGTCCTGGATCATAAAATATGGCAGACGGGATTCAGTTGAACTTCTGTTGCAGAGTTACCTTGTAAGTTTAAACTAGTGATGTTGTAGCTACACTTTTTGACTAGAGTGGCATCTTTGAAACTGTAATGTTTGCTTTCCTAGACGTTCACTGAAGGCCACAGGTTTTTTGAGCAGTATGAGATCATCTTCACATCCCTCAAGCAATCTGCAGAGGTTTATGTGAAGTCTGACAGTTCAAGTAAGACTCTTCAATTTTATCCCTTATATAAATGTATTTAGTTTTACGTTGAGAAACATGAAACAACTGTTTTGGGGGGCTTTTAGTAAACAGTTGTACTGTCAATCTTATGTTACAGGGTCTAAGACCTGTAACAAGGGTAAGTCTAAAGATGGTCTCTGAAAGCCTGAAATCTGCCTGCTTCTTTAAAGCATTTCTTTCAGCAAATGTAGGTCAGATTTATTTTCAACATTATTTGAACCTGCAGAACTAAACAGTCACGCTGCATTTTGCATGAAGGAGAAACTAGCTGGAATGCTATTTTAGCATGACTTAACTGATCTAACAGACTTTAATACTAAAAGCATTAACACAACCAATCAAACTATTACATGTACAGTAATAGTATGTGTGATTTCAGATTAACTGAGCTGTTTTCACGTCACATTTTCAGTCGATGAAGCAGAAGGTGTGAGCAAATTCCTCACAGATGCCACGGCTCAGTGGAAGAACCTGGCTCTGGAGGTCCGAAGTGTTCGCAGCATGCTGGAGGAGGTGATCTGTAACTGGGAGAAATACAGCAGCACTGTGGCGGCTCTGCAAGCCTGGCTGGAGGATGCAGAGCAAATGCTCAATCAGTCAGAGAATGCCAAACGGGTAAGTTCAATCAGAGCTAACGTTTTAACTCTTTTGAGTCATAGCGTGTGTTTTATGCTCCTGTCTTGTTGTTTTTCCTCCTTCATTCAGGATTTTTTCAGAAATCTCTCCCACTGGATCCAGCAGCACATGGACATGAATGATTCTGGCAATTTTCTCATTGAGACGTGTGACGAAACGGTCTCACGAGATCTCAAGCAGCAGCTTCTGTTGCTGAATGGCAGATGGAGGGAGCTGTTTGTGAAAGTTAAACATGTAAGCTCTCTGATTTATTATTCCCTTAAACGTGTTTCTTGTCGTGAAGCAGCGACGAGATTGTAGAAATAAAAAAGTTAATGATTCCCTGCTTTTTCCTCCTTTATTTGCAGTATGCACGAGCAGATGAAGTAGATAAGTTGAGGCAAGACTATCAAGATGGAATAAATACTTTGAAAATGTTCATGGATGCAACTAATGAGAAGATGACTGCCCCTGTTCAAGTATCTTTCCTAAATGTCAGAGCTTTTGTTCAAGATGTTGAGGTAAACAGCCCCTCCCACCTTTTACCCATCCGCCATAATCTGTCCCTGTTCTGAATCATGTAATTTGATATTTTTGAACTTCTTGTAGGAAATCAAGCACAAGGTTCCAGCGATGGAAGCAGCATGTAAAGCAGCAAGCCGTACAGCTCAGCTGTTGACCAAAGACACGCCACAAGAAGAGATTTCACAAATGATGACTGTGATGGCTTCCATCAAAGAGCAGCTGAGTAAGGTGAGTGTGTTGCCAGGATACAGTGGGATGCAAAATGCTTGTAATATGTAAAAGTGACTTTTATTGTCATTTTCAGCTCACATGGATTATTTTCTAGTAACTGAATGTTTTCTATGCACTTAAAATGACAGCTGTAGAATGTTTTGTCATGTCTGTATCACATTTGTCAAACCAGGTTAGGGAGAGGTGTTTGCCTCTGCTGAGGGAGTCCCAGTCCCTTTTACCTCTGCTAGAGGAAATGGAGAAGAACATCACTGGTTTCTACCAAGCTCTGGAAAAGGCCAGTCAACTTACCAGCAGCCCGGACTCAGAGGGACCAGTGGACTTCAAACAGAAGTGCCAGGTAATCAGTGAAAAAGCTGCAATTTAATATGTTACATGCTCATCCTGGTAAGCAAAAAAGTTTACTCACCTGGGGAGCTCCATTTAAGCAGCAGAAATGTAGAAAAACTAAATTGTATTGCTCACAGACAAAAGCATCTATGAAATATTTATTGTTGTTACGATCTACACAACAGGAACTGGCAACCTACACTCATAGCTGTAAGAAGTGCCTGACTGTGATCGAACGAAACCACCAAACAATCCAAAAAACGATGAGCAGTAGTAACACTCTTCAGCACATGGACATGGGTCTCCTGCAGAAGCGAGTTTTAGACCTGCAGATGTCCTCTCAGGTGATCCTGATCTAAAGCGTCTTCACTGAACTAAAAATGTGTTTCAGTGTTTAAATAAGGACTTGATTTTGTCTTCAGAACATGATTAAAGAATCCACAGAGTGGAGAAAGCATGTGGAGGCAAACAGCAGCCTCATGAAGAGATTTGATGAATCACGGGTGGAGCTGGAGAAGATTCTTAAAATGGCTCAGAACTATCTGACCGAAAAAGGGAACCCTGAGGAGCTGCTAAAGAAACACACAGTAAGAACCGTTTTTATTATTATTTTTTTTTTTAATATGCTTAAAGGCTGCTGGGTAGTGTGTTTCTGTGATGACCATGAAACAGATGTTGTGTGTTTACATTGTCTTAACCTCGTCTGGGAAAACTTAACAAACTTGTTCTGGTTTTAAAGGAATTCTTTGGACAGCTCGATCAGCGGGTCTTAAATACGTTCCTCAAGGCTTGTGATGAGCTGACTGATATTTTACCAGAGCAGGAGCAGCAGTCGCTGCAGGAAACCGTCAGGAAGCTGCATAAACACTGGAAGGTTGGTTAAATTAATCACAGAGATGTTTGTTTATGTGTTTCTGTTTACATGTGTGCATTTGTTTGTAGAGATAGCGGAACAGCTGATGAACCACGGGACAGAATTAAGATGACATTCTCCATCTCATCTTAACATGAAAGGATAAAAGTTCAAATCAGGAGGCAAAATGCATTTAATCAATAAATGCTGGGCCTTTAATCTTTCAAATGGATTACATTTTTACACATATCATATTCCACTAATACATGTTTCATTTATGCACACATAGAGTTTAGTATTATTCAGGCTATGTTTTTATTCCAGTTTTCTTTTTATAGTATGCTTGTCTGATTATACAACCCTGCCAGCTGTAAAGTATAAATATAAATGCAAAGTTTCTTTTAAATCAGGACCTTCAGACAGATGCCCCGTTCCACCTCCTCCACCTGAAAGTGGAAACTGAGAGGAGCAAGATGATGATGTCATTGCAGGAGTGCCAAACAGAGCTGACGCGGGAAAATCGCCACCTGGCCAGCATGGGCAGCGAGAAGCTCATCAAAGAGCACCGGGTTAGCCCAGAGTTTCTGATTAAGCTACATGTTTGAGCCAGCATCAAATCTCTGTCCTCACATGAACTTCTCCTCTGTAAAAATGTCAAACAGACCTTCTTTAGGGAAAAAGGTCCCCAGGCTATGTGTGAGAAAAGACTGCAGGTTATAGAAGAACTCTGTCAGAAACTCCCCGAGGGTGACCCTGCTCATCAGAGTTTGGAAACGGCAAGAAAAGACTTTGCTGAGGTTCAGGAGGAGATCGAGAACACTCATCAGAAGCTGATGCAGCACCCAGATAAATGGAAGGAGTACAACACGAGGTAGAGTGGATTATCGTAGAGCTGGGTCTGTAAAAACGAGCTGCTGCAACAGTAAAGAAGGCTCGTTGTGTTTTCCATCGCTGTGTCACAAGCTCTTAACATACCAAAAGTAATCATATTAGAATATTTTTCTCTTCAGACAGAGGACAGACTAAAAATGACAGTGACTGTTTTCAGATTCATATTTTTTTAGATGCTGTGAATCTGTTTCTGCAGATTAAACAGATTCTTCAGTAATTTAAAGCACTACTATAATATCATATTGAGAGCTGTTTTTGCAAACCTGTTTGTGTTTCTAACGTGGTTTGTTTGTGTGCAGGTATGCTGAACTCTCCTGTTGGCTTATATCCAAAGAAAGCCAACTGAGGCTGCTGAGAAACCGAGCCAATGACCCTAGAAAATACAGCCAGGTGAAGACTACCATCACGGTGAGCTAGTCCCTTGGATTTTTCTTGTGTAATGCAACGCTGACCTGTCAGTGTCACTCCTGAGGTGATCGTGAAGACGTGTTGCATCAAATGGCTGTTAGGTCCAGATGGGTTGAATCACCTTTTGTTCGTGTTTCCAGGAGCTGAGAAATGATGCAGAGCTGCAGGAGGGGAATCTAGGCTGGCTGAAGGCCCGTATGGCTGTCCTGATTGAAATCTGTGCTGACAGCGATGCCCAGAGGCAGGGAAGTACACTGAGCAAGCTCTCTACAGATTTTAAAGGACTTCTGACTTCTCTTTTAGAGGTAAGAGATACCATGCCTTTTTGTTAGGCAACAAAAAATCATTTAGAAACTGTTTCCTTCTGGTAGTTTTCTGTATTTTGCTTAAAAACTTGGACTTTATTGACAGATGTCATTCTAGGATCAACTATGTTGATTTCAAGACACAAATTCATACAATTCAAGCATGTTTAATGTGTCATAGCTTGGGTTTTTATTGTTTCTTGTTTAAGGCTGAGAAGATGGTGCTGGCTGTAGGCGACTGTGTGCAGTTCAGAGAAGAGGTTCAAGCTACTTTAGACGACCTTGTTCAGGGGCAGAAGGAGGCACAGGCAGAGTTCACCAAAATACTGGACTGTTCAACCGCAAGAGAAGCACAACAACTTCTACTGGTTCACCAGGTGTGACACAGACTGAATCCTAATGTACCATTTTGTTTATTTATTCAGAACCAGGGGTCTCATTTAAACATTGCGTAGAATCCTTACTAAAACCGTACTTAAGCTCAGCAAAAAAAAGTACTTACACCAAGTAGGTTTGTGATCTATCAAACATGGAGTACGCACAGCTGCACGCAATCTCCGCTTCATAGATCGGAGACTAACGAGAATGTTTCTCAGCTGCTTTTTAGTCACATCCCGCCCTCACCACGCCCACTTACTGCCATAAATAGTCAGTGCAAAATGCCTTGTGGATCTCATGCATATACATAAGCCGGCTGTTGCAGCGCTCCGCCAACAACATGGCGACCGTAGATCAAGGCAGATCAAGGAAGCGCAATTTCACTGAAGCAGATATTGAGATACCTGTGGGTGAGGCGGAGAAATGAAAGGAAGTGCTTTTGCAAAACATATAAGAGAAAATCCACGGAGTGGCACAGCGTTGCTGAAGCCGTCAATGTTGTGAATTCTTCAGAGAGATCTGTGGCGGATATAAAACAAATGGTCCAATCGGAATTCGATCCCCAGACTCCCGGGTGAAAGTCACGCTCGCTAACCAGTCAGCCAAATGGAGATCCCCCTTGTCCAAGTAGGCAGGGTACATTATCAATCGGGTCACAGTGACTGGACACACACACCGTCACAGACGCATGACATTCTGTCTCAATCTGTCCCCCTGCTGATCTTCTGCATTCCGTATTCTGCGCTTCAGGCTGTGTGTGTGTGTGTGTGTGTGTGTGTGTGTGTGTGTGTGTGTGTGTGTGTGTGTGTGTGTGTGTGTGTGTGTGTGTGTGTGTGTGAGAGAGTGTGCACGCATATGTGTGTACGCGTGCGTGTGGGCGGTCTTGTTCTGTGTGAAAACGAAGCAGCACAAGAAGAAAGAAGAAGAAAAAAGAAAATATCATTTCTATAGCGCCTCTCAAGATAAAAATCATGAGGCACTTCACAAAAACAAAAAATGTTAAAATATAAAAAAGAATTTAGAAAACGGTTAAAAATATATTTTTAATGAGCAAAAAGTAGACAATTGTGATTAAAAATGTTAAGAAAGAGAGAGAGTGAATAGGGAAGAGGGAAATCAGTGGATCCTGAGGAAGGTGGAATAGGTGGGGAGAGCAGAATAAAGAGAGAGTGGTGAAGGTCATACAAAAGCCAGCTTGAACAAGTGAGTCTTCAGCTGCTTTTTAAAGGAGTCCACTGATCTCAGGCTCAGGGGGAGAGAGTTCCAGAGTCTGGGGGCCACAGCAGCAAATGATCTGTCACCTTTGGTCTTTAGCCTGGTGCTGCACAACCAGTAGGCTTTGATCACTGGACCTCAGGGACCTGCTGGGGGTGTAGGGACTGAGAAGATCACCAATGTAAAGATGGTGCTTGTCCACGTAAGGCCCTATAGACCAGAACCAGGATCTTGAAATGAACCTTGAAGTTGACTGGTAGCCAATGAAGCTGGAGGAGAAGCGGGGTGGTGTGGGTGTGTTTGGAGGACTTGGTCAGAAGCCGAGCACAGGCATTCTGAACCACCTGTAGACGGTTCAGGGAGGTTCTGCTCAGACACGTGAAAAGAGAGTTACAGTAGTCTAACGCCGGGGACACACTGGCCGCGGAAGCGCCGCGAAAATGGGACCGCCTTCATTCGGCGCCCTTGTTAAGCTATTCTATAGACCACATGGGCCGCCGAAGTGCCGCGAATCGCCTCGCGCCGGCCCGCGCCGGCGCTCCAGCCCGCGCCATGCAGCGATCATTTCGGCGTTGGCTCTATTTTTTTCGCGAGCCGCGAGTGAATCGCGTCAATTCTGGCAGGAAGTCAAACCTAGACATGAGGCAGGCCGGTAAAGTTAACAAAATAAAACATTTCAAAATAAAATTCCGCAATAGTCAAATGTGTTCGTAATCAGACACCGCAGAAAAACCACACAAACACACACACACATTGAACTTGTGTGCGTGTGTGACCACGTGAAGGGGTGTGTGGTTTTGGGTGTCTTTTCACCGGAGCAAACAGGACAGAGAGGCAGAAAGTCTGAGGCAAGCAGTTAAGATGGATGACTTTAAATTAATTATGGAAGTTGAGAAACACAAGGAGCTGTACGACCCCCGAAAAACATGGTTATTTACGTACCCATTTCGGAGGAAACTGCTAGGATACAGCTGCAGAATTGGAGCGGATTAGAGATTCAACTGGCAGAAACAACTCATACCATAGGTTCACTCTCTCTCACACACACACACACACACACACACACACACACACACACACACACACACACACACACACACACACACACACACACACACACACACATAGAGGAAAAGAGCTGAGAAAAGGCAGAGAGGAAATGGAGGACACCAAGTGTTTAAAAGAAAAACTACAGCTGAGCCAAGGCGCGCCTTGACTGGGGCGCGTCTGATCTGAACTAAGGAGCGGCCGAATTTCGTGAGCGATTTGCTTCTCGGCGCTAAGCGTGAGGAGATGAAGGCGTGGATAACTGTCTCAAGTTCAGAGCGGGACAGAATGGGACTCAGCTTAGCAATGTTCCTGAGATGGAAGAAGGAAGAGCGAACAAGAGAACTGACATGAGAATCCAGGGTGAGAGCTGGGTCAAAGGTCACACCAAGATTCCTGACAGAAGGTCTGGTGTGAGAAGCAAGCTGACCAAGAGAGTCTCTGACTTTGGGAACCAGCTTGTCTGGGGCACAGATGAGGATCTCAGTCTTATCTTCATTCAGCTGTAGAAAGCTCCCAGCCATCCAGGGTTTGATAGAGTCTAAGCAGGTGTGTAACAGCTGCAGCTTAGACATCTCATGGGGCTTAAAGGAGATGTACAGTTGGATGGCATCTGCATAAAGATGGTAGGAGATTCCTTTGAAGGAGCTCAGGATGTGCTGAAGAGGAAGCAGATAGAGGAGGAAGAGCAGAGGCCCCAGCACAGAACCTTGTGGGGCACCATGGGTAAGGGAGGTGGTGGAGGACCCAAACTTGGAGATGGCCACAGAAAAAGAGCGCTCAGAAAGATAAGAGGAGAACCACTCCAGAGCAGTTCCTGATAGGCCTACCCAGTCTCTCAGCCTCTCCAGTAGCAGGTGATGGTCAACAGTGTCAAAGGCTGCAGTCAGGTCCAGCAGGACCAGAACAGAACAGTCCCCTGCATCACTGTGAGTCAGAAGGTCATTAGAGACCCTAAGAAGAGCTGTTTCAGTAGAATGAGCTCTACGAAAACCTGAGTGGAAGCTATCATAGATGTCATGTTCATCAAGAGCAGCTGTGAGTTGTTTAGCCACAACCTTTTCCAAGATCTTGGAGATGAACGGAAGTTTAGAGATGGGTCTGAAGCTGCTATGGAGAGAGGCGCCAAGACTTGATTTTTTTAAGAAGCAGGTGGATTACAGCATTCTTAAAGTAAGCAGGGACCTGACCAGAGACCAGAGAAGCATTAATAATGGAGAGCACGCTGGGACTGATGGACTGAAAAGCACTTTTAAACAACGATGAGGGTAAGATGTCGAGGGGGCATGCAGAGGTCTTCATAGAGTTAACTAGTTTGGTTAATTCGAGCAAAGAAACAGGAGCAAAGCTATCTAGGAAGATGGGCCTGGTTGGAGTCGGGGGAGGCAGCGATAAGGCTGAAGGAGAGATGCTAGACCTAACCTTATTGACTTGTTCACAAAGAAAGACAGAAAGTTCTCATAGTCTGCAACAAAGTGGATGGAGGCTGTAGGAGAGGCAGGAGAGACGATACTGCTGATGGTGTTAAACAGCACCTTGGGGTTCCCTTTGCTCTGGGACACCAGGTTGGAGAAATAGGAAACCCTAGCATCTCTGACTGGATGACAGAAGATCCTTTAGGTGCAGCAGATGGACGTGGAGATGGGTTCTCTTCCACAAGCGCTCAATTTTTCTGCATTGGCGCTTCAGGCTGTCATTAAACCAGGGAGTAGGGTTCACTGCAGGAACTGATCTGGTTCTGACAAGACAGATGTTGTCCAGAATGGAGAGGCAGTGCTCGTTAAACTGAGAAGTTAAGGAATCTGGGTCGTTATCAGAAGAACAGGGTGGATCAAAAGCAGCAGAAAAATTTCTAGCTGTGCTCTCATTACGAAAACGAGAACTAACCATACGGCGAGCAGGAGGTGGGGATGCAGAAACTGACAAGTTAAAGAAAATGCAAAGGTGATCTGAAATATAAACGTCCTCAGGACAAGCACTGTCAGCATTTAGACTCAGGGTAAAAACAAGGTCTAGATTGTGCCCCCTGGTGTGTGTGGGGCCAGAAACATGCTGGGTAAAGCTGAAGGAGTCCATAAGGCTGGAGAAATTCATGGCAAAGTGATCGGAGGGATTATCAATGTGGATGTTAAAGTCACTCACAATCACCAGTCTGGACAGCTTCACAGTGGAGGATAGAAAGTCACTAAGCTCCTGAAGGAAAGAACCGTTTGGACCAGGTGGATGATAAACCACAGCACAGTAGAACGGGTCCTTACGCCTGACTTTAATCAGCTGCAGTTCAAAGGAAGCAAAGTGACCAAAGGTTGTAGAGCTACATGGAAGATGGTCTCTGAAAACAACAGCTAGGCCTCCACCACGACCAGAACCCCGGGGCTGGCTCAGAAAAGAATAACCACTCGGGCAGAGTTCAATCAGACCAGAATAATCAGATGTTTGCTGCCAAACTTCAGTCAGAAACAGAAAATCCAGGTTTTTAGACAGAATTAGATCATTGAGCAGGAAGGTCTTATTGTTAACAGCGGGGGAATTTAATAGAGCCATGCTGAGTGACGTGGAGGACTCAGAAACTACAGAAACAGCTGGAGTTAGTGGATGTAAATTAGTAGGGTTAGATCCACAGTGTTTATAAAAACCACTTATGGAGGGAACAGGAGGAGAAACCACTGAGGAATGATGATAAACCGACCTTAAAAAACTTGGCCGGAGAAACCGCTCCACAACGCGGCCTGGCGGGAATGCGGAAGTAGCGCTCAAGTCGCCAAACAAAGGAGAAGCTAGGAGATTGGGCCAATGTTTACTAGATAAACCACGCTTTAAGAGAAGTCTTATTCTCACCTGGATTCCTGCTCGTTTACCTCTTTTCCTCCGATGTTTTCCTGGGACCGGATAAACATCGCTGGAGGCGCCATGGTTGTAATCGTCGTTTGGCTCCAGGCCAGTGCACCACTCAGATAAAACAAACAGGAAGGTACGTCCTCGGTGCATTTTGGGCGATCTTGAACGAACAGGACAAAAGAGTCTGGCAATCATAGGAGATGGTAGCAGGAACACTACTTAAGAGGATCCCAGACAGGAGCAAGGTGGAAAAGAGGAGGTTAGTGGAGAAAAGTTTGAAAAAGTGGCTGGTGACTGCGGCTTAGCCAAGCACAGGCGCCATCTTGTTACCGACCGGAACTGTCCCAAAACATACAAGTGATAATGCTGCAGGATTTCATCATTTTATCCTTCTCAGCTGCAGCACTGCAGGTGCTCTCCATGTCCAAAATGTGCGTAAGCCAGGTCCTTAGTCAACTTAAAGTTGCACACATTTTTCCGCTAAGTTTTCTTTCATAAATCCCAAAGTTTGCGTGGAAAGTTGCTTACGCAGTTTTCCGACCCCGTTTTGTGCGTAAGCAAGCTTGATAAATGAGGCCCCTGCTCATTTTCCTCTTTGACCCACAGCAACAGCTAAAGCGCCTGAAGTTGAAAAGAAAGGACGTCCAGCAGCTGATCACCAGAGGTCAGCAGCTGCTGGCAGAGGAGGGACTGGGCGAGACTCTGCAGCAGGATCTGCAGACTTTGGAAAACACAGTCAGCAAAATGGAACAGAATATGGATTCACAGGAGCAAAACCTGGAGGTGAGCTGTGAAACATTAAACTTCTTATAAAAAACATTTTAAAAGCTATTTTCTGAAAACTGATTTATAGAGGGACATAGGACAAAAAGTAAGAAAGGAACTGTCTTTGTCATTGTTTTAAGGTGAACAAACTTTAGAACATTATTTGGGAAACAATGACTTGATTTTAACTGTAGAATGAAGTCAGAGTTACCTTCAGGATCTGTGCCTAATTTACAGATGTTTCATCTCATGACCAGAATGCGGTTTACTCACTGCTGTCACCACAGAAATAGCTGAGCTTGACGTTGGACCTGGCACCATCCACGCTCTGCTCTAACAACATTTCTATCACTGCTGATTCTGTGAAGTGTGATACTTCCTGTGTGTAATTACACATTGGCCTGATAGATTCATGTGTGAATGACCAGAGGGCGGCTCTAAGAGTGTCACGCTGAGCAGAAGGTTAGGACCCAAAAACGCAGAACACACTAGACAGGAGCAGATGTAAATAAGTAAATCCTTTATTTAAAGGACGAGACTTGATCAAGCGATCTCAAAACAAAAACAGAAGCTCACAACTGAGCACTGACTTGGGCAAAACTCAGGAGGGAACAGAACAACGTAAACACAGCGATGAACTGACAAACACTGAGGGACAAGACAGGGCTTTTAAACACAGAGGGAGGTGATCAGGGGAACAGGTGACAGGTGTGAGTGAGATCTGGAGGGAAGGCAGGTGTATTCAATAAACTAAATAGGGAAAGAACAAAGGATGAAAGAATAACCATGGGACATAAGAGGAGAACCTGGAGGAGGCTGGGGACAGAGGGACACAGAACATGACAAAGAGACCATTATCTTTGCTGCCAAATCACAGAACCACAGTGTGAAAGAGAGGAGCATCACATTTTGTTTGGATACTTTTCTATCCAGCTAAGCGCAATGTTCAGACTAATATTGGCATTGTTCTGTAATGTGGCTTGTTTTGTCCTGCACATGCTCAGTTTTGTATGAGGTGTAGAAATATTTTAGATTTTTGTAAAGAGGGCTAAAAGTGCATCTGGAAAGTATTTGCAGTGCATCACTTTTTCTGTATTTTGTTATGTTACAGAAGCACCCTTATTCCAAAATGAATGGATAACAGCAAAAAATAAATAAAATAAAATTCTTTGAGACTGTTGCAAACATGTAAATTTTAAATATAGCTGAGGAATAGCACGACTAGCACTTTAAATTTCATCCCTCAGCGTACTGGGACTTTTTTCAGCTTCACATTTTACTGCTTGCAGCCTGTATGTTGGTAAAAAGGCATTGCCTGCCTCATTGTTCTGGATGCACAATGCTTTCTGTACATTTAGGAGGATGTATGTGATTTTGATGGGAGAGAAAAAGCGGAGAAAGACGATTATGGCTGTGACGATGGATGCAGAGACCATGTGTACAGTATGGCTGGTCAATTTCTATTTGTATGACATTAAGGGAAGCACACACACTTATTTTTCCAATTACATCTCTACGTACATGAGCATAAAAGGTGCACATGTGCACCCAAAAACTGTGTTCAGACCAGTTCTTTAGCCCCAGCGCTCCTCAGCATACCGGTGTTACGTCAGACAACCTGCATGGTCGCCGCAAGCTTATTCCTGGCGTAATCTTCCCGTATCATAGGGGATTAACCACGAAAGCTCTAACTTTGTGCATCCCCCCCCCCCCCCCCCCGCACACACACACACACACACACACACACACACACACACACACACACACACACACACGCACACACGCATCCCAGAATGGTGAGTACCAGCCATCAACACCTCCTACTCACTCTCAGAGCTTATGTGTACCCCTGCTCATACACAACATAAGAGTTCCTTACTTTGAACCTGCTTTTGTACATTTTAACATCAAGTGAGCATGCTTTCATGCTCATGCAGAAGCTAAAAAAGATGTTAATAAACCAAAAGTTATAAACTTTGTTGAGTTTGGATGTGTCCGAGGTCCAGATTAAAGATTTTTGCTTGGGGGCAGTGAGTCAATATCAGCACTGACGGTGTCAGAGAAGTGAGGTGCTTACAGAGAAACTGGGCTGTCTCTGCCAATATGCTGACTCATTTCTCTTGTATACAATCCAACAATGACTGTGCATTCTGCAGCACATCCATAATGGTGGGGTTCGGTCTGCCGCTTCATTAAACGTCATCTTTGACCAGGAATTTCTGCCTATTTTTTGTTATTGACCACTGAGGTGGGCTGCAGCCCAGAGAAGTAGCCATCAATCAACTGTGTGTGTGTGTGTGCGTGCGTGCACGCGTTTGCTGTAATTACATTTGCTTTGATGGACCAGTGAAAAGGGAAAAAGCACACATTTGGGAAGGTTTAATATGAGCAATAAATATGTTGAAAGTTTAATATTTTCTTTAATCTTGTGGGATTTTATCAAAAAGCAGAGAAATAAAATGTGATCTTGTCCAGGTCACGTTGGCAGCCTGGCAGGAGTTTGACAGCCAGCAGGAAGCCGTGTATGAGTTTGTCAACAAAGCTCACTCCACGGTGGACAGAGACCTGAACTTCAGCAGTCCAGAGAGCCTGGCAGTTGAGCTGGACCAGGCAAGGGTAAGGAGGATAATGTACAATGTAAAAAGTAAAAATGGGATGCAGATGGATTAAAGATTAAATAAGTTTAAATATCTTACAAACCAATACAAAATTATTTATTTTTCTATTTTTTTAAATAGGTGCTGTTGAAGCAGTGTGAAGCTGAGGTCCTACATATGAACACCTTACTGAAGAGAGCAAGAGAAATCCAGCTGGGTCCCAGAAACAAGACTCTGCTTTTACAACAAGCCCGTTCACTCAGTGAGAAGGTGGACAAAGCAGAGGCTGACCTGAAGGATGAGTAAGATCACAGATTAATCTCTTTAGGTTTTAGCTGTGTTTACAAATGAGAGCTACTGGAAATAAAGGTTGAAAAACGTTTGGGAACTTGACTAATTCACACTTGCATTACTGTACTGCAGGCATGTCCAAAGTGTGGCCCTCGGAGTGAATTTGAGCTGCCTCTAATTTCATTTTTAGAAAAGTGGATTTTTTCTTTCCGGCTGGTTTTTTCATATAGATCGAACCTTTTATCAATTCATCTTCAGATTTCCTTTACTATGAGGCCTATTTTTGAGTATTAAAAGTGAAAAATGCACAGTAAAATAATGTTTGCTTTTAATTTCAGTATAAACCTTTACTTATTTTTTTGGCTCTTCCTGAAAACGTTTCACACTCCTTCTGTAAATGTTGTGCCTGAAAGCGTATCATCTCACTACTTTCCTCCAGGGTCAAGAGTTTGGAAGAAATGAAAAACCAATGGGATCGGTTTGGAGCTGGATTTGAAGCATTTTCTGTATGGATATCTGAAAAGGAAAAAGAGCTAGACGTTGTAAAATCCACTACTTTGCCTCTTGAAGAACAGATGAAAAGAGTTAAGGTACAGTAGTTTGTGTTATTAAGCTGCTTCAGCCACTAAACCAGCATAGCACTTTTCTAACCAGTAAGGCTCTAGTGGGCTTTCCCCAAGCATTAACAGATCCTTCACACCAACATTTTATTTTCAACATAAACGTGTCACGTTGAGAGCACGGAGGTGGTTAGGACCCAAGATGCAGATTATCCCAGATGACACGAGGCAGGAGCATTTTAAAAGTAAATCCTTTATTTAGGATGATGAACTGAAAATCCAAAAAGGGGCAGGAAGCCAAAAGCAAAAGTCCTGAATCAGGAGAACAAAAGCTCACATAGAGCACAAAAACTGGAGACTGGAACTAAAGCTCACTTAGAGCACAAAGCTGGAGACGAGACGCAAAGCTCACATAGAGCACAAAACAACGCTGACAACAACATACAATGGACCGACACAACACAGAGACAAGACAGGGCTTATATAGACAGGAAGGAGCAATAAGGGAAACGAGCAGCAGGTGTGTGGAGTGAGGGCTGAAGGGAAAGCAGGTGACTACAATAAGCTAAATGGGAACAGAACCAGAGGAGGGCAGATAAACCTAAAACTAAACCTAAAGCTCTAAAACACAAAACTAAACCTAAAGACTGAGGGAAGGACTAACACACACATACACTCATACACACACATACACTAAGTTGGGGGAGGACAAGCACACACACACACACACACACACACACACACACACACACACACACACACACACACACACACACACACACACACACACACACACATACACTTACACACACACACATACACTGAGCTGGGGACAAAGAGGCTGGAGCTACAACTGGAGGGGCTGGGGACGACTGAATGAATGCCGGTGTTCTGAGAAAACATCCTACTTTGGCAAAACGTCCTACCGTAGGATAATTTTACGGTGTTTTACATGACATCTGTTACCTGTTCTTCATCAAATTCTTTTCTATCCTTGTTTCTTTCCTTTTTTTTCTTCCTTTTTTCTGTATTCTCTATTCTGTCTTTCTCGTTTGTTCTTTATTCTATCTTTTCGATCTTTTTCTATTCTGTTTTTCTATTCTGCATTAATACGAACCAACAATTGGAGGGGGGTTTCTGAGTGACACGCGCCGGCCCGTGCATTGCCAGTGACTCTCTACTCCAAACTGTTTTGGTCAAGGTACTGATTCAGGGGGATGTCACTGAGATACATCTACTCCATCTACTCCATCTACTCCACCTAACCCCAAAAATCAAGTATCAACGTCAATAAAAAGTACTAATACTTACAACTTACCTATTTCCCTGCAAATATGACAATGGAGTAGCATTCCCTTTTTGTGTTGTGCGCATGTGCGCACATGCTCAGGAACAACGGGTAGGATGGTTTACCGGGTAGGAGAAATTCCCAGAACACTGGACCTGAGGGGAATAATGAGAAGGGCAACAAACAGAAGAAACATAAATAAGACGCAGACAAAGGACACATGAGGGCGCTATGAGACACAAAATGGGAATCTAACAAGGGATGGAGAACATCAGGAGACACATGGGGAAAGATGCAGACACAGACCATGACAAAACGATAAGCGGAGTCATTCATGAAGTCTGTGGTTTTTGTTTAACTTAATAGTTTCAGTGCCGAGAGCCTCGAGCTTTCGTCACTCTACACTCTTGTTTGCCCTTAGAAGGAAGTTTTTAGCAGAAGTGCCGAAAAACACAGAGACACGAGTGGTTGCTCGAGCAAAGCTGCTGAATTATTTTTTCTCTCATAAACCTGAGAGTTGCTCATTAAAGTGATTTTTTATAAGTCCTGGGTTCCTTTAAGAATGATTAGTGCAAAAGTTTCAGTCTGATTAAGTGTGACATCATCTTGTGTTAAGGTTATAGACGGCTTGTTCTGAGACCATAATAATTACTATTTATGCCTTTCTGGCCTGTTAATTATCTCTGATTGAGGAAAATGAATTAGCTGGTTCTTCCATGACATCTCTAAACCTCTAATTGCTTTTAATAATTTATATTTTCATGATTAAAAATCTAAATAGCTGTTGTTTTGTGTTATGCGTGCGCTATTGTCCAGCTGTTATTGTTATGAGTTCTATTTTTTGGTGAATCTAGCTTTTTGACAAAATTCAACAAAAAACAAATAGATTATGTTTTGTTTATTGTTTGTCATGTCAGGCTGTTGGGACAGAAGTTCAGAACAGAGCTGAGCTTCTTTCTCAGCTGGAGGCGGACTCCCAGGCGCTTGCCCAGTTTGTGTCCTCAGGAGAAGCAGCTCGCATCAAGGCTCGACTGACACAGATCGGCAGGTACTGGGAGGAGCTGAAGGAGGGTGTCCAGCAGCTTGATGGTCAGCTGGAGGAAAGCTCCTCTCACCAGCAGAAGTTCAAGCTTAACCTAGGAGAGGTGAATATACTCACTGATGCAGAGTACTAAAGAAGATGGAAACAGACGTTTGATTTAGATTTTCTGTCAGGTACAAAATTCTCTTAATGAGCTTCGCACTAAACTGGAGGATCCCATTAAGTCCTGTTCCTCTTCACCAGAGACTTACAAAGCTATTCAAAGCCACATGGTATGGACTTATTTTTATTTTTTTTTTTTACCAATTTAAAGTATTTTCAGTTCAAAGTGGGGAAAACTAGCATTGCTAGCTGTTTGTTTATGTGTTAATGATGGTCTTTGTTACCTGCCGTTGTCATTCAGGATATCTGTCAGGGTCTGGAGCTGCTGAAAGGAACCTTACTGACACTCTCAGCTAGCTCTCGACGGATCAGTGACAAGGAGGAAGCAGTGAGGACTGTGACAGAGCTAAACACCAGCTATGAGCTGGCCTTACAGGAAGCAAAGGACAAACAGAGCGCTCTGGAGAACCTGCTCTCTCTCTGGCAAAAGTATGAATAATTCAACAGAAAATATCTGGTGTTAAAAACATTATGATTTATAGTTCAATTGGATTTTCACTGTTTCAGGTATGATAAGCAGTTATCAAACTTTGTCTCCTGCCTGGAGAGAAGTGAATCAGCATCCAGACCTGAGAGTCAGTATCTGTCAGCTGACAGAGCCAAGCTACACTCTGAGGTGCAGGATATGCAGGTAAAACCTAGGATGTACACAAAGTACCATGTTAACCAGCAAATGATCAGTAGATCAATGATCTGGCCCTTTGGTCTCCGTTCAGGCCCTGCAGCTAGAGGTACAGGTCCTCGAGAGGTCTCATGCTGACCTGGTGTCTCTGGGCTATGCCCTCTGTCCCACTGCACCTGAGGACAGAGTCCATCTGCTGAAAGAAGAGCTGAAGACTCTACAAAACAGACTACTCATCCAACGTGAAGTCATTCCCAAAAGGTGCGGCGATGTTTTCTCCTGCTCTGATGTGAAACCTCTCTGCTATTTAAAGAAGCTTGTTTCATATCACTCTACTTTGTTCTAATGTGTTTTCAGTCTTAACTGCAGTCCAATGTAGGAAACTTGCCTAGGTTTTAAAAAGGCAGACATCTCTCACATCGTTTAAAATAATGTTAATTTACAGGTTTTTTTTAAATCTCTCAGAATCGCAGAGCTTCAGAGCCACATTTCGTTGGTGGAGCAGTTCGACCGGGCCCTTCTTAAGTTCTCAGAGTGGAGCGATACCACACTTTCTAATCTGCTTTTAACTTCTCCAATCAACATGAGCAACCTGCAGTCTTCTGCCACAAAAGTAAAGGTAACAGCTCATCAGAGTTTTTACGTTTCTCCACACCAATGTTGCTTGTTTGGCGTCCATTAAAACTCAACAGGCAGGTGGGTTCTGATCTTTTATCATCTCCTCTCACAGGAGACTGAGATAGCCCTGCAGCAGCAGTCCAGTGAGAAACAGAGCTTGGAGGAGCAGACCGAAAAGCTCTGTCAGGTTTGTGAGCCGTCTGATGCCCAGCTCCTCCACAACCGAGTAGAAAGCTGTCTGCAGCCTTACACGGAAGCTCAGCACTTAACCGAGCTTCAGTCGGAATGCCTGGAAAGGCTGGAGACTTTTTTGCAGACCCACAATGTGGCCTCAGGAGTGCTGCGTGGCCTGAGACAGACTGTGGAGAGTGCTGGGAGCTGGGACAGTGGAAGGGTAGAGGAGCTGCAGCAGGAGCTAGCTACTATTGTTCCAGATATAAGTCAGCTTGAATCTCTTGCCGTCAACCTGGACAGCAGTCTTTGCAAAGGTCATCTCCACATTGGTGCTGAAGGTGCATCTCGTAAGTCGTGTCGCATGCTGGCTGATTCCCTCAGTTCTGAGTTGGACGCGGTGAGGAACTTGCTTGGTTCTAAGCAAAGTGAAGCAGAGGCCTTGGGTGCTCTGTGGGCTTCATTTCGACAACGGAAGGAGCAACTGCTCAAAGCTGTGGAGGACATTGAAGAGAAAGCTGACCATCAGACCCTCAAAGAGCCCAGTCTGCATGGTCTACAGCAGCGGTAAGGTTCAACAAGATTCATTACTGCATAAAGGCTTAAGAACAGCTGTAGCAACATTTTGTGCCTCTTTGTCAGACTTCGGTTCTTTAACCAATTGGAAGATGAGCTCCAGTCCCACCAGCACGAGGATCAGTGGCTGAGGGAGAAAGGCAATCAGCTGGCTCAGAAGGATGCAGAACTGGCTGGAGAGGTGTTGAGGGAAATTAGCTTATTGGAAACGACGTGGGAGGATACCAAAAAGTTCATTACAGAGAGGTACAGCAGCAGTGAGAAACATGTTTAGAATGATTTTCTATTGTGAACCTTTAGCAGGTGTAAAGTTATGTTTGTTTTCTACTTTAGTCAGGAACAGTGTAATGTTCTTTCTGAGCTTATGAGAGAATACCAAATCCTCAAAACAACCATCAGCAGCATTACTGAGAGCTCCGAACCTCTGATGGAGATAAGTTCAGTTCTGAAGGATCACGAGGAAGTCAAAAGGTCACTGGCCAAGGTGTGACAACAAAACCAAACATCTTTCCATTATGAAATCCCAGATGTACAATGTATTTTTCTTTATGATTGTTTATTTACATATTCTGGATACTGAAATGGTTTGGTGTCTCTATTCTCTTTGCAGCATGAGACAGTGAAGGCTGAGATTGCTGGCAAGCAGCATGACTTAGATCAGTTTTCTGGGAAAGGAAAACAGCTGGTGGTTGAGTTGAAGAAGATCCCAGAGTGTGACAGTGAACTGTTGAGGAAAGATGTGGAAACAACTGTTGATCAGTGGCTAGATGTAAGCTGCTCTTGATGATTAAAATGATCAATTAACCTGCTAATATATTTGATCCATGCATACACTTTCAGCATGTGATTTATTTAGTTTGGGCTCTTTGAATTAAAACAAAACAAAAGCCACTGTTGTTCTTTAGCAGCTACTATGATTTTTATATTTATCTTATGTATTTTTAGATGTCCGAGAGAATAGATGACAACATTCATCGCCTGCGACAGAGTTCTGGTCTGTGGGATGATATCCGTAAAATAAACGAGGACATAGAGAGCTGGATGAGCAGCAGTGTGATTGAACTCAACGACAGCCTGAGCAATTTCAACAACAGTCAAAAAGTGTCACTGAGGCTCTCAACACTACAAGTACTATCTTAGAAAATCTATTTGTTGTAATCAATTATTTTATCTGATTAGTTTATACAAAACATTCTGGGTGTTTCTTAATGTCAAGGCGCCTTGCTTTAGAGGACACTGTCCCTCCTCGGTCAAAGAAAATGGTTACATGGAACAGACTTGAATCCTGTGACCATGGCTTCCGTCGCGGTCACGTAACATCACGTGACAAGGGAGATAATAATATTTTATACGTATGTTTCAATATAGATATGAGTCTTTTACTTTTTAAATTGTGTATATATTTGTTAAATTAAATATGTAAACGAGTTACTACACGCTAGCCACTAAAGCTGCAACTACTAAGCAACTAACCAACCATAGCGAACTGCTATGGTTATAAAAAAACATTTAAAATATCAACCCAATAGCTATGACCTACATTTAAACTTGAAAAAAAAAACGCACTGTATTCTGGGAAATTCTTGTCCAAGGCTAGGCTACAAGACACCTCCCGCATATCCTTGCTCAGCTAGCTAAACGGCTAACAAACAGAGAACAGATGCCTCGATAGCACACGAAAATTGGAACACGCCTTGGCGGTTCCTGATGATGTATCTCCTAGGCAACCGGGGCAGAACCAAGATATCAAGGTGAAGTTCCTTGGCATTGAGAAACACCATCTGTCTTAAATAGATATATCAAAATCAGATTTTCACCCTAGAGAGGCTGTAATGTGTGCTTTTCTTATCTCATTCACAGACAGAAATGATTGAAAAGGAGCAGAAAATCGAAATTCTGCAAAGCAAAGTGTCAGAACTGAAGAAGTGCAGTCAGTGTCAAGAGACTCCTGCTAAACTACAGGTGCTTAAGATGAATACCATCCTAATTTAGGGTTTTATTCATCATGATTATTTACTTTTGCAACTCATATTTTATTCACCATCACAAATCTACAAAAACCAGGTGCTTGAAAACGACCTGCAGAAGAAGATCAACACTGTTCAGACTCTCCATGAACAAGTCAGAGGAAACCTGACTGACTTTAGCTCCCAACGTAAACAACTGGAAGACTACATCTCACAGATGTCTGCGTGGCTCAGAAGTATGGAAGATTCTTTGGTGTCTTCTCCAACAGGATCAGATCCTGAGGACATCTGCAGAGTCAAGGTGAAAAACCAGAAAATATATTTAAAGCTTGCTTCTTGTTTCGATTAGAACTCTGATGCTTATGTTTCTGAACACGTCTGGCAGGACCTTCAAAAGGAGCTGCAGAACCAGCAAGGCAGTATTGATTGCACCAGAGAGAGCCTAAACAACTTGTGTAGAAAATACCCCTCAGAGGAACTGGCTGGTTTGGGCTCGTCTCTCACCGATCTCATTAAGACTTATGAGTCTGTGAACCAGCTTTCTGCCAGGACGCTCAACTCACTGCAAAACTGTCTCCAGCAACAGTTCAGTGGTAAGAAGTCTCTGTGGAAATGAACAATGATCCATTACATTCCTTTTAAAAGGAGGCTGGAGCTAAAATCATTTCTTCTTTGGGGAGAAAATGTCAGTTTTTGATGGTTTTCAGTTCAAGCATTAATTTACCTTCTTCCCATCGTTAGATCTTGTCCAGGAGTTTCACCGCTGGCTTTCAGAACAAAGAGAGATAGTGAAAGAATGCTCTGATCGATCAGGAGACACGCAAATTGTGGAACGTAAACTACAGAAACTCAAGGTGAAGCTGGATGCAAAACTAGAATAAACAGATTTTTGGGAGAGGAAACATGTTGGTGAGGTGTTCCATAAGCTAAGGAAACTTAGAATTTAGGTTGAGGTGGTTTGTCTCTCAGGGTGCCATGGATCGAGTGGAGGAGGGTGAGATGAGGCTCACTCAAGTCTGTGAAGAAGGCGAGAAGCTGCTTCTTCATCTTCCCAAAGGTAGCGCCGGGCAGGTCCAACAGCACCTTTCATCCATCCAGCAGGACTGGGATGGCTTCGTGGAACAGTGCAGGCAGAACCAGCAGATCCTCGAGGACAGTGCGTCCCTCATGAAGGGGTACATAAACTACTGGAGTAGAACACGAATAGAAATATCACTTATTGTCCCACTGAGGGGTCATACAAGTGTACCAGCAGCAAGTTAGAGCTAAAAGTAAGCATGTACGCCCTTTATAAGAACATTTATGAAGAAGACATGTTGGACCTTTTGCAGGTTTGAGGGTCGCCTCAAGAAGCTGAGGTGGTGGCTGGAACACATGGAAAACCGAATGACTACAGATCTGCTTGAAACCAAACAACGTGGCCATGAAAAAGCTGTGCTTGATCAAGTGGAGGAGTACCAGCAGGAGGTGCTCAAAGAGAGGTGCGTCATCTGGATTTACCAGGAAAAAACGACTTTTAATGCACCTAAAAGACTTCCTAATAATGATTTACTAATGGCCCTCAAACATTTTCTGATGTGACTGTTCTTATTTACATGCAGGGATTCGTTTGAGCGTCTCTGTCAGGAGGGACAGGCTCTAAACGAAGGTGGACGAGGGGATGGAAGTGAGACAAGAGTTTCAGCTCAGCTGCAGTCACAACACCAGACCCTGCTGAGGCGTGTGAAGGAGCGGCTGCACAGCTGCCAACTTACGTTACAAGAGCAACAAGCCTTTGAAGAGACGCTGCAGACCACCTGGGGCTGGCTTAATGGTGTCCAGGAGCGTCTGACTTCTCTTAACAGCACCGTTGGCAACAAGGAAACTCTGGAAAAGAGACTTGGCCTTGTACAAGTTAGTGCTCTGCACCTTGTGGTTTCTCCACATATTTTTAATCACAGAAATGGTGTCCTGGTGGGATCATAGTTTATTTGTTTCTGAAGGATATCCTGCTAATGAAGGGTGAGGGGGAAGTGAAGCTCAACATGGCAGCAGGAAAAGGAGAACAGGTTCTGAAGCACAGCAGAGCGGAGGGGCAGGAGACCATTTGTTTACAGCTTCAGAACCTGAAGGATACATGGGCCAATATGCTAATGACTGCAATGAGTTGCCACAGGTAGGAAACGTGCTCTCTTCCACATTGCAGCTAAGCTGTTGGCAGGACAGTTTCTAAATCAAGGTAACATATAGATAATGCTACATTATTTATTAACACGCTTCCATTATTCATAGTCGTCTGGAGTGGACTGTGACCCAGTGGACCATCTTCCTGGAAAATAAGAGCCATTTGCAGCAGTGGATGGAGTCAGTGGATCAAGAGGTGGGGATGACTCTGCCTCAACAACCAGGCCTCAAAGAGAAGTGCACCTTACTGGAGCGGCTGAGGGCCATCCAAGCCGATGTGGACACTCATGCTGCAGCTCTGTCACGCCTTACGGAGAAAGCTGTGGAGTTGCACGAAAAAACTGGTGATCAGACGTTTGGGCCGGAGTCCAGAGCAGAGCTCAATGCACACTTTGCTGATATATCAACTGTAGTCAAGGTGTGTGAAAACAATCTCAAGTTTGAGCTTTTTTTTTTTTTGGACAATGTGATTCTAAATTACTAATTAGGTGAAAAACTCCCATGCTGCTTGCCCTAGCAGGGATGAGAGCTAGAACATAAATACATACAATAAAAAAAATGTTCATAGTGTAACAGCAGTGTGCACCCATGAATCCAGGTGTGTGTATGGTGTCTTTGTGCTCCACAGGGTAAAGTGCAGTCCATGCAGAAAATAGTGTCTGAGCATGAGCAGTACTTTGATGCTGTGAGAGACTTCAACGACTGGCTTGTTTCAGCAAAAGAGGAACTTCAACGCTGGTCCGATCTGTCAGGAGACTCTATGAATGTTAAAAGAAAGCTCTCCAAAGTGCAGGTGATGAAAGGGCTGCATGTTAATGAAACTTTAATAATGATTGTCAGGCCCGCTTATTTGGATTTAAAACCCAGATACGTTTGACACAAGTGGAATCGGTTTTCCTGTCATCAAGTTACTTCATTTATTAAAATGGTCAGTTATGTTTTGCAGGAGTTGCTGGACTCTAAGCAGCGAGGCAGAGAGAGGCTGAGCCGTGTTCAGAGATGTGGGGCGGTGGCTCGAGATTACACCAGTTCCGGCGGGTATGAGGCTCTGGAGCGAGAGGAAGCAGCCTTGTTGTCATCATGGGAGCAGTGGGAGCGTGGGGCGCTACAGACACGTGCCAGTCTGGAAACTGCGCTCTCACAGATTTCAAGTTCAGAACAGGAGTTCAGTAGTTTGTCAGCACAGCTGGAGCAGGATCTGCAGGACTTCAGCCGCCAGCTAAAAGACTGTAGGCTACGACTGGCCCAAGCAGAGAGGAAGAATGATGGGGAGGAAGCTGTTAAAGGCTGGGAGATAGCTAAGGTACGCCATGTTTGGTGGCATTCAGTTATTTGGTATAAAATCTAAATATAAAGTCAAACCAAAATGCTAAGGATGGGAAAACTTTGCTTCTATGCTTTACTGTAATACTTTACTATAGACACTTCATAGACTAAAGCATGTAACGTACATTTTTAAAGGTTTATGATTGGTTTGTTGCTGTTCTCACTTCAAATGTGTTTTCCATGCAGGAAACTTTGGAGGAACTGATCAAAGCTGAGACCATATCTGATCGTCTGAAGACTCAACTCAATGATTTGTGTCGATTTTCCAGAGAAATGGGAACCCAGTCTGAGAGAGTGTCTGCTCTCATTAAAGATTATAACAGGTCAGAATAAAACAACATGGTAACCAGTTTACCCTCACCTATGTTTAGTTTTAGGGAGTATTCACTCACATGTCATCTTAAATCTGTTTATTTCATGGAGAACATCAATCTGTTTGCAAGTTACAGACTGAATGTGCATCTGTTTTTTTTACTGATTTTTTTTACCCCAGTCTGAGTCTTCAAGCCACCAGAGAGTGCCAGAGCAAAGAGAAAGTTCTGGAGCAAGGGTGTCGCTCTGCTTTTAGAGAATTCCAGCAGTGGTTGGTCAAAGCCAAGATCAACACAGCAAAGTGCTTTGATGCTCCTCAAAATCTCAACGAGGCCTTATCCAGTTTGCAGAAGATTCAGGTACCCAATCTTCAGTGGTCATGTAACATTCAAACACTCATTCTCGCTGGCTTTAAAAGCAAACCAAGTGATATTTTAATTATTTACACCAATATGTGCTCTTGTTATGAAACAAAAACTAGCTGCTACAATCAACCAACCCAAGAGTTTTATTAGCTGTCTTTGTTTCCTCTCAGGAGTTTCTCAGTGACAAAGAACAAGGTCAGTCCAAGCTGAACTCTGTGGTTGTGAACGGTGAGCTTTTCTGGACCATTGCAGCCAAAGATAAAACAGATGCGGTTCGAGGTAAAATGAACTCTGCCAGAGAAGACTGGAAAAACATCATGTCTAGTCTGCACAACAGAGAGTCAAGTCTGCAAGTGAGCTTTATATCTCCCTCCTCAGCTACTAGAAATGCCTCTGAGCTTTAGCTACATGTTTCATATTAAGGACATTTCTCATCAGCCCTTTTTCATTTGTTTGTTTCAGAACCTCATTGCTCAGATGAAGGATTTTGAGGCCAGTGCAGAGCCTCTTCAGGAGTGTTTTAATGCCACCGAGCTGGTTGTGCAGGAGAGCAGCACGAGGCTTCATGATCTCACAGCCAAGAAGCTGGAGCTTCACAAACTACAGGTGCTGATCACTAAAATCCACCACGCTCTGAGTCACAGCAACCATGTTTAGGTGCAATAACCAAAACCTGAGTGCTCTTAAAACATTTAGCATTTTGTGTTTTTTTTAACTAGGGAGCCAAATGCTTTTGCTATCTGCCAATACTTTCTGGTTTTCTTTGCTAATCTCATGTCTGCTTATCACTATATAGGGTATGAATCAATTGCTGTAGCTGTTTGATTAAAACAAAGCTTTTAGAATAAATAATTTGATGAAACTGCGACTGACTATTTCCTGATGGCTTGATGACTTTTTGTGACCAGCAGCTTCACTGCAGCCAAATTTCTCATAGTCTTTTTGTCATTTTTCCATCTCTAACAACCTTTTCTTCGTCTGAATGTAAGTGTCTGGTTCAGCTTGCATGCCTCTTTGATAACCTGCTTGTGCTCTTCCAGTCTGTGCTTGAGGAGTTAGCCTCTCATGAGGTTCAGCTGAGCAGGCTAAAAGAGAAGGCCCAGCTGTTGTTGGATGAACACTCGGCCGGAAAGGGTTTTGTGCACCGTGTCTCGCAGCTCTCTGCTCAGTACCTAGCTTTAACCAACCTGACTAAGGTAAACCTACCTGCCTGTGCACCGGGACTCTGGGGGTGTAGCTGAGGCATTAGGCTGGACAGAGTTCTGACCTAGTGTTGTTTTACAGATGGCATGCAGTAAAGGTATTAATTCATCATCATTCACCTATTGTCTTCATGTTTTTCTTTTTTTAAAGTTAGAAAATGTTATATTGTGCTCGTTCAAATCTTCAAAAAACATTTTTTTTATGGTTTTGCTTATTGTTCTGCAGGAAAAGACGTCTCGGATCGATCGAATCGTCACCGAGCACCAGCTTTTCTCCCAGGGGCTTAAGGAGCTGCAGAACTGGGTGGTGGACACCAGCCACATGCTGCAGACCTACAGCACCCCTACTGCTGACAAAAATGTTCTGGATAGCCGGATGATAAAGCTGGAGGTACGCAAACGTCACTTCAAATAGAAATTTGACCTACAGCGAGTATTGTATTGTAATAAAAGCAAATGGATGGTTGCTGCTGCAGGCTTTGCTGACGGCTCGCCAAGAGAAGGAGATCCAGCTGAAGTTGCTGTTCACAAGAGGAGAATCGGTTCAGAGGAATACCTCAGCTGATGGAGCTCCTTTAATCCAGAACCAGATCCAGGACCTGAAGGACTCCTGGGATGCTTTGCTCTCTGCTGCTATTTTGTGCAAAAGGTTTATTCTTTATGTCCTGGATGGTGTCATATTCAGAACACGGTTCATAAAATAACTACAACCGTCGCCGTTTGCTCTGCTGTGCAAAACCAACAGTCAGCTGGAAGGTTCTCTGTCCCAGTGGACGAGTTACCAGGAGGACGTTCGCCAGTTTGTGGCCTGGATGGAGCGGGTGGAGGAGGGTCTCGATCTCACTGAAAAACAGTTCCCAGAGATGAGAGATAAAACTGCTAACCTGAGCAAAGCAAAGGTAGTTCAACCTTTGCAATGTTGTTCACTATTTGTCATTAACATAATTGATGGTTAATGGTTCCAGTTGGATCAAAATTCATAGCTAAATTGATTTTTTTCAGCTGCTGTATGAGGAAGTGCTGAGCCACAACACTCTGCTGGAGACCATCACGGCAAAAAGTGCCAGCATAAGTGAGAATTACGTCACTCAGCTGGAGCTGCAAGAACTCCAGGAGCGTTATAACAGCGCCAAAGACAATGCTATGGTAAAGACCAGCATAATATGTCAATTTTGTGACCTTTAACTTGAAAAAAAAATTTCTGTAACAATACATTTATTTTTACATGATTTCATACATAAACTAAATAATATTTAGGATGTTTTATATATTTGTAATGTATTAATTAAAAATAGGATGTTTATTTAAGAGCAGGTCCATACAAATACAAGCATTTTAAAGTAAAATCTTGCAATGTTCGGAACTGACGGACTTGTAACAGTGTAAGTCAAAACTTCCCATAATGTTCATTATTTCAGCTAACATCACTTTTTGGCAGTCAGAGGATGGGCTGGAAATGACTTTCAGCTACTATTGCATTAGGTTGTAGCCATTTTTATTTGCTAATGTCGATTATCTCTGATTATCTTGAATGGGATTAAATCCAAAAGTTAATCAGTTAGAGGTGAACATTAATCAAAGACTTTCTACAAGTTGTATAAAATCTATTCAGGTGGTTCATGACATATTTTAATAAAACTGCAGACAAATGAGCATGTATTCCTCACCTTTTTGCTTATGGTGGCAGGGGATATTTAGATATAAGAATAAGCTATAATCTTATCACATGCTGTTCCTCAGAGGTCAGTTGGCAAAGCAGAAGATCTGGTGAAGGCTCATCAAGTGTATCAGCAGGACCTTCATGCTTTTGAGGAGTGGCTGGAACAAGAGCAGGAGATGCTCGGCTGTTACACTCAGCTGGAAGGAGATGTAGATATGCTGGAGGATACCATCCAAAAGCTGCAGGTCTGCATAAAAATCATGACTTAATGTGGTTGCAATTTAACTTAGTATTTCCATCCAAAGTTTGAAGAGCAGTCTGGCTAATTTCTGATCTTACAGGAGCTTCAGCTGTGCTGCACAGAGGGCCAGGCCTTACTGAACACCCTGCTGCTGAGCAGAGAGCCTGTCACTCCCTGGGGTCTGCCTCAGATAGAGGAAAGAGCTCTGGAAATGCTTCAGCAGGAGTGGAGGCTCTACCAGGCTCGGCTGGCCGACACCCGCGCTCAGCTGAACAGCGCTCTAGCCAAACTACGACAGATGGAGCAGAAGTTCCAGCTTCTTGACAGTTGGCTGAAAGGCATGGAAACCAAAGCACACATACGAACTCATCGACGGTCGGATCGGGCCACAAAGGGCGCTCAGCTACAGATGATCAAGGTTTGTATACACAAGGAAGGACTTTAGTTTGTAGCACGTTTAGTGACTGCGGTTGTAAATGCTGGCTCAGGGACTGGATGCTTTAGCTGGAGTCAAACCTTTAGAGTTAGGTGCTCCAGGTTTTATGTTTTTAATGAATATTTTTTCAACTTAAATTGTTTAATTAAGATGCGATAAATCCTAAAATCTGAGATTAGAAATATTTTTTGCTGTTTTTAGAGTTGGCAGGAGGAAGTTCTTGTTTATCAAGAAGAAATGGAAGGTCTGACTCTTTTGGCTCAGCAAGTTCTGGACGAGACACATATAAGTAGCCGGATCAGTACCAGAGCCACCCAGATAACATCCCGCTATCATGCCCTGCTTCTGCATTTACTGGTAACATCATCTTCATTATGCTATAAATTATGTTAATGGTGTGAAAATGCACATTCACAAACTCAAGAATTATAGACGTTGTTGTGCGTTTATATATAAAAACTAAAACCTACTGTTGTAATTTTGTAATAATTATATAGATTATATCAATTCAGTTGCCTCAAGCTTGACCTTTTTATTTTATTTGTCAGGAAACAATCAAACAGCTCCAGGAGGAAGTGTCTTCAATTGAAGAAGCTCAGTGTGTCTTCACCACCTTCTCAGAGTGGCTCAACACGGCTCAGAATAATTTCAGCTCTGTGGCTATAAGTGTTAATGTAGCAGACCGCCTCACCCTGGAGAGAAAGATGAAGAAACTGGAGGTATGTTTTGATAAATCTGCATGCATATCCTGTTTTATGTCTCATCTCCCAGACAATCCAGTTTCAAATCTGATGTCACTTCAGGCTCTTCAGGCTGACATGGAGCAGGGTCACACATATCTGAAGACAATGAGAGAGAAAACAGAGCATGCAATGGCATTTTTGGAAGAACCTGAAGCAGATCAGCTTAAGCAGGAGGTGGAGTCTCGACTTTTTCAGCTAGAGGAGTTAATGGTAGCTCTACGAACAGAGCACAGCTCCCATGAGAAGTGCATCTCACTCTCCAAAGACTTTATGGATAAATACAAAGCCCAGGCCCAGTGGGTGATGGAGACCAAGAACCTTTTAGGGCCGAGTTTGGAGCCTAAAGCTGAGCTCTACCAGAAGAAGGCTCAGCTGGCAAAGTACAAGGTAAGTTAAAATGTGTGTTTAAATAAGAGTGAGACAACTACTCAGTAATATTTGTAATACATTACTTTTTTGTCACTTATGCAGACTATTCAACAAACTGTAGAGGCTCACGAGTCTGCAGTGAAATCTGTCATAGAGAAAGGAGAGGCGCTGCTCGACATGATCAATGACCCCACCATCAGTGAGAACATGAAGAAGCTACAGGCGGACTATCAAGATCTTTTTTTGGCAGCTAAGGTACAGGAAGGTTTTCTGCTGCTTTGAAGTGTTTGTGGGTATTGAGACCTCAAAATATCTCAAAATAAAAATACGTATTTTGTTTGTTTTAGACTCATGTCCAGAACCTTGTGGAGTGGGTAAAAGAGCACGAGGATTACAACAGTGAGCTACAGGAAGTAGAGAAATGGTTGTTACAGATGTCCAGCAGGCTTGTGACCTCAGACTCGATGCAGACCAGCAACATGGAGATGGCTACTCAGCAACTGGCCCGACACAAGGTGATCAACGTCTTCATTCATTCCAGTTTCACAGTAATGTTTAAGCTACTGCTGTGAGCAGATGGAATAGAATGATTGACACTTATGAACTTAAACTATAGTGTATTATAACCAACTTTTTATACATCAAAGGTATTTATTTGTTTGTTTGTATCAGAATCAGAAGTGTTTTATTGCCATATGTGTGAGGATCACAACATTAGGAAATTGCTGCGGTACTTGGTGCAAGAAAAAATAAATAAGCAAAAATTAGAATTAAATAGTAAACACAATGAAATGATAATATAGTCAGGCAATAATAATAATATTAATAATATTAATTAATAATAATATCACTGATTTTAGGCCACAATGGAGGAAATCACCAACTTTGAGGAGCGTCTCACCAGTCTAAAGCAAAAAGGAGAAGGTCTTATTGTTAGCTGCACAAATCAAGTTCAAGTTCATGGTAAGATCAGCCAACAAGTCCAGGCTCACCTACAGGGGACCAGAGATAGCTACTCTGCCATTTGCAGCACTGCCCAGCGTGTGAGTTGTAGATGACAACAACCAATTGTCTTCACCATTTTGTACATTTTATTTGAAGGTGGCTTCAGAGGTGATCAAACAGTTAATTTTGATTATTTCTATGCTACAGGTTTACCAGAGTCTGGACCGGGAGCTGCAGAAACATGTCAGCCATCAGGACACTTTGCAGCAGTGCCAAACCTGGCTAACAACCGTACAAGAGGAGCTTCAGCTCAATGATCAGGGACCATCTGGTCTACAGGAAGCCCTGAAGCAGGTACAGTGGGGTCACCTGGTCTTGGGAATTAAATCTGTGAGGCTTCAGCTCTGTTTCTGTATTTGATCATTTATTATTTAACTGCACATGCAGGTGAAGCACTACAGAGCCCTTCAGGAACAGGCCAGCACATATTTGGACCTGGTGTGTTCTGTGTGTGACCTTTCTCATGATGCTGTGAGAGTTGCAGCAGCTGAGGTCCAGCAGATCAAACTCACGGTCAGTATTAACATCTCCTGCAACCAAAATAATAGTGTTTCTGCTTCTGTGTGTGCATGTGGATTTTTTTTATGTCAATAAAAGAAAGATTTCCATTAGATGTAGACAATGCTGAAAGTCAGGGGAGTTGGAGGTGGCAGTAACATGAATAAAACCTGTTTATACACTTTTGTACAATTGAAATTTAACATAAGATCCACAAAGAAGTCCACACAGACTGTGCACTCTGTATTAAATCATCCTTTAGAAATCAGTGTGACTGCAATGTTGGAGAATTTGTAGGGTAAATATGATTTGTTCGTATATTTAGAAAAGCTGCATTAAATGTTTTATTTTAATGTCTGCACAGATAGAAGAAAGGATGTCCAATGCACAAGAGCTTTCAGAAGGCTGGAGAGAGATTAAGGAACAAAAGCAGGATCTAACAAGCTTGTTTCAGGACATGGAGCAGCAGCTCCTCAGCCTCTCTAGAAGACCAGCAGAGTTGGAGACTAAGATCGCCCAGAACATGTTGTTCCAAGTTAAGGTGGGTGCTAGCATCAATCAAACTCTTGTATTTGCAACTCTTTGCTTTTAGTCTGGTTTAGCATTCTGTCGTGTGTTGTGAGATTAAATAAAATGTAATTTAAATGTCTGGAAGGATGTAGTTTGACCATGACTTGCACTTCTTGTGACCCAGGAATGTGGCCAAACGCTGCAGTCTAAACAGAGTATTCTCACCAGAATGACGGAGACTGTGAACAGACTGACTGGCGGCCAAGACACAGCAGAACATGCAGAACTTGACCATCTAAGCCACTCCTGGCTTGAGCTCTGCCACCAGGTAAACAAGCTGGAATCCCAGAGAGAGGAGGACCTGCAGAGGTCTAAAGATTACCATGACTGCATTGCTGCAGTGGAGGAGTTGTTTGAGCAGGTGTCCAAGGAGTGGGACAATCTGGCCAGGTGGGTTTCAACAAACCTAGTTAGTGAAATGAAAATGTAGCTCTTTTATTACAAACTATTTTACCATGTTTCTCATCCATTTTCAAGTTTCAACTCTATTTTTCCAATGCATCAAGTACAGGATACACAGAATGCAATGAAATACCTCTTACCTCGACTCTTTCTCGTCAACAAAAATTAGCTATACATCTTGAGCATTTGTGTGATTGTTTTGCTACAGAACGGATGCTGAAAGCTCATCTCAGCATTTAGAGGCATTAAAGAAGCTCGCGATAACTCTGGAAGAGCAGAAAGGCACCCTGGAAAACCTCAGGGAGCAGAAACAGAAAGCCATCCAACATCTGAACTTGGATGACAAGGAGCTGGTCAAAGAGCAAATCAGCCACTTTGAGCAGCGATGGTTGCAGATGCAAAATCTCATTGAAAGAAAAATACAGGACTCCGTGGTGACCTTGGAAGGTATGAGACAAGTGGAGGCTCATCTGAGAGAGGCTCGGGACTGGGCCGAGGAACAGCAGCCTGCTTTATCTGAAGCTATGAAGATGAGCCCCCCTCCTGAACTGGCTCAGAGCTTCCTGTTTGACCACTTGAGCATCTGCAGTGAGCTGGAGGCGAGGCAGCTCCTACTGGCTCAGGCCATGGCTGACGCTGACAGGGTGCTGCCACGGCTGGGCCTCAGTGAGCGCCAGAGTCTGCAGCAACTGATTTCTGACACTCAGTCAGAGGTGGAATCTCTGAGTGTGAAAGTAGTGCAGCGGCGTAAACACCTCAGCAAGGCGTTTACAGAGAGGACACAGTTCCTGATGGCGGTTAATCAGTCCATCTCCTGGGTTCAGCAGAATGAGAAGAAGGCCCAGGCAGAAGAGTACATTGCTTTGTTGCCTGATGACCTTGCCAAGCAGGTGCGAACATGCCGGAACATCCAAAGCAGCCTGAAAGCTTACCAGAGTGAGTTAACCTCACTGTGGTCTCAGGGGCGAGACCTGATGAGAGAGGCCAGCGATGAAGAAAGAAACGAGATCCTCACAAAGTTGCAGGAGTTGCAAAATATCTTTGACAGGACACTCCACAGATGTGGTCAGAAACTTCAGGAGCTGGAACGAGTCCTTGTCTCCAGGAAGTATTTTAAAACAGATTTGGAGAAGATATGCCAGTGGCTAAAACAAGCGGATATTGTTACGTTTCCTGAAATCAACCTGATGGTGAGTGATGCTGAACTACATGCACAGCTGCTGAAGTACCAACAGATAATCGAGCAGGCTGTCGAGTATGAGAATCTTCTCCTGATTGTTCAGAGAGCAGGTCAGGAGATATTACCCACTCTTAATGAAGTAGATCACTGCTACTTGGATGAAAAACTCAACACCCTCCCTCAACAGTACAACAGCATTTTAGCACTAGCCAAGGAAAAACAAGAGAAAATCCAGCAGGCCATTTTAACAAGGAATGAATACACGTCTTTTATAGATGTCACTCACAGAGCCCTGAAAGAGCTAGAGGAGCAGTTCAATAACCTGGCCACCCAACCTGTTGGGCTACAGACAGAGGAGGTTGTTAGTTTACAGAGTGACTACAAAGCTATTCTGACAGATCTCAGCAACCTGGGTCTGGCTGTGAGTGAACTGAATCAGAAAAAAGAGGGATTCCGCAGCACAGGGCAGCCATGGCGCCCAGAGGAAATGACCCAGCTTGTGAGCCTCTATAATGGATTAAAGAGGTTAGTGGAACAGAAAGTAGAACATCTAGATGAAACTCTAGAGTCTTTTGAGGACCACAAGGCGATGGCCATGCAGGTTGACTCTCAGTTAAAGGCCACCAAGGAGCAGCTGGTTAAAGTGAGTGCAGAGACGCAGTCAGCTGAGGAGAGGCTTAAGAACTACCACGCTCTAGCAGGGAGTCTCCAAAGTGCCAACTCCCACTTATCAAGGCTCATGGAGCAGATGGACACTCTTGCCCCTCGTGTGGAGCAAGCAGCCCACGATGCCTCCAAAGAGCAGGTGATTCTGTGGCAGGAGGAGCTGCGATCACTACAGGCTGCAGTGGGCGATCTGATAGAAGAATGTGAGACCAGGTTCATCCAGAGCAAAGACTTTGAGACTGAGATGAAACGAACCCTGGACTGGCTGCAGCATATCAGGGATGAACTAGACTGTGCTGTGATTGTCGACGTGAGAGTGGAGAAGGTGCAAGAGGAGATAAGGAAGCAGCAAATCTTGCAAGAGGAAGTTCAGTCCAGACTGAGAATTGTGGCTGCTCTGAGTAGTCGGGAAAAGCAGGAGTATGTCAGCGCTAACGAGCTTGTCCCTGTGCATGTGGATACAAGCCTCAAAGAAATGGCAAAACTACAGGCAGACGTTCAAAAGGCGCTGACATCTAAACAGGTGGGGTGCTCTTACAGTCTGTTTAATACTGATGCTTTTAATTACAGAATAAAGGCCCAATAAAGGATATTTACAAAGGAAAATAAATTAATCATTAATGTATTTATCTGTGTTTCTGCGTGGTTTTGTATGAAGCTTACCCTGGAGGATGCCCTGGTGTTGTGTCAGAAGTACCACTTCAGAATGCAGTCAGCGTGCGAGTGGTTGGAGGATGCTGTGTCTTTCCTTCAACAAGCTAGCTTGGGCGTAGACGTCGAGAACTACGAGGAGTGCCTCCGGCAACAGGCGGACATCATGGGAACTGAGCAGGAGTTTCTCATCCATCTGGAAGAGCTGCAGACGCTGCTTCCCCAGTTAGAGAGCCTAGTGAACCCCACAGCTAAAGAGCATCTACGAGTGAGCGTGGAGTCGGCAAAGCAGAGAGGCGAAGAGGTTCGAGATCAACTCCAGTGTCACCAGGATGTCCTACAAAGGTAAGAGACATCAAATTCTCGATCGTTTTTACATGTTTGTTCACTAGCAAAATATATCATGACAGATTTTAATTAAACTCTCAGAAAATAATGATTTAGATGTGCAGCTACAACTGATCCACTTTGGAGTCAACTTTATTCAAGATAAATGATACTCTAAAGCTTTGGTTTCATTGAGGGGTCCATGATGGGTTAGAGCGGGTAGGGGAGCAAATTTGTCTGTTTCTGTTATAAAAGCAGGCCATGTAACTGACCTGGACTGCAGTGGTACAGCTAGGGTAGAGCGGCTGGTGTCACACAACTCAGTCCATTGACTGGGTAAAAGAAAAACATCACTGCTTACAACAAGCAAACTAAACACCAGAGTGCGGTAATGTTTATCTTTCTTTATACACAGATGTGAGCAGATGCCAGCAAGTAGTAGCAAAGTTTGGTCCTCGTCAGAACTTCAAACATTCCTCTGTATTGTCGGCGAAAGCCACATACAGTACGGTTCACATTTAGGTCTAACCCCACTTGCCAAGTGAGAGTACAACTGGTAATCGAAACGCTGTCCTGAAATCGACAAGCCATACTAGCCCACGACAACCCACTCAATAGAATCGAACCATCAAAACCAAATGGCTACAACTCAGTCAGTTTAGCAGGCATTGATCTAAAATTGGGTGTTATAGCTAAGAATTCTTCACAACACAAACTCTGAGTGCTAAAAGATTGCTCAATATCATAAGAGATTGCACACAATGGTATTGTACAGGTGTGACTAAAGCATCTAGCTCCATTCATTTTCAGCATGCAATGATCTCAGTTGGAGGACCTGTCCACACCACTGGGGACACTTTTTAAAACATTTTTACATTTGTTTCTCCTATCCACATTTTTGATGAGAAAATTTTAGATTTTTAAAATGACCTTCAAAAGTTGATTATTTTTAAAACGCCCCCATGTGGATGGAAGCTTCACAGGAACAAGATTAAACAAAATTTATGTTATTTAGAAATAAAAAGAAACATCTCAGTGTAGAAATATGTGTTGACCATGTATATTTAGAAAGAGTAAATGACATAAAATTTCTTAGTGTGATCATTGACCACAAGGTCTGTTGGAAACCACATATTGCTTATGTTCGGGGGAAATGGGCAAGAAGCATAGCTGTTCTGGTGAAGGCTAAGCAAATCTTGGATCAGAGAGCACTGAACATATTATACTGTGCTTTATTATTCCCATATATGAGCTACGGTGGAAACGTCTGGGGAAACTCATACAAAGGTAATATCCGACCAATAACTGTAATGCAGAAAAAGGCCACAAGATTAATAAATAATGCAGGGCACAGGGACCATAAAAATGCTTTTTTAAATCAAAATACAACCAAATTCCAAGACTTAGTAAAGTTCAAAACAGCACATATAATACATAAAGTAACAAATAAAACGCTTCCAAAAGAAATGAGTTAAATATTTATAGTCAGAGAAGGTGGGTACAACCTAAGAGGGAAATGGAATTTCAAAATACAAATTGCCAGAACTATTTTAAACAGTATGTTTAATACAATAGCAGGAGTAAAATTATGGAACAGCCTAACCGAAGAAATAAAAGAAAGTAATAACTTAGACCAGTTTTAAAGTAAATATAAAAAACACATTTTAAATGGATATAAGAATGAAGAAATTGGGGTTAAACCAGGTCAGTAATATTGAGGGTGATAGGGTTGATTTGTTTGTTACGTATTTTGTGGATTTGAAATGTACATATGAGAAGAAATTAATAATGCAATAATGTCCCTTCAGAGTGGAAAGGCTCCTGGTCCGGATGGTTTTCCAACTGACTTTTATAAAAAACTTAAAGACAAAATTGCTCCTCTTCTTCTTGCAGTTTATGAAGAAGCACTGGAGAGAAATATTCTTCCACCTACACTCCGGCAGGCATCTATTACACTGCTATTAAAGAAAAATAAGGATCCTCGGGATTGCTCGTCTTATAGACCGATAAGCTTAACAAATTTTGATGGCAAAGTGTTCTCAAAGGCCATTGCACTTCTACTTGAGACAGTTCTTCCTAATATCGTTTCCGGGGATCAGACTGGGTTCATCCAGGGTCGACATTCGTACTTTAATCTTAGACGATTGTTTAATTTCATCTACACTGATTCTGGCACTTGATCCCCAGAAGCAGTAATATCACTTGATGCCGAAAAGGCGTTCGATCGTATCGAGAGGGATTATCTTTTCCAAACACTTAGCAGGTTTGGTTTTGGTCCTAACTTTACTCAGCTTGTCAAGCTCATCTACACGAGTCCAACTGCTTCTGTTAATACTAATGGGTTGTCATCTGATTTCTTCCCTCTTTTAGAGGGACTAAACTGGGAGACCCAATAAGCCCCTTGCTTTTCGTCTTGCTATAGAACCACTCGCTATAGCTTTAAAAAGTAATAACATTATACAAGGCATCTCACGTGGTGGCCTAACCCATACAGTCTCGCTCTATGCAGATGATTTGTTATTTTATGTCACCAGTCCCATTACCTCTGTCCCAGAAGTCCTTAGAACATTGCAGAAATTTGGAAGCATATCCAGATATAAGTGAAATCTTAATAAGAGCGAATACTTCCCGATTAGCAGCAATGCTAGAGAGTACCCCAATCTTCCATTTAGGTTGTCAACAGAGTCCTTCACTTATTTGGGAGTTAAAGTTACAAAATCCTACTCTAGTTTGTTTAGAAGTAACCGTATTCCTTTGTTAGATCAGTGCAAACAAGATATTAAAAGATGGGCGAGTTTGCCATTATCTCTTATTGGGAGAAAAAATTCTGTAAAGATGACTATTGTACCAAAATTCTTATATTTATTTCAAACACTGCCTGTGTATATACCACAATCTTTCTTCAAAACATTTAATCAAATTATTTCTTCCTTCTTATGGAATAATAAAGCAGCTCGTATTAGGAAAGAATTAATGGAAAGACCGAAAAATGTAGGTGGGCTCTCACTCCCAAATTTGCGTGCATACTATTGGGCAGCAACTTTCAACGCCATCACTTTATGGCTAAAAGATCGGACTGATAGGATTCCTGCATGGCTACAGGTTGAGAGGGTTACAAGCAGCCCTTCATTCACTCCCGGCCTTACTCTGCGCACCCCTACCATCACTAATTAATAATCTTAAAGATAATATAATTGTAACTCAGTCACTGCACAATGTAAATCAGTTCAAGCGACTTCTTGGTTGTCAAAGAATTTCTATTCACTCGCCAATAATGCATAATCACCTCTTTCAACCGTCCTTAATGGACAGTGGCTTTAAAGTTTTGGCATGACAAAGGTATTCATAGTATTGAAGATTTATATAGAAATGACACCTTTGCAAGCTTCGAACAGCTATCTAGGAAATTTGGTTTAACCAACAATCTCTCCCTGCGGTATTTGCAAACTAGAGATTTTACTCGTAAAAAGCTGCATGAATAATGGTTACATTTAAGGGGGTAGGGCTAAATAAGTGTTTACTTCTGTCTACTCCTTTTCAAACAAATTGTTGAAGGATAAGTTGTAAGGACTGTGAATGTATATGTTTGAAATTAAAAAAAAGAACTGAACTGAACACATTTTTGTTAGAAAAATAGAGATGAAGAAATTTAATAAACACAGGGAAAACATATCTGTTGAAAAGTATTTATAAAATTGTTGGTCCTAAAACTCTTAAATCTATCTGGGATTGTATTTTACATTTAACTCCAGCATATTTGTCTTTCTCAGCTGTGTGGCCCAGTGGAAGTCATTTCAGGAGGCAAGACAAACCGTTATTGAGCTTATGAACGAGGCTGAGAAGAAGCTTACAGAGTTTTCTACTGCTAAGGCAGCGACGAACCAAGAAGCTGAAGAGAAGCTGTGCAGTCATCGGGTATGAAAGGCACACACAATACCCCTCATTATACGGTTTCCTCCTGAATTGCCTTCTATGGGTGCTTTTCTTTATTTATTTTCTTGTTTCTATTAGTCTCTCGTATCTCTTGTGAATGGCTTTCAAGAGAAGCTGAGTGGTTTGGAGGAACAAGCTGCTCAGCTGGAGCTGGTGGGGAGTGACGCCAGCAAGGCCACCATCAGTCGCTCCATGACAACAGTATGGCAGCGTTGGACGCGACTGCGCAGCGTGGCACGGGGACAGGAGAGAGTGCTGGAGGACACAGCACAGGAGTGGAGGACTTTCAGAGAGAAGGTATGCAGGCAGAAAATTTTATAATTATATGAAAAAGTGCAGCTTTGCAATACCAACTTCCTTTTGTTTAGATGGTCAAAGTTCGAGCGGTCTCTGACGAGCTCCAAAGTCGTTTCCCTGACAGCGCTGTGGAGAAAGCCTCCAAAGCCACGCTGCTATCTCTGTTAGATCAGCATGACTTACTGAGCCAAGACCTGGAGAGGGAGCTCTCCTCGCTCACTCTGCTACGCCAGTACGCCCTCAGTCTGCTGCACAATATGGAAGTGCCTCCTTCACCGACAGCCGATCAAGATGAGCTTCCTAGCTTAAAGGAGATCAGAGCAGTTCAGGACCAAATGGAAAGGTAAAGATAGCCGTCTAACCACATCTAACGTACTGTAATGGATGAACACTCCCTGTAAATTTCATATATTTTATAATTTAACCATATTTAGTCATTTGGAGTTTCTAAATAAATATTATCCATTTGTCTTCAGCCTTTTGACACAGTCTAGAACCAAGCGTACTCAGTCAGCTCAGGAGCTGAGGGAAAGAGAAGAAGTGGAGAAGGAACTCAGTGTGGTGAAAGCCTGGATCCAGGAGACCAGAGAGCTCCTTCTGAACCCCACACCAGACATCGATTCTCTGCTGCAGGAACTTGAGGTATTTATACCACTTAAAAATTCTGCGTTCTTCTTTGTATACATGGTTTCTCTCCATTAAATTGGTCTTCTATTGGTGTGTTTAGATCATACATGGTGACGTCATTACTTATCGTCAGAATGTGGAAAAGCTAGCTGAGCAACAACAGAGCAAGTACTTAGACCTCTACACTATCCTCCCCTCTGAAATCTCCATGCAACTAGCTGAGGTCTCTCTTGCACTGGGTGCAATCGAAGATCAGGTAAACTGACCTCGTCGTGATAAGAACTTTGAAATCAGTAAACTGCTTTGACACTTTTTATGAGCTAAGTATTTAGCAAGTATGCCCCTTTTTGTCACTTGTGTTCCAGGTTCTTTCTAAAGAAAGGGAAAATCAGAGAACCAGAGAAATAAAGGAGGACTTCAGCTCTCGGATCCATGACATGTCAGAGAAGCTGAAGGCAATTGCTAATAAGTTTAAGGAGAAATCTCCAGATGTGGATCATGCCAAAGAGGAGGTCAAGGTTGGCTCCCTACTCTGCTTCATTTGTCAGTAGACTTTCCTGCCTACAAACACTGATGTACGTTTACCATATTTTGTTTCTTAGAGCCTTTTCGAGGATTTGGACTCCTGTGGCCGCTCTCTCTCAGAGCTGGATTCTGGCGTGCAAGAGTTTAGTCGCAGAAACCCGCTGCTGGCCAAACAGCTCAGTGATGCTATTAACAAGTTATCCGAGATGCATCACCACACAACTCGACTAGCAGACTGTAGGAACAACTGGCTCAAAAAGGTTTGCTTTTTTGCATCATCTCCATCTAATGCCAACATTCTGCCACACATATTTATAAAAGGATGCTAAAATGTCTCATATCTTGACACTTCAGGCTGTCTGCTATTTGGATGAGTATAACGAGATGCTGGACTTTATTGTGAGGTGGTGTGAGAAAGCTAAAAGCCTGTTGAGGGCAAACATCATCTGGAACTCCTCTGTTCATCTGCAGGAGCAGATACGGATGTACCAGGTGTGTGTGGATGTTATCATCTTATAACGGGCACAAGTATGTAAACTGGACTTCACAGTTTAACATATGTGTTCTAAGGTCTTTGGGAACTTTAAGACTTGTATTTCGTCTACATAATGTTCAAGGAACTACTTATTAATGAGGGGTTGCTGTATTTAGTTTGGCCTGCTACACACCTGTTTTGTTGCCTTTGCTCAGGCTGTCTTTCGTGAGTCTCGAGAGCTCCATGGAGACCTTGAATCTATGGCAGAGAAGGTAGAGCTTCTGTCTGAGGTTCTTCAAGTTGAATCAATGAGTCAAGAGGTTTGTGAACTCAGCCGGCACACTGATGAGCTTCAGCAAAGCATCAAGACACGGCTGCAGAGCCTGCAGGATGCACACAAGGTACAGGGAAATGTTCCTGAAGAAGCATTGGTGTTTTAGACCCAAATGTTTCAGTTAATAAATAACCAACTTGTGTCTTTAGAGCATGGAAACCCTCGAGTTTGAAGTTAAGGCCTTACATGTTGCTCTGGAGCAAGTCCAAGCTACACTGACCTCACCAGAGCTGGCACGCCAGAGCCTCAAAGAGCAACTCAGTCAGAGACAGGTGACTGAAAAGAAATCCATATTTATGTCTCCATTTTACTTTGTGTAATGATTATTAATTATCAACATTGATCCGTGATTTGGTTTTGCAGCGGCTGTTGGCAGAAATGGAGAGCTTCAAACAGCAGGTGCAGACGGTGCAGCTGTGTCAGAGCGCACTTCGGGTTCCAGAGGAAGTGATGCCCAGCCTTTCAATCTGTCGCACCGCTCTGCGTCTGCAGCAGGAAGCCAGTCAGTTACAGCATGTGGCAATACAGCAATGCAACATTCTACAGGTAGAGAGGGGGCGCTCTGTTGCTGTGGGTAGCATTCAAAAGTATTATCTAAACTGAGTAAAAACTCCAGGCTTGAAAATGTATTTTATGTATTTTCAGGTCTTAAAAAATAAAATTATGCTAATTTATAAACACCTATTATTAAGAATTATATCCTTGGAATAAAACAACCTGAATGGTACTTTTACAAATTGATTTATCCTTTTTTCCAGGAGGCTGTGGTTCAGTATGAGCAATATGAACTGGAGGTGAAGGATCTACAGGGCCTGATAGAAGAAGCACACCAGGTCATTCAGGACCGACCAATCCCCACCAATAACATTCAGGAGCTGCAAGCCCAAATTCTTCATCATGAGGTAAAACACCCGCATCCTGTCACCACTCCCCTTTACTTTATATGGAGTAAAGTTAGGAAGTGGTTGTGAATACTGATCAGCTGGCTGGGCTGCAGTATTAGTGGTCATTCATACAATTCATAATACTTTTTCTATGTACAGGAACTGGCCCAGAAGATCAAAGGCTACCAGGAGCAAATTGCTTCACTGAATTCAAAATGCAAAATGTTGGCAGTGAAGGCCAAACATGCCACCATGCTGCTAACAGTCAGTGATGTAGAGGGACTTCCAGAGGAGCTGGAGGACATGAATGGAGACAAATCCAAGAAATCATCTCAGTCTGTCACAGTAAGACCACATCATCCACCACTGTGGCTCCTGACCTAGGGTGTCATGTCATGCCGGATGAGGATGTTTCTGAAGTTTTTAGGTCTTCTTAAGGCTATTAGAAACACCTGAGAGCGGATTTTGTAGATATATAATAACAAAAGACTTCCTCAAAGACTGCATCTTCATTAATACATCTTACATTTAAAGTTGATACTTGGCAGACAATATCGATCTGTCTGTCGATGGACTAGAGTAGGGGGTATTAAATTCCGGGCGTGGAGGTCCGGTATCCAGCACATTTTAGTTTTAACTCAATTTCAACACACCTGATTTCAATCAGCAGGTGATGAACAGGCTTCTGCAGAGCCTGCTGAGCTGTCGAGCAGGTGAATCAAGTGTGTTGAATCAGTGAAACCACTAAAACGTGCTGGACCTCAAGGACCAGAATTAAATACCCCTAGACTAGAGCAACAATCAAACTATTGATTTTATTCACTAAAACAAGTGGATTTTCTGTAACAAATAGAGAGATCCTGTGATTCTAAACATATTCTACAGATTTATTTATCATTTATTGATACACCTTCCTATATCTTTCTGCTATTTCTGGGTTTTTTATCCATTTAATGTAGGGAGCTAAACACCTAGCTTATAAATGCTCTATTTTCCCAGTACATCTTGCATGTCTGCTCACCTGTTACTGTTTCTCGTCTGTTCTGTCAGATGACAGCTGGCCGCTGTCACACTCTTTTATCACCTGTTACTGAGGAGTCTGGGGAGGAGGGCACTAGCAGTGAGGTCTCCTCCTCCCCTGTGTGTCGTTCTCCTTCACCTGTCTCTCACACTGAAGGCTCTATCACCAAGGTATCTAACCTGCCACGCCTCTAAAGATGTTAACTCTTATCTGGTTGTTGATCTTTCCTCTGAACTCTGTCCTATGTAAATGGTTAAACTATTCTAAAAAGTACAACTGATTAAAAAATGCTCAGTCACAGATATTGTGTTATTATTTTTTATTGAATGAAAGATGATATCTGGCCTTATCTGGCTGAAGGTGCCGATTGAATATTTTTCAGATGGGACGTGGAACACTCATAAGAGCTCCAATTCAAGAGTTGTACGATCCAACGTTTGAGTCTGTGGCCAACATGGATGACCTACAGCGCTCATGGGAAACTTTAAAGAATGTAGTACGTAAAAAAGTATTTTTAAAAATCAGATGTGTTTAATGTCTATGACATGACTTGAGTATCTAACTTAGCATTTGTTTCAGTATTTCAGATTCACCTTGCGTGTTTTGTAACTTGTTGAATTACAGATCAGTGAGAAGCAGAGATCCTTGTATGAAGCTCTGGAAAAACAGCAACATTACCAGAGTGCGCTGCAGTCCGTCTCCTCAAAAATGGAAACATTGGAGTCCAAACTTACTGAGCCTTTGGAGACAGACAGGAGTCCAGACAGCCACATGAAGGCACACGAGGTGAGTTTCAGCACATCAATCTCTTCACTCAAGAGTCTATGTTTGCAGAAAGCATCACTTTGCAAATTCAGGATCTTTTTTTCTTCACCATTGATCACGCGCTGGTGTGGTGCTCCATTTGGTTAAATGGCTTAAAACAGTCTCTTTCATTTAATTTATAAACTGCTAATTCACAAACTGAAATGCTCTTGTTTGAAACGAGTTGTTCGAGTTTATGTGTTTCCCTATTATTCATGAATGAAGTCAAGCTTAGAGCCTTAACTCTGAAATAATATTGACAAGTCAAAGGTTGACTGGACGAAGGATTTTTTGATGAATGTAGAGCAGAGACCGAAAAACCGACACAGGCTTTATTTATTAGTGAAAACATGGTGATGAGGGGTTTAACCTCTTGGTTGTTCTGTGCAGACTCTCATTGAAGAAATTCAGAGTGTGCAGGATGAAATCAATAGGCTGCAGTCGAGCTTCACCGGGGATCTGGCTGCTGATGTCGTGGACTCAGACTTGGTTGACCAGCTGGCCATGCGGTCCTCGCTTGCTGTGTTGGCTGAAAGAATGGCCACCATCCATATGAAAGCTTCAGGGAAACAACAGCAGCTGGAGGTCGTTACACCTTCTATCTGTATCGCTAACATCACCGTAATAAACAAATTCAATGAATGTGGTGTGGCCTGCTGTAGGAACGTGCCACCGACCGTCTGGAGGGTCAGCGTCTGGAACAAGCAATACAGTCTTATCACACAGAGGCAGAAGGTCTGGATCAGTGGTTGGCTGAAGCTCGTGCTGCTGTCAAGGGCATTGTTGAAGCCGAGCCTACAGAGGAGACGAACAGCGAAGATCAGGAGATTGAATGTCAGGTAAGTCAGGCAAAAATCTGAATGTTTACATGCATCTTTCCCTTCATGTATTGCACGTGGATCACCACGTGGGAGTTTTTATAATGTAAACAAGAGCATTAGTGAAGTTAGAGGGGCATTCAGATGGCCGGAGTGCTAAGTGACTGGTCTTAAGCGGATTAAGCTGAGGTTTGGGACGGGGCGGGTCAGAATCACAGGGTGGAGCTGTCACGAATAATACAGCCTGCTATTGGTGCTGGTGACTAATCTGCTTGAATATCCAAGTGTAGGATTGCAGAGTAGAGTGAGAAACAGATGAGAGACAGTCCCTGTCAGTCTTGGAATAACCTGCTTTAGGTAGAGCTGCAATGCTATTAGAAAGCTGATGTCTCCTCTAACATCAGAACAACAATCCTCGATGGCCTTTGACAAGAGCTGGGGACATTCAGTTGTGTTTACTGCAGGGGCATTGTTGTTCAATTTGACTGAGAGGATGTCTACTGCAGAGCATGGACCGTGAAGGATTAGTGTTATTATGCTGCACAGGAGGCGAGGGCGGAAAGGTGGGCCAAGGATGAGAGCTCTCTCTGTCCTGTGGCCGGGGAAAGCTGCTAGACTCGAGGGCTCAGCCAGGCCTGGAGTGACTGTTGTTTGGAGAGAAAGGTTGTGAGACATCATGTTTGAGCTGGCCTCTCTCCTCCTGCTTCTGCAGAACATGCTGCTGGAGATTGATGAAAAAGTGTCAGCCTTCTCCGAGCTGTCGCTGCGCAGTGAGAACCTCCTGCTGGAGGGCCGAGTGGACACTAGAGAAGAGGCAGAACGTCTGGCTTCAAAGTTACGCACGTTGAAGGGAGGTTTACTGGAGCTACAGAAAATGCTGCAGGACAAACAGCTTAGCATCCAGGTGAGAGGCTGCCAGGTGGAAGTAGTGACAAGTAGACATTACTTTGGTTCTACTTGTGCTTCAGTGTTTTATTTCCGAGACAACAAATTCTACACTAAATTAGGAGTTTTACATTTGAATACAAAGTTAAAGGTTTGCCCTACAGCACCTCACATTTCACTTCTTGTTGCTTTTACAATTTTGATTCATCTTAAAAACATCAGTAGATGCAATGCAGCTGTTACCTGCATTACTTAACACCAGTTAAATGTGAGCTGTTTGTCTCAGTCTCACTTTTTCCATTGACCTTTTCAGTATCCTCTTATTTAGCATTAATATGTCTATGATAAAAAAATTATTCGATTTTATTTGCTTGATCATGACATGCTGATGATTTTGTTTTATTGATGTGTAATTTACTATCATTTGTCATTTTGAACATGAAGCACATTGATCTATATGCCTGTTTGGAAAGGGGGTCTAATATAAAGATTGGTACAAACAAATCTCTGTCTATGAAGGGCTCTGTACCAGAACCAGAAGATAGTGAATCAGACTCCAGTCTCTCTCGGAGTTCTAGTGTGCAGGACTGGCTGGCCCAGGCCAGAACCACAAGAACCCAGCAACAGGAAGACAGCCTGCAGAGACAGAAGGTCGGATATTTTACTTCAACGTATAGTTGATCAAACCCTTTTCAATTAACAGATTAAATTGTTTGATGCTTTGTGAAAGGAAACGAGTCTGTGTCATTCTGAGCATCAGCTAAGCAAAGTTACAGCATTGAGTTAAACCTCATGTCTGGTCTTTACGCAGGAGTTGGAGGAGCAGCTTGCAGAACAGAAAAGGCTTCTGCAGTCTGTTGCTAGCAGAGGAGAGGAGATCCTCATAAAGCAGGCCTCGCCATGTAGTGCCAGGTAGCTGATCATCACTTCCACTGTAAAGGTGCTGTGAGAACCTCAGCATTGACACACACCTGTTTGTGTCTCTGCAGCACAACCGAGCCATTTTCTCCTGAAGCTTTATCTGAGACGGGGCGGGAGCAGATGAAGCAGAGGTGGGAGAGCCTCAGACTGGAGCTCAAAACCAAACTCCAGCTTCTACAAAAGACCCTGGAGCAGGACCAGAAGCTGCTGGTACCGTGTGGCTTCACGAGTTTCAGCACATCTCAGGAAAACATCCTGAAATGTAATGTTAACAATTAATTATTATTGTAGGTTTTCTCCAGAGCTCCTCGTGTGACCTCAGCAGGGTCGCTGTTTAAAGGGGACACCCAGTCTGACAAATCATCTCTAAAGACTCTTTATGACAGCTTCAGACAGACAGTGGAAGACATAACCACTCAGGTTTTATACATTTCTATCATTGTATTATGACGTCTGACTCCCTCTGTGGCGGTAAAAATGTATTTTATTTATTTGAATGATGCGCACAGCCTGGTGGCAGAGCAGAAACCCAGGTGGCTCAGATGGAGCAACAGCTCTACACGGCCGTGTCTTCCACATCCTCGTGGCTCGATGGAGTGGAGAACAATGTGTTCTCCGGCTCAGCGCTGTTGGCTGAAAACGCAGAGACCCAGCTACACAATCAGGAGGTGCAAAAGAGACGAATTCCCTAGCTCCAATAGTTTTCACATGTTTAATATAACAAAAGCAGTATTTTACTGCTCAGAGTGTTTCTCTTTTACATATGTGTGTTTTTTGAAAAATTCTGATTTAGATCTTGTTTTTGCAGATCTTAGAGAATGATGTGAAACATGTGGCAGAGGAAGTGAAGCTCAGTCAGGCTCTGTTGGCTGGGTCATCCGGGCTTAAACATGAAGACCGAGTTCTGCTGGAGGACAATCTGGACTGTCTGAAGGAGAGATTAGCTGCTCTTGGTGGAGCTCTGGGTCAACACCTGGACCACATGAGGACCAGAGCACATGAACTCACAGAATACCAGGTTCACCTCTTATTTTAGTTTATTTTATCTTCTACATTTTACATTTCTAGGACAAATATTGTAATTTCTGTTTGTATTTTCTGTTTACAGACTGAAATGCAGCTCCTCCAAACAGCTTTAATTGAGACTAAATGCCAGATTCTTCAAGCCCTAGCTGGAGTAATGGATAGACCAGCATCAAAACAACTTGAGGTACAGCAAATATCACATAACACAAGGAAGCTGACATATAAACTAAAAGACAACAGATAAAGAGTGAGAATTGGAGTGTATTTTTCTGATTTCTGAGTCGTTTTCTGTTCTCAGGTCATTTCCAGTGCCGAGGAGAGCTTGAAAGACTTTGAGCAGAGAATCACAGAGCTCAAAACCAGAGGAGCGGTGCTGCAGGCAGATCAGACATCAGCAAACAAACTGCTGAAGCTTCAGGTAACATATCTGCTGGATGTCACATCAGTGCTGTGACAGTAAGTCACAGTTTTCTGTTTGTGTTGACAGGATTCCTACGAGGAGTTGTTGATGACGGTGGGTTCCAGACGCAGCGGGCTGAACCAGAGCCTGGCTCTGAAGGAGCAGTACGAGCGCGCGCTGCAGGACTTGACTGACCTGGTTGACACAGCCAAAGACAAAGTGTCTGCTGATCAGAGGATTGTTGTCAGTTCAGTGGAAGAAGTCCAAAATCACCTGGACAAGCATAAGGTATGACACTGAGCCCACTGCTGGTAACAGAAACAAGCAACGAGAAGAAGGAAAACTTTCTTACTGTTACATTTTTCTGTTCTAGGAGTTTTTCCAGGGTCTGGAGTCGCATATGATTCTAACAGAAACATACTTCAGAAAGATCAGCAGTCTCATGCTTCCAAAAGAGTGCCAAGCCTTGGAGGAGACGCTGGCTGAATCTCGGAGCGTCCTGAAAGACGCACACAGTAAAGGAGTCGAGCTGGAGAGTATCCTGCAGGTAAGGGTCAAAGGTTAAAGCTGATGGATCACAACAATTTGAAATCTATGGATGTATAAATAAACAAATTATATTTCGAAAGAGCTCAGACGTTACTAAATTTGTTACATTGAATGCAAATGCTGAAAGATGTAAACAAATAAATGCTTTTGAACAAAACAGAAGGATTTCAATTTCAGGCATTCTGTTTATATTCTAATGTTGATATATTATTTATATTTATTACATATATTTCTAGACTTGGTGTTGTTTGATGTACGACTACCAGAGTCTGAACCGTCAACTGGAAGCAGTCGAGGGAAGTGTCCTGTCCGCTGGCCTCGTGGAAGAAACTGAAGACAGACTGATGGACATAATCTCTTTGTATCAGGTACAAACTGGCATTTTTATAGATTTCCTACATAATAAGTTCTTGAATGTGAATCATTCAGAATGTTTGTACTTTTAGGCAGGATTGAGCCATAATGATGTGAAGCATTTATTTATACGCCCAGCACAGTTTTTTTCCTGAGTGTTTCTGAGCTAATCTGAGCCTTTGTGGTAGTTTCACCATCCTCTAGCAGCAAAAAACCAACCTTTTCTGATGTTTGTCCTCCATTCACTACAAAGGGCCTGAGGGGACGACTGGCGGAGCACCAGCACAAGCTCCAGCAGGTGCTGGATGAGGGAAAACATCTCTTACACTCGGTTTGCTGCCCTGTGCTGGAGAATCAGCTGGCACTTTTAGGAGAACACTGGATCAGCAACACATCCAAGGTCAACAAAGAACTGCAGCGACTCGAATCCATCCTAAAGCACTGGACCAGGTTAGAATCACATAAACTACTCATGCTCATGAAGTCTGCTATGTTTACGTGGTGTGATTTAGAATTTGCTCTTGTTTCTACAGGTATCAAAAGGAGTGTGCAGAGATTAGTGAGTGGCTTCAGTCTGCTCTGGAGCGTCTGGAGTTCTGGAACACACAGGCGGTTCTGGTCCCGCTGGAGCTCGAAACAGTCAGGGACCTTTTATCTTCCTTCCTAGAGTTCTCAAAAGAAGTGGAGGGGAAGTCCAGCCTGAAGAGCTCAGTCATGTCTGAGGGCAACCAGCTGCTGCGACTGAAGAAGGTGGACACAGTGGCGCTGCGCTGCGATCTGGCACGCATCGACAGTCAGTGGACTGAGCTGCTCACACGCGTCCCGGTGGTTCAGGAGAACCTGCATCAGGTAACGTCACATGCAGCCTCACTGAACAGGCTTAGCTCCTTCAGAGAAAATAGGATTACACTTTCCTGCTCTTTCACTTGTAAACACACGTTTTAAAAGATTCTTAAATAAGCAGCATGCGCTTTTCACTCTCCTAATTTATAAATGAAGATCCAAATGGAAAAGCTGGCTTCTCGTCATGCCATTTCTGAGCTGTGTAACTGGATAGCTCTGATGGAGAACGTTATTGAGGAGGATGAAGAAAACCTCAAGAGTGCTGTGGGATCAAATGTAATTCAAGACTACTTGCAAAAATACAAGGTAATGGGGAATGTTGATGTTTTTTCTACATACCTTTGTGTGTGATTAAAGTTTGTTTTATTTTTCACATAAAAACAATGTCAACATTTAAATGGCAAATATGTAAATATTGTTTAATCGTAAATGATCTGTTTTTGTTTTCAATTTTAGGGATTCAGAGTCGATTTGAGCTGTAAGCAGCTGACTGTGGACTTTGTCAACCAGTCGGTTCTTCAGATCAGCGGTCAGGATGTGGAGAGCAAGCGCAGCGATAAGACTGACTTTGCAGAGCGTCTGGGCGCCATGAACCGACGCTGGCAGCTTCTACAAGGACACATCAATGAGAGGGTGAGGTCCCATTCAATTACAATAAGTCACTTTATCATAAACCTTCACAGTCCAGCACAGATTCTGATTCTGTTGTGTATGAAATGCCTTAAGATCCAGTTCCTTGAGAGCCTTTTGGAGATGTGGCTGGAGTATGAGAGCAGCATTCAGGCCCTGAAGTCTTGGATGACCACTCAAGAGGACAGGTTGAAGAGGAAACCTCGCATAGAAGATTTAACGTCTGTGCAGAATGCGCTCAAAGACTGTCAGGTAGGTCTATCACCTTTTCGTCAAAACTCGTGACTCCTGCAGCCCGTTTGATTTATTTTTATTCCTAGGAGATGGAAAGTTTACTGAAGGAGAAGGAGAAAGAACTGGAGCGAGTAGAAGAACAGGGCTGTGCTCTGGTTCAGAACAAGACTGATGAGGCCTGTGCCATTGTCATGGAGACCCTCCAAAGTGTCAATCACACCTGGGCTAACCTAGACCACTTGGTACTTATTCTGCTCTCTTTTCAGCTCACATATTTTGTTTGATTGTTGAGTTAACTTTCTGTCAGTTTGCTCGATGTAACTCTTTATTCTGTCTTAAATAGATAGGACAGCTCAAAATCAGCCTGACGTCAGTCCTGGATCAGTGGAGTTTGTACAAACGGGCTTCAGAAGAGATCAATGGCTACCTGATGGAGGGCAGATACTCCGTGTCACGCTTCCGCCTCCTCACAGGCTCCCTGGAGGCCGTTCAGCTGCAGGTTCAAAGTCTGCAGGTGCTTTCACAAGAAGACTTGATGAATTGATCACAATGTTTAACATTTAGATGCTGCATCAGTAGAGGTTTCTGAAATCATTAGCATGTGTGTTTTTATTCATGCTTTGTAGTGCTGTTTATCTTATTGAAACACTTTTGCATGATTTCAATCTTGATTTGTAGCCTAAGCCCCTAACATACTTAGGGGTTAAGTGATTTTCTAAATGAATGTTTTCATGTCTGTAAATCAAGTGCTGTATCTGTGTCTCCTGTGAAGGACTTGCAAGAGGAACTGGAGAAACAGGAGAGTAGTTTGAGAAAGTTTGGTGCTATAACCCACCAGCTTCTGAAAGAGTGTCACCCGTCGGTGTCAGATTCTCTGAATAATTCTCTCAAAGACGTGAATGCAAGGTGATTTTTAGAAAATATATAATGATTTGTTTATTTGTAATTAAATATATTACTGGGTGAGTGTTATTCCATGTGCCGGTTGCCCTCAGGTGGAGTGGCTTACTGGAAGAGATAGCAGAGCGTCTTAGAAGCAGCAAAGCTCTGCTGCAGCTGTGGCAGCACTACAAAGAGCTTCATGGGCAGAGCTGCTGCAGCGTTCAGCTGCAGGAGGAGAAAGCTGACCAGCTCCTGAAGAGCACCTGCAGGAAGGACATCGCCGATGAGGAAGTTGCCAGCTGGATCCACGAATGCAGCGTGAGTGAAGCCCTGCATGTGTTTGGACCTTTAAACAGAAAAAGGGTTCTTCACTTGTTTGTTTTAAAACAACATCTTGTTGGGTTCATTTCTCAGGAGCTGCTGCAATCTCAAATTCCTGTGCAAGCCTCGCTTCAGATTCTCCAGGAACTGGGAGATCAGCTGAAGCAGCAGGTAGACACGTCAGCGGCGTCTGCGATCCAGTCAGACCACCTGTCTCTCTCTCAGCGGCTGGCTGGAGTGGAACAGGCTGTTAACAGACAGCTCACCACCCTGCAGGTGCAAATAAATAACATGGACATTTATTTAAACACAAGTAAGAGTCGTAAAATGTACATTTGTGTGTTAATATGAGTGTCTGCTCAATATCAGACTGGAGTTCAGGACTACGAAACCTTTAACAAACAGCTGGAGTCTCTGGGCTGCTGGGTAGTTGAAGCTGAGGAGGTTCTGAGAGAGCAAGATCCTAACGGCTGCACGGACCTGACGGTCATTCAGGACCGCATGAAGCAGCTCAAGGTTGCTCTGGTTTTCCTGTTTCCTGTTTAGTAAAATACTTAAATCGGTAAATAATGAATAGAACCATTTTATTGTGCCATTTCACAGAAGCTCATGCTGAAATTTAGCTGCATGGCTCCTGAGTTAGAGCATCTGAATGAGCTTGGCTACAGACTCCCTCTCAATGATCTGGAAATCAAAAGCATGCAGAACCTCAACAGGAGCTGGTCCACCGCTTCAGCGCAGACCACCGAGAGATTCAGGTACAAACAATAGTAACATGTGAGAATGCATTTCTAGGAGGACTAAAAGTCTCTCTGAAAACAAATACGGCCTAACGTTTTAGGTTACATATCAATATGTAACTGACCTTTTTAGGTATTAAGATTCCATTTTACTTGCTTCTTTTCTTGTTTGTTTACAGCAAACTTCAGTCATTCCTGCTGCAGCAGCAGACCTTCCTGGAAAAGTGTGAAACGTGGATGGACTTCTTGGTCCAAACAGAAGAAAATCTAGCTGTAGAAATCTCTGGGAACTACCAGAGTTTGATGGAACAGCAAAAAGCCCATGAGGTTTTACCTGCTTGAGCAAATTGTACCAAAACATCAGGTTCTTGTTTTATTTACACCCATCATTTGTCTTTTACAGTTATTCCAGGCTGAAATGTTCAGTCGGCAGCAGATCCTTCACTCCATCATCAGCGATGGACAGAGGATGTTAGAGCAAGGTCAGGTAGATGACAGGTGTGTGTTAAATTTTTCCTGACATTTAAACAAGGCTATACCACTGGATTTTATACATTTATTGTTTTATTGCAATAACTTGATTGCAATCTGTCAGCGTTTCTCATATGAAATCATTCTCCTGCAGAGATGAGTTTAACATGAAGTTGGCTCTGCTGAGTAACCAGTGGCAGGGCGTGGTGCGGCGTGCTCAGCAGAGACGAGGCATCATCGATGGTCTGATCCGTCAGTGGCAGCACTACAGAGAAATGGTGGAGAAGCTGAGCAAGTGGCTCCTGGAGATTTCTCGCCCTGCAGAGCAGCTTCAGGCAGGAACTACAATTCCTCTGCAGAAAGCTCGCTCCATGCTTGACGCAGTCCAGGTATAATGATAATAGTACACCAGAAATGGTGTAGTAGTTTTTTGTAAGTTGTGCAGTGCAGGTAAACATGTTCTGTGTTCTCATAATGATTATTTCTGCTTAAGCTGAAGGAAAAGGTGCTTCAGCGTCAGCAGGGCAGCTACATCCTGATGGTGGAAGCAGGCAGACAGCTGCTCCTGTCTGCAGATAGCCGGGCAGAAGGCGACCTGCAGACAGAGCTCTCTGATACCCAAGAAAGGTGGAAACAAGCCAACATCTTTCTGGAGGAACAGAAGAAAAAGCTCAGCACGTTGCTGAAGGTAAAGTAAACTAAACACTGTTAGCTTTAGATCAGCAAACTGTCACAGCAGACCCTGAATGGATGCATCGTTAGTTTGCAGATTGGTCCCATGACAGCTGCAGCCTCTGTTTGCGTCATGCCTGTTTATTGTGTTTTATCCAGGACTGGGAGAGGTGTGAGAGAGGGATCGGCGAGTCGCTGGAGAAACTGCGAGCCTTCAAACGGCAGCTTTCCCAGCCTCTTCCTATTCTCCATGAAGATCTACAAGCTGAGCAGATGCGCTGCAAGGTACCAGCCTGGTTGTTTTCTGTCCAAGTTCAGTTTTGCACCATTTGAAAAGTATATATATATATATATATATATATATATATATATATATTTTTTTTTTTTTGTCTTGACGAGTTGTTAACGTTACTATTCAAACTTACGGTTTTTCAGGATCTAGGGAGCACATTTGAGGGCTGGACTGGAGATCTGACCCATCTGACTCTGCTGAGAGAGTCGCTGTCCTCCTACGTCAGTGCTGAGGACCTTTCTGTGCTGCAGGAACGCATTGAACTCCTGCATCGTCAGTGGGACGAAATCTGCCACCAGGTAAAGTCTTCCAAGTACACCTCTGTATATCTAAGTGATTTTACAATTACTTTAATAGGTTGAAATTACTTTAAAGTCAATTTCATTCCTTATTAGCAGTTAGAAGAATATATGTGTGGCTGATTTTAAGGCCTCTTTGCAGTTCATTCTTATACCACTAGGTGTTGGTGTTGTCAGGCTATTTTAAAGTAGAGCTTGTATGTTTAACTCTAGGTGAGATGAGTCAGCCAACATTAAAGCATACAGCCGCTAACATTATATATTGAATATAAAATTCTGAATTTTTATTTAGTATTTATTCTTTTAGATACTAGTTGATAGTTCCCCATAATGTTTGCCGCTTCTAAACATCAGAAGTAAGATGTTAACTCTTCTTGTGTTTTGTATATTTTATATTTTAACTTTAACGTGCAACATTCACCTTGTCTCAGACTGAAAAGCATTTCTGAAACCTCAAAAGGTTTTTTTTCAGCATTGCATCCTGTGTTGAGCAGATAAAACACACACACAGGAAACACAATCTCATACACACAAGTTGTGTAATGCAAATGAAGCTGCACCACTTCGTGATCTGAACACTACTTCCTTTTAAGTTTTTTGATGTTTTGCTTCTTTTTTCTGCAAAATGGACACAGATCAATTGGTTGTTTTCTTAAACGTTGCTAGGACATTGAGTCAGTTGTGTCTGTGCCGCTGTGTTTCTGCAGCTGTCGCTGCGCAGGCAGCAGGTGAGTGAGAGACTGAACGAGTGGACCGTGTTTGGTGAGAAGTATAAGGAGCTGTGTGAGTGGCTCACCAAGATGGAGGGCAAGGTGTCCCAAAATGGAGACATCAGCATTGAGGAGATGATCGAGAAGCTCCGTAAGGTAGGTGGATTGACACCCCAACAGGTGCAGACATCTCTGTGGCTAGTTACTTGTTAGCATGTTTGTATAAAATTGGAAGTTTAGTTTTGTTTAACTCATTTTTTTAATTTAGCCATTAGAGCATCTTTGACTCTAAAATGTGGAGGAAATTGGTCCAAATTCCAACAGGAACTAGTTCAAACAGCCAGATATAGTTTTATGAACAGATGGTTTAAATATTTCTAGAAATATTATTACTCATCTTAAAATGGGATCAAATTTATGATTTAGAAAAAGTGTGATTCTTGACATTGTCCTAGCTGATTTCACTTCAACGGTTCATGTGCTCTCCTCCCTGCTCGTCGCTGTTTGTATCATTCTGCAGCAGCTTCTACAAGCTGCAGAACACCTGGACACTACCAAGTCTTAACCCTCCCACTGTCGTCATGGGTGACCCCGCGAGGAAAGTGTACCATTGAGCAGGATTGATGGTTTATCCCTTGAGGTCCACGTGGCAGGGGTGAGGTGGTGCTCACTCCTCACCCCTGCCACATGTACCCAAGGGATAAACCATCAACCCTGCTCAATGGTACACTTTGCTCGCGGGGTCACGCCCATTAGGACAGTGGGAGGGTTAAACGTGGCTTCCTTAAAGCTGCAGATGGCCTGATAAAAGCTGGCACACTCACATGTGTCTGCAGGGATGCTAGTGCCCAACATCCTGCATGCTGGAGCAATATCATTTTCATCAAATTTATCAAAAATAAATTATTTTTAAATTAGCTGATTGTAAGGTCTAGTTTTTGTTTTTAATCCTACTGATGTACTTAACGTTTTTACATTCACATCACTGGTCTTCATAAACACAAGACTCTGTTTGCCATTTAGTTTGTTTTTTTAATACGTTGATTGTTTTTTATTTGTATTTCAGGACTATCAGGAGGAGATCTCGGTAGCAGAGGAGAATAAGCAGCAGTTACATCGGCTTGGAGAGCGTTTAGCCAGGGCAAGTCACCAGAGCAAAGCCACGGAAATCAAACAAAAACTCACCAAGGTCAGCGACCGCTGGCAGCATCTCCTGGACCTCATCGGCGCTAGGTGAGGAGTTTATATAATGTTTGTGTTGCTGTGGGTATCCCCTGCTGGAGTGTTTGGTTTTTACTGCTGTTGATTCATTATAACAGAGTGAAGAAGCTGAAAGAAACTCTGGTAGCCGTGCAGCAGTTGGACAAAAACATGAACAGTCTGCGCTCTTGGCTCGCCCACATTGAGACGGAGCTGTCCAAACCCATTGCCTACGAGTCGTGTGACCTCCAGGAGATTCAAAGGAAGCTCGATCTGCAGCAGGTGGCATTCTTCGTTTATTTACTGCAGCTACAAGCAGAAATCCATACTATATACTTTACTATAAAACTTTTTAGTCTAAGTAAGCTACTAGCTATTGGTTTATTTATTCAGAGTAAAATAAATATATGGTTTCAGACAAACATTTACATACATGTGCATGTGTTTAATTATGTCCCAGGTTTCTTCTTTAACCTTTACGCAGCTTCTTTTCTTCACTAATTCAGTCTTTTTATCATCCAGGAGCTTCAGCGGGACATCGAGAAGCACAGCACTGGAGTTGCATCTGTGCTGAATTTATGTGAGGTGCTGCTGCATGACTGTGATGCCTGTGCCACCGACGTGGAGTGTGACTCCATCCAGCAGGCCACACGCAGCCTGGATCGCCGCTGGAGGAGCATCTGTGCCTTGTCTCTGGAGAGGAGGCTCAAGTAAATCCCTGAGGTTTATCATCACGTCCTTCCTGTTGTTTAATGGAATCGTTATGATTTTTACTTCCTCCCTAAGGATCGAGGAGACGTGGCGTCTATGGCAGAAGTTCTTGGAGGACTTTGCACGGTTTGAGGAGTGGATGGCCTCTTCAGAGAAGACTGCTGCTCTGCCCAACTCTTCTGGTGTGCTGTACACAGTAGCCAAGGAGGAACTAAAGAAATTTGAGGTCACTAACTCTCTCTTGGTATATGGTTAAATAAAAATATAAAAACGAACACATTTAAAGTGTGATATGAATGGGTTTGTTTCTACAGGCCTTCCAGAGACAAGTTCAGGAGAGCCTGACCCAGTTAGAGTTAATCAACAAGCAGTACCGGCGCCTGGCCAGAGAGAACCGGACCGACTCGTCTTGTCGTCTGAGGGAGATGGCCCACGATGCCAACCAGCGATGGGACAACCTGCAGAAAAGGGTGGCATCCATCCTCCGCAGGCTCAAGGCACAATACACTCTGATTTTATTACAAACACTCATTCAGTTTAGTTTAAATCTCAGCTTTCACCAGCATTTCTGATTTATGTTTTTCATCTTTTTATGTTAAATGTTCATTTTGCATTTTACAGGAATGCTGGATTGGTGTGTAATAAATCCTTGTGTTCTGTTTCAGCACTTTATCAGTCAGAGAGAGGAGTTTGAGACATCCAGGGATGGTATTTTAGTCTGGCTGACAGAAATGGACCTTCAGCTCACCAACATTGAACACTTTTCTGAGTGTGACATTCAAGCCAAGATCAAACAGCTCAGGGTGAGTTTAACCGTCGGATCTGGTCATGCACATCCAAAATAAACTCATGAGTCACTTTTAGGATAGTGTAGACAGCATATATGTATTTATAAAGGCTTGCTTTGCTTTGAAATATTACAAAATACTTGTGATATTTGATATAAAACATCTTTATGGTTTAAAAGTTTGTCAACTATTTTATTCAGAAATATCTGTGAAATGTTGGATTTTTAAAATCTGAGACTGCGATATGTTTGTGTTTAAAATGAAAACTTATGATTCTCTGATCCTCCAGTCGTTCCAGCAGGAGATCTCCCTGACCACAGCCAGGATCGAGCACATCTTCCACCAGGGCGAGGCACTAATAGAGAAGAGTGAGCCCATGGATGCTGCTGTCATAGAGGAAGAACTGGAAGAACTTCAGCGCTACTGTCAGGAAGTTTTTGGTCGAGTGGAGCGCTACTACAAAAAACTCATTCGCCTCCCAGTAAGACTTCAGATTCAAAGCAGTTAAAATTTTTAGTTTTAACTAAGCTGAACATTTATTGTTTATAACTTGGCTCCAACAGTAACCTTTACTGGAATTATATTTTTCACTTCAGCTTGCTGACGACGATACCGAAGTGTCGTTTTCGGATCGTGAGCTTGATCTGGATGAGCCTGGAGATTTGTCCAGTCTACCGTGGAATGAGCGTCTGGGGGATGGCTTCTTGTCACCTCTGCCCTCCTCCGGTCGCTCAGCGTCCCTGGCTGCTCAGCTTCGAGCCGAGCGTTCTGGCCGGGACACGCCTGCAAGCGTGGACTCCATCCCCCTGGAGTGGGACCACGACTACGACCTGAGCCGCGGCCTTGAGAGCGCCAGCAGAGCCCTTAGAGAGCAGCAGAGTGAGGAGGGAGACTTCCCCCAACGCCCGGCTTCAAGCCTGTCAGGTAAGTTTCTGTTAGACAAAGTAGTGTTCAGTGACAGATTGTTTTCTTTTTAAGTTTTAAACTCTCAAATTACCTTAAAAAAAATCCACAGAGGTACATAAAAAGGCACCATTCAGCTGAAGAATTAAAAACCAACAATGGTCCCTGAAACTACTTGGCATTGACAAAGGTTGTCATATTGAAAATATTAGTAAAAATCAACTAATGAAAATCAGAAATTACTTAATTTTTTAAAATTCAACTAATAAAACAAATCTAGACAAAAAATATGGAACTCCCAGAAGAAACTGACAATAATGTGACCACAGGGACAGAGCGTGTGTCTCGTATTACAGCAGCACAGGTGTCTTCAGTCCTGTAATCTGTCACTCTGCCTGTTTAAAGGCTGACAGGTAGTCACAGTGCTGCTTGGTATCAGGGTGTGTACCACACCGAGCATGGACCACACAAAGCTAAAGACAGAGTTATCTCAGCGGATTAGAAAGGCGTTTATTAATCAGGATAAAAGCTAGACGACCGTCTCTGAGCAGCTTCATGTTCCTCTGACAACAGTTGGACAGCCCATGGGACTGTAGACAACCTCCTTGGACGTAGCTGCAAGATGAAAACTGAAAGAGATTAGAGGTCAGCTCAAAAGTCAAGGTTCTTCAGTGTCAGATAAGACCATGACGGCTGAGGAGGACGCCACTGATGAAAGCACAAAGTGAGATTGTGATTAATAAATAATAATGTAAGGAAAGGGAGAGAGGAAATGAATAGGAAAGAGGGAAATCCGTGGATCGCAGGGAAAGGCAGAATAAGTAGATTTATTTCTAATTAATTAAAGTACACAAAGAGTCACAAAGCTTCTTGTCCCTCGGACTCATAAATAGCAGAACCCTGGAAGGAGGTTGTATTCTGTTCTGGACTGCTTTGCTGCATCTGGGCCAGGAAGTCTTTAATCTTTTCAGGGTCCAATGAAATCTCAAGACATCCTGGAGCTAAAAGATCTGCTCTGTCAGAAAGCTTGGTCTCAGTCACAGGTCATGGTCTATCTGACAGGATAATGACTCAAAACACACAAGAGTGGATCAGAACCAAGCACTGGACCTCTCTGAAGGAGCCTTCTATCAGTCCTCATCTAAATCATGGTGAACATCTGTGGAAAGAGCTGAAACATCTGGAGAAGAATCAGAATACATGTAGATAAGTGAGAACGCTCACTGACAGCTACGTAAATCGCTTGATTGATTCAAGAAAGTTCAACAAAGTTGAATGTTTCTCCATTTTGTTCACAATTGTTTTGTTAGTTTGGTTTTACATTTATTCTGTTGAAGCACAAATCAAAGTCTAAATGTCATTATTTGACTTGTAATGAAATCGTATCTACTATCATTCTGGCCAGTTTCAAGTTATTTCAGTGACCGTTGTGGGTTTTTAGGTCTTTAATACTATTGGTATTTGCTTTTTTTACATCAAGTTAATAGAGAGAAGCAACATCTTAGTTTTATTCTGATGTAATTGTTCATCATGCATTAGTACAGTATCTTGTGCCAGCTTTAAACAGTTTAGCAAAAATTAAACTGTTTTGATTTGTGAACCTTAGAAAAGACAGAAATCAAAACAAAAGTTTCTAAAACAGCTAATAATGCCAGCTGCTTATAAATGCAGAACTGTGCATGGGGCTGTGTCGACACATGAAGGACTGAAGACTTCTCTGCCCTGCCCTGGCTCAGACAGGCCCCGCCCACTTAACGACGCACCATCCAGTTTACAACAGCAGATGGATCCTAGGTTCATCTGTTTGTTTGTTGCTACTGTGTGAAGCTCGCTGCTGAATCTGTTTACTGTAACGTGTTTCTTCCAGATGTAGTGATCCCTGAGAGCCCTGAGGCCTTTGTTAAACTAACAGAACAAACTCTGAGGTCTTCCACTGGTAGGCAACAGCAGAGCCCAGCATCCAGAAATAACAGTCTCACTCTAACCAAGCCACTCTGTAATCCTCTCACTGGCTTGTGTTGATTTCTCTTACTGTGATCAGTAGTTCTAACTAAAGGGTCAATTCCATTTTTCTGTTAAACTCCCTGGTTCTGATTTGGGCTCTAATTCAGAAGAGTAGAAATGGAATTCATCCAAAGCCTTTTTTCTAACTTGCTTCCTTACTTTTATTTGACTTGCTGTGTGGCTAACATGTTCGATTTTCTCTTTGTGTATTTTTTTGTTCCCAAAAAGCATGTTTTATTATTTCTTTTGTTACAGAAAACAAGTCTAGTTTCTTACTGAAGGGATTGCAGATTAGTTCCTTCTGTTTATACACAGAGATGAAATAAAAGCTTTCGATTCAAGCCAGATAGAAGTACAGAACAATTCCTCAAACCCACACCATGATCTGCAATCTGCTCTCCAGTCTTTTGCTGCCCCTGTTTTGTGTTTATCTGTCTAAAACAGGTCCCACTTCTATGGGATTGTAAATTTGATTTAAAAAAAATATTTGGGGTCAAATATTTCCTTTGATTCTCCCAAAATATTCAGTTGATGTTGGTCCAACAGGGGAGGCTGCCTCTGCAGATTGTAACGTTCATCCTTTCGACGTCAACCGTTCCGTCCTGCAACAGACGGACAGCAGCCGCACGCCCACGAGCACAGAGGTGGACGCGTCTTACATGGGCTACGTACGAGTCTCTTTATGCAGCATTTCTCTGTTTAATCATACTTGGGAAGCTGAATGTCCTGTGTGGTAACCCAACATGATGCATGTTCTTTTGTAGCTGCGATTGTTGGGTGAGTGTCGTGGCAACATAGACGTAGTGAAGAGGGTGGGCTCTGAGTTGAAAGAGGAAGAGGACACGGTGTCAGGACTGGCGGATCCCAGCAGCTCAGAGTCCCAAACATCAGGTTAAACGTCACTAATCAGATCTGAAAAGAGTAAAGAGGTCAGAGTATTTACCCAGATATTCTAAATCAATCTGTTTTCTGTTCTTTTGCTCTACCATCTAGGTGTGATTGAGCGCTGGGAGCTCCTGCAGGCTCAGGACCTCAGTAAAGAGATGCGCACAAAGGAGAATCAGCAGCAGTGGCAGCAGCTGAACTCTGACCTGAACAACATTTGGACTTGGCTGGGAGAGACAGGAGAAGAGCTGGAGCAACAGAGGAGACTGGACATCAGCACGGACATCCACACTATTGAGCTTCGCATCAAAAAGCTCAAAGTAAAAAAAAACATTACATTTTACTTCCCTGTTTTTAAGCTTCTTTTTCTTTCAGCACTGGTTTAAATCCAAGTGTTGCTGCCTGTTGCTGTTTAACTACAGGAACTGCAGAAAGCGTACGACAAGCGCAAAGCCATCGTGCTTTCCATTAACCTGTGCAGCGCTGAGTTTCTGCAGTCAGAGACAGAAGAGTCGCGAGAGCTGCAGGCCAAGCTGAAGGACATGAACAACCACTGGGACAAACTGGGCTGCTCTTTGGAAGAGTGGAGGTCTTCATTACAAGATGCTCTGATGCAGTGTCAAGTGAGTGCTTGTCTTTGTTGTTAGATCAGATCGATGCCTCCCAAACACATGAGCTGAATCTTTACCTTCCCGTCCAACAGGAATTTCATGAAATGTGCCACGGCCTGCTACTCTGGTTGGAAAATATTGATCGCAGAAGGAACGAGGTGGTTCCCATTGATCCGATCCAGGATGCCGATACCCTCCATGAGCACCATAAGACACTCACGGTATTTAACTTGAATTTTCTTCAGCTATACATTTCATTCCTTTGTGGTTTTTGATGATCACACATCTTAAATTCTTGCAGCAAATCCGTCAGGAGTTACTGGACTCTCAGCTCAAAGTCGCCTCGCTACAGGACATGTCCCTCCAGTTGCTGGTTAATTCTCAAGGCAGCGACTGTCTGGAAGCCAAGGAGAAGGTTCACGTCATCGGGAACCGCCTTAAACTGCTGCTAAAGGAAGTAACGCGAGATCTCCGAGAACTGGCTAAGATTCTGGACATCACAAGCAGCCAACAGGTGTGTGTGTGTCTTGTGTCTCCTCAAGTGTTAGTATTTAAAGGAATTTACATACAGCCTTTAACAGGTATGGATTTATGCTGTTAGACCTTAATACGATCAATCAAAACCTTTCATAGGCAGGAGTTTAGACTTGTGTTAGCCTGATGTCTCCATCAGTTTCCTCTGCTTTTCTAACAAGTGTTTTCATCTTCAGGATCTGTCCTCCTGGTCGTCAGCTGATGAGCTGGACACATCGGGTTCCCTCAGTCCTGTATCGGGAAGGAGCACACCCAGTCGGCTGAGATCGGTAACATTTGACTCTACCTGTTCATGGTTACCTGGGAGATTCAGGAGTTTGAAAACCACTCTGAGACAATCCCACCTGCCCCCAACGCCCCGGCCCGTTGAAGTCCAGGTTCACCCCTGTCATCCCCAGATTTTTCTTTAACTCTCTCCACACCTCACCATGAAACTGATCCCCCTTGGTTCAGAAGCATTTTCAGCCTGCATGTTTACTCTCAGAGAACGGAGGAACATTTTCTTTCTACCTTCTTTATTTGTTATTTTTGGATTTATTTTTTGCACTTTTCTCTTCCACCATTTAGAACCGGAACCCTGTTTTCTTCAGTCTTTCCTCAGATTTCTTCTTACCTACTTTTTCTCTAATGTGAGGAATTCTGGCTAAAATGGATCTGCTAAACCAACATGATTGTATTTGATAGTCAATGATAAAATGCCATTTGTGTCTTTTATTATGAATGAGAAGAATACGATTGCAGAATTTTGTTGAAATTCATCATATCAGTCCAAATAAGCACATCGCTGCTTCTATTGTTAAAGGCCTTAGTTACCAAAGGCTTTCAATTCAATTCAAAAATACTTTATTAATCCCAGACGGAAATTGATTGGGGTAGTCATCAAAGTCATCAAAGAGTTGTTGTATATTACAATGACTGTTGGCAGGAAGGATCTCCAGTAGCGGTCAGTGTTGCAGTGAAACTGAAGAAGCCTCTGACTGAAGACACTCTTCCGTTGTCGGACAGTCTTGTGAAGAGAATGCTCAGGGTTGTCCATCATTTTCTTGATTCTCTGGAGAATCCTTCTTTGCATTATCTCCTCCAGTGGTTCCACAGTCATCTCCAGAACAGAACCAGCCTTTTTTATTAGGCTGTTGAGCCTTTTAGGTCCCTGCTTCTGATGCTGCTACCCCAACAGACGATGGCTGAAGAGATTTCACTCTCAACAACAGACTTGTAGAAGATCTGCAGCATCTTGCTACAGACATTGAAGGACCTAAGCGTCCTCAAGAAGTGCAGTCTGCTGTGTCCCTTCGTGTAAACAGCTTCGCTGTTCTTTCTCCAGTCCAGTCTGTTGTCCAGGTGAACTCCAAGCTATTTGTATTCCTCAACCACCTCCACTTCTTCTCCCATGATGGAAACAGTGTTTGACTCCACCCTGTTTCTTCTGAAGTCTAAAATCATCTCCTTTGTTTTGTTCACGTTCAAGGTCAGATGATTGTTTCCACACCATGCCACAAAGCGCTCCACCAGCTCTCTGTACTCAGTTTCCTGTCCATCTCTGATACACCCGACAACTGCAGAGTCATCTGAGTATTTCTGTAGATGACAGGTCTCTGATTTGTACTGGAAGTCTGAGGTGTACAGGGTGAAAAGGAATGGTGAGAGTACAGTCCCCTGTGGTGCTCCAATGTTACTGATCGCCTGGTTTGATGTGCAGTTCTTCAGCCTCACAAACTGTGGTCTGTTTGTCAGGTAGTCTTTAATCCAGGCGATAGTTGAGGCCCCCACCTGTGTCTTTGGAGTTTCTGGCAAAGTACATCAGGCTGGATTGTGTTAAATGCACTGGAGAAATCAAAGAAAATGACCCTCACAGTGCTGCCTGCTTTATCCAGATGACAGTGGATTGGTTGAAGCAGCTGGATGATGGCATCTTCAACTCCAACTCCATGGCGATAAGCAAACTACAGCGGCTCCTGATATGTTCTAGTTTGCTTATTCAGGTGGACCAACAGGAGTCTCTCCAGGACCTTCATGATGTCATGATGGCCGTTCATGCACCACATTGTCTGATTTGTAGCTTTATATCTGCAATCATGAGTTAAAATTAGCCAGATTGTTTATTATCAAGGGGTATACAGAATCTGTCTCCTCCACATGTTCACTTATTTTTATTTTTATTTATTTTTTTGCTGCTCTTCTCTCATTTTTGGTTGTCTTTTCATCAGTAGCTTTGTGTTGATTTGCCTGGACTGAAACATACTTTCTTTCTTTCACCCCCCCTCCCCTGTTCATTGCAAACAGCAACGGGGCAAGTGTAGTCTGTCACAGCCTGGAGCGTCTGTGAGCAGTCCACACCGCAGGTACATTTCTGTTGGTTTCTAGCACACCCAGAAGATAATGGAACTCAGCCCATGTTGCACTGGAAAACCTATTCTTACTCACGCGCTCTAACGCAGCTTTTAAACAACAACAATGCCCTATTTCAGTTCATATCTCTAGTTTTAGTCTCAGCGGCTCATGACAGTGAATTCCATCATCTTCTGTCAGTCTAGATGCTCTGTGTAGGTTAGAGGAGACGTCCTCACCAAAGAAACCATGAAAGGCCTCCTCCTCCATCAGTGTCCTTGGCTGCCTACTAGTGCTAACCGGAGGGTGCTGCTTAACACAGATATCTAACATCACTGCCTCGCTGTTCCTGAGCAAACACACACACACACACACACACACATTTTCCTTTTTCTCGCAAACTGCCAAGCAAATAAATGTCTGCAATGAACAATGGCAAGGCTGCAGTCCTCCTCCCTCTCTCTCTGGTGCTGTCACTCTACCTTATGTGTGATTTCTTCTCCGCTGCTGCTCTTCATCGTCCCTTTAGTCTGTCATCCGTGAGTCCTGCTGCTCAGGTATTCGCTTGTCACGTGGTGAAGGTTTTTTTTTTTACAGACGTCAGTCTGTTCACGCCTGTGTCCAGCTTATGACGAGGTACTTGAGTATCTCAGTAAACTTAGTTGAAAATGACTTCGAATGCATCCTTTCATTGTAAGCAGTAAACTTGTGTAAAATTGTACCCCCCCCCCCCCCCCCTCCACCCCCAAAAAATGGTAGATTATTAGTAAAATTAGTTTGTGTTTGGTCCCCGGGATTCCTTGAAGTAATGCAAATCTCCTGCCACCATTTTAAACTAAGATCATCTTATATTGATAAACAACTAAGTTGTTGTTCTATGAACTTGTAATTAACATTGTTCACAAATTTCTGCATAATTATCAGATTTTTTTTATCAGTTATCTCACACAAACACTTGACACACTTTATCTCATGTTAAACAGAACCACTTGCTGCCTTTTTTGAGCTTGCTAAGGTCGATTAGATGTGGTGGCCATCTTGAATTGAGCTGATTCTAAAAGTTAATCAGATATAAATCTACACGTTAGGATTATTTTCTGTGAGTTTCGTTAAAATGAGTGACGACTCAGACGTAGAAACAGGTGATAATCGCTTGATCTCTGCAGATGAAATAAATGAGTATTTAGACTTTTGTTCAGCTTTAGCATTAAGGAGACAGACGACAAACATCTGGAGGTGTGTTATCTTCTGTAGAACAGAACGTCACACAGATGAGCAGATGTGTTATTACAGCTCATAAGTGAATAAAACTGGTTAGCACTGACACAGAAATCTTCAACAGGCCTCTAAATGTATAAATGAACACATCCTGCCTGGAGAGATTGCTGACCTGAGGAACATTTTCACTTTTATTCTTCATTCATCCTTTATGTTAACGCTAGATTTGTCCTTTTCCAGAATGGTTCCTTATAGAAACGTTGAAGAATCTGCTCCTGTCTTCCGTGCTGCTCCTGCCTCGGCATGCTTTGCACTTTTTCCAAACCTTCGGAGTTATTTAAAAAATCTAAATAAAGAAGCTGATTCTTCCAGCATGCGTGTTGTCTTTTGTCCTAACCAGTTATGCAAAGGAATGCCAGCACACTTGATGTACTTGTCTGGTGCAACTCTGCCGTATGTTTGGTGACCGTCTTTGTTACTGTGTCTATCCACCAGTCAGCATGTGGATCACAGCATTAAACGTCCTGATGTTGCTTCCAGCTGTGTCTGCCGTGTCTTAAAAACACGGCACCGTGCTTTTATCAAAGCACTGCCATCCAGTCCCTGTGCCCCTGATACCAGATCTTATTTGGATTGAAAGTAGTCAGATGAAACAATTACAGTAACTCTGAGAGGGACGTGGAATTAATGTTGGTTTATTAAATCAGAGTTTTCCATTTCTGTAGCAAAGACAGTTTAATGTGTTTGTTGTAATTTGATTAGTGTGATAGATGGAGATGTTCTGTTTGTATGATTAACTAAAGCTCTGTTTGTGTGTGTGCGTGTGTGAGAGCAGGTCTCCCAGCGGCGCTGGATCCGCTTCCTTCCCTTCTGATCCCAGGATGATGCGGGCTCGTCGGTCCTCGTTCTGGTGCCGTGTCCTATGTGTGGCGCTGCCTCTCCAGTTCTTCCTGCTCCTCTTAGTGGTCTTTGGCTTCCTGCTGCCGCTGTCCGAGGAGGACTGCTGCGCTCAGTCCAACAACTTTGCTCATTCCTTTTACCCGATGCTCAGCTACACTAACGGACCGCCCCCTGTGTAGGTGAGCTGCAGGAACATTACTGGAATCACGTTAAGAGCGAAAACTAAACTTTCATCCATTTGTGCTGCAGAAACATAGCTGCCATGTACACTTAATATTATTTTTGTGTAGCACGTAGGATCAAGCGTCTCACTGTGTCATTCTGTCAGTTTAATAAGTATTTTTGATGAGAAAATTGAGGGTTAGCTTGTGGAAAGCACCAAAGTTATAACAGAACCAGAATCTGCTTGGTCAAAACCCGTTTAATATAACTTACATTATTTTTTTACCTGTATTTTGGCATGTGGTTTTAAACTGCTTTTGTTAACGCTTCTCCATAACTGTGTCTGTGGTAAACAGTCTATTTTTAACTTGAATCATTTAAGTGTTTAATTATCAGATAAGAGTTTAACCTTTAACATCAGCCATCCACGGTCTTTCTACATCCTGCTTTTTATTTTGAAAAATATCTGATATCTTTGAGGTCAAAAAGACGACATATAGAGCTTTTGTATATTTTGTATGACCGTCACTTGAGTATGAAATGTATAACAGCCGCGGATTATTTAACGTGTGTATATAATGCAAAAGATTCATGTGACAAATCTATATGCAACTATCAGAAACAAGGAATGCCAAATCTTCATTCAGAGTTTTGTCTCTTTATTAAGTCTTTCTGGTTCCCTTTTTTAATATTTGATCAATGAGTTACTCACAGATTATGTTTAGCTTCTTATGTTCCATCAATCCATCTATTTTCACCCACCTTTCTGGGTTTGGGACGCGGGGGCAGCAGCCTAAGCAGGGAGGCCCAGACTTCCCTCTCCCCAGCCACTTGGGCCAGCTCCTCCAGGGGAAGCCTAAGGTGTTCCCTGGCCAGGTGAGAGACATAGTCCCTCCAGCGTGCCCTGGATCTTTCTTTGGGTTTCCTCCTGGTTGGATGTGCCTGGAAAAGCTCACCAGGGAGACATGCAGGAGGCATCCTAACTAGAAGCCCGAGCCACTTCAGCTGGCTCTTCTTGATGTGAAGGAGCAGCAGGTCTCTCCTGGATGATTAAGCCTCTCACCCTATCTCTAAGGGAAGCAGCCACCCTGCAGAGAAAACTTATTTCGGTCGCATGTATCCACAATCTCATTCTTTCGGTCACTACCCAAAGCTCGTGACAATAGGTGAGGGTAGGAATGTAGCCCAGCCAGTAAATGGAGAGCTTCGCCTTACTGCTCAACTCTCTTCACCACAACAGACCGGTGCAACATCCAGACGCAGCACCAATTTGCTTATTGATCTCACTCTCCATCTTTCCCTCACTCGTGAACAAGACCCCAAGATACTCCTCCACTTGGAGCAGAAACTCATCCCTGACCAGGAGAAGGCATTCTACCGTACAACAGAACTGCTCCAGCAAAACCGTCACGGTCTGATGAAGCCAACAAGACCACATCATCTGCAAAAAGCAGACACCTGATCCGCAGGCCACCAAATCTGATCCCCTCAACACCTTGGCTGCCCCTAGAAATCCTGTCCATAAAAGTTATGAACAGAATCGGTGACAAAGGGCAGCCTTGGTGGAGTCCAAATCTCACCGGAAACGAGCGTGACTTACTGCCGGCAATGCGGACCCAAGCTCTGACACCGGTCATATAGGACCTAACAGCCCATATCAGAGGGCCTGGTACCCCATACTCCCGGAGTGCCCCCCACAGGGCCCCTCCACGGACATGGTTGAACGTCCTCCAAATCCACAAAACATGTCTTTTGTACATTCATTCCGTGTTTATCTTCCTTATCCATTTTCTTGTTCTGATTTTAACACAGTTTAGTAAAAAATAGATTTTTTTACCTAGCCATCATCAGAGATCACCGGTGTTGGTGGTTTCACTTCCTTTTATAAAACATACGTAGGAGAAACTGGGCGCCAACTCAACACACGAAAAATAGAGCATCAAAGGGAGTGTGAGAGGGAAACACGTTGAAGACACACAAGAGCAACTAAATAAGAATCAGAAAATACAATAAAGAAATCAGCTGTAACAGACCACTGCTCAAGAGGACATCATGGACTAGGACAGCACAAGGATCCCAAACACAGAACAACAAAAATACAAAAGATGGGTCAAGGAAGCGACAGAAATAAGGAGACATGGGCACAAAACCATGAACAGAGAAAATGAAGTATTTACATTGGATCACGCACGGGACTGTGTCATCAGCAACCTACGATCCACACCGTCCCCACTATAAACAGTGTTGGTACCGCACTGATTTCCCTTCCTGCTATATGATGTATTTATTTTAGCTGATTAATTATATATTTGTTTCTGAATATTTAAAACAAAGTTTTGTATAATAGAGATTGAAGCGTGATGGTGGGGGCTTCAGAAGCAGAGGTAGAAACGGCCACAACAGCAGCTGTCAAGGGCATCCGTGTTCAGCAGGCCTCTCCTCGGTCAGTGCCCCCCAGGACACCTTTGGCTACATCGTAGCTCATCCCCACTAGCGTGTGGACGTGTGTGTGTGACTGATTATGTCGTGAAGCGCCTTGGGGGGTTTTAGGACCCTAAGAAGGAACAATACACATACAGGCCATTTATCATTTACTAAGAAGATGTTGGAGAGGAATTCTGTCGAGTTAAACCATGATGAAGCATAGTCACATGATGATGAAGATGATGGTGGTGGTGAAGGATCATTTGACTTCATTTGAAAAAAATGAAGCATTGGAGTCCAGTTCTAACTTCTTAGAAACATCAGTCATTTTTTAAAAGTACTGCAATATTTTCTATTTTTCATGCATAACTTTATTTGAACACAACAAACATTATGAGCTGAACGCGTTCCTGGAGGGACCTTGGATCCAGACTCTTCTCCCCTCTACCTTGAGCTCATCAGCGTGGGTGAGCTGATGAGCTCACAGCTGTGAGTTGGAGAGCTTCGTGGCTCTCAGTTCTCCTTGGAGATGCTCAATCTTTTTTTTTCCAGCTTCCTGGTCTCTAGAAGAGCATTGTTTTCCTCCACAGAGGAGAGAAATTATTTACTCTTCTCCTCCTCAGAAGCTGGGTCTGAAGTTCTTTTCCATCTAGTAAGTTTTTCTGTGATTGTACCTAATGTGAATATAGAAGGATTTTTCCACAGATAAATCTTCCAATAAGTCTGCTCCGCTTAAAAGTATTTTTACTTTTTCATGCTGCAGAAGTGACCTTTTGCTGTAGGTTGAATGTCAGTCGTCTGCTCTCTTAAAGCACCTGCCTCTTGTCTGAAGAGTTGTTCGGCGCGTGACAGAACCAGTTTTAGCCTTATTTCAAAGCCAAGACCTTCAGCAGGGCTGTTGACCTTCATCATCTCAGACAGCTGTTCCAGGAACTCCTCATACTGGGAAAAAATGTTGTTAAAACTTTATTAATTACCTCAATTTATACAAACAGATAAAATACTTGAAAAAGTCATAATTCCCACCCCTCATGTGTGACTTTACTCACGTGTTGCTTGCCGTGTTGTAGCAGGTCACAGTGCTTGGCTGCAGTCTGCAGCCTCTCCCTCAGGTCCTGGACTTGCTGCCCTGCAAGCTTAGCACTCTGCAGAGTGCTGCACTGCAGCTTCGTCTGCTTTTCCAGCTCCTCAGAGGCAGAATGTAGCCCAGACTCCATGTCTGATAAAGTCTTAAATGCAAGAACAAAAAAAGTTCCTTCATTTACTAACATGTCAGGATAGTTATGTTACTTTTAAACTATTTTATGGTGAAATACATCTTTGACACTCATTCTGTGGTTAGATTGAGTAATTTAACCAACAGTTATAACTTGTCGGACATTCTGAGAATATTGTCCCCCTTTCCTTTGGGAAACAAGTTCAACTATAAAAAAAATCCCTATGAGTTCTTACCTCATTGCACAATTTGTCCAGTTCCTGTAGAATATCACCCTTTGAGGGTGAAATAAAGCTCTCTGGCTTCCCCTGCAGCAGTTTAGCCACTCTTTCCAGAAACAGCTGAAGTTTTTCCTCTGCCGCCTGAGCCTTGGCCTGAAGATCCTCTACCTGTTTCTCCAAACAGTGTGACTCTCGCCTGGCTGCTTCAATCACTGTCCTGCTGGCTTCAAGGCTAAAGTCTGCTTCTCATACTCAACATTCCTCCTTCCTACTGCCAGACTTTCCGTTTCCTGAAAGGGTTAGTTGGTTCTGTCAAACAGGTGACACCAAAAGAAGAAAATGATTCCGTGCTGGAGATGAGTGTTCTTTTTCTAGAATTTAACAGTCCTGAAATTACATTTGATAACCATTAAACTAAGAAATGTAAAAATAAAATAATTAAAAAAATATATATTTTTTTTAACCGCCCTTAATGTGATTGAGCTGAATTTAATTTAAACTGGTACAAGTACCTTTTTGAGTGAATGCAGATCTGTAGCATTGCTGACTACCTTCCACCTCTCTTGGTCCAGCTCCTCTTCCAGCCTCAGCACCGTCCCCCTGCTGGCTTTACACTCCAACTTGTACGACGTCACACTCTCCTCCAGAACCGCATTTCTCATCTTCAGTCTCTCCTTCTCATTAGACTTGTAATTATCAAGTAAAATATTCACAAGAATATTAAAACATGTACAGAAATTATATTTTAACATGTATGTAAATAAAAATAAACAGACGAAAATATGTTTTGTGGGATTTTCATTAAAAGAAAATAGTTTTCTTGGGCTGCTGATTGAAATCAGGTGGTGATTAACAGGCTTCTCTGTGCTTCATGAGCTGCTGAACAGGGTGTGCATCATGTGAGCTTGAACTCTGTTGAGAGTGAACTGTTGGGGCAGCAATCTGCCGCCGAGGCATCCAGCCTAGCGTTGGCTTTTGCTGCTTTTGATTATTCATAAAAGACACCTGGAAAGAGTAAAGATGGCAGTTATGGCTCACACAACATGAAAGAACCACATCAAGGACAAAAAAATGCTCGGCAATCAGGAAAAGAGCAGAAGCTCCACTCGCAGTAAGCCGGCGGAACAGCAGTCACAGCGAGTCATATAGTTCATGTACCTATATCATTGGTGTTCTGATCCAATTCCATCATAAGAGATATTGCAGGAATGAGGACCGACAGTAATTAGTTGTAAGCATTCCCTTGGCAACCTTAAACATGGTCTTTATGCGTTTCAACCAGAGGGGGCGCTGTAGTCGAGATCCACAAACCTAGGTCAGAGCTCCACTCTGATAAAAAAAATAGTCTATTTTCAGATTAAATGTAATGCACACAATCATAATTGTTTCAATAAGTCACAGTAGCAGAAAAAACAAATGCATACTTTAAATTTAATGAATAACAAACAACAATTGGTTCAATTTCCTAATGTTGGTCTTTCAGGTAACCCTTCCTTCCGTCAGAGCTTACCTTCATGTTTTAACTATAACGTGACATTGATGAAGATACTGGGCTTGTTCATATTATGCTAAAAAACTAAATATGTCTGACGGGGAACAGGAGGAGAGGAATTTATGCACGTTTACCTGCAAGACAATACTTCGGGTTAAACTAACCTGTGTACTTGCGTCATTTCAAACAGGAAGTGTGTATAAAAAAACTTTATTAGCAAACAACAAACGTGTTTGAAACACACCTCCATATTCTGTCATGCAGGTGGTCACGTTGTTTTATTGAGTTTATGGTTTTATTTTAACCAAGCTGCTCACGCGACACACATTTTACGGTACCTCAAATCATTTCAGCCCTCTTTTGTATTGCGTTGTTTATTAATACTGCTATTTTATTTGCTGCTAAGCTAACTGAAGGCTAGCTTTGGTTGCGCCCGAGTTTAAATGAACTGTGTTGTTTGCCCTCGGGGTTAATTTAATCTGGGCAAAGCCTGTAGTGATGGTACTCCAAACCAACAGTCATGCTCGTCTTAATTCTGAGTTTTTTAATTCTGGAATATGAAATGTGGTAAATCACTTTAGCTGAAAACTAAATTATTAACATTGTTTCTGCAACAACTCCTCTTGAATGTGACATGTTCTTATGTTTTAGCTCAGCTTTAGATCTTTCTGTGGAAGATGCTTCTCCGGACATTGTGGTCCAGACTGGGAGCTCAGTGGGCTGCAGACAGCAGACCAGTTTTTATTGCTACCTCAACCACCTTCTCCCAATTCTACAAATATGAACCAAGAAGAACTCAGACTGGATCGTTGATCTTCTCAAGGACCTGTCATTTAAGTGCTCCTCATCAGCAGCAGATGATGTCATATAATGAATATGATCCACCTGCTTTCTGGAGATGTAAAAGTCCAAACCTTCCTCTTTTAACTCACTCCGTGACCAACTGTGGAGTCGGACAGATGTGTTTTTATTCATCCAGCATTATAAAGTCTGTCTTAACACCCAGTTTAAAACCAACAACAGTCCCTGGAAAACGGGCCCCCAAAGGACCACGCACTAAGCAGCCGTCTCGGGCCAACCAACCTTCAGTTAATGAGGATCAGGTGATCCACCGTCCAGTTATGTCATTGGTGTTTTTGGTCTTTGTGCTGGCTTAATCCAGATGTGTTTATCTGTAGGACATGATGCAATGCATCGCCTTTGCTACAGCGGATCAGTATCACCTACCAACACTCAGCCATGACTTGATAAACCACGGCTTCCGTGAGGTTGATTTACCAAGAGGTATGAGTCAGAAAGATCTTTGCTTCTAGCTTAAGCTTGGAGCACTTTTTTATTTATTTTCTAGCTGTCATATTTTGATTTCAGATGCATCAAATGTGCTGGTGATCAGCACCGACGTGGCTGCAAAACCTGATGATGACGCACTCATATTTTTATTCAGGTAAAGATGAAAAAGTTTTTCAGGAGTTCAGTTTTATATTTTTTTAGTGAAAAATATGCTATTTCTCAAACTACTTTTCAGCCTTGGTCTAAAATCTGACTTTTTCTAAAATACAACTGCTGTTTGGGTGTTTTCTGATATTTCAGAGAGGGATCCGTGGTTTTCTGGAATGTTGAGGAGAAAACGGTAAATCTTCAAATTCCAAGATGAATTTCACTTGGATCACAACATTTCTTTGTAAAAGTAATTTTGAACTCCATCGCTACAGATGAAGAAGGTTTTGAGGTTATTGGAACATCACGAGATCCAGCCGTATGAAGTGGCTTTAGTGTACTGGGAGAACGAGGAGATCAACTACACTGTTGGAGAGTATGATAATAACCCTCGCTGTCTGTAATTTTTCATTTAAAACTTTGTTTGCTTTTAATATTTACATTTTCTCCTCCTCAGAGGGAACACAAAACTTGAACGGGGCAATTTCGTTCTCAGTGACCAGATGGCTCAACACCAGGCTGTTCTGGAGAAATTTGCTTTTTCTAATGCTCTCTGTTTATCTGGTGGGAACACAAACTTAATTAATGAAACAATATTTTGAACAGTTTTAGTTGGAGCCTGAATCTGTTTTCTCTTCCAGTGAAGTTGGCAATATGGGAGGTAGCTTTAGACAGCTTTGTCGAGTCAATTCAGTCGATTCCAGAGGTAAAGCATCCCGGGATACAGGCGAAGCGTAAGAAGTCGAGCAGCAGATGACGTTATTATTTTAACCTGTAATTTTTTTTTTATTCAGACGCTAAAGTCTGGCAAAAGAGTTCAGCTGTCTTCTGCAGAAGTGATGCAGAAAATTGGAGAGCTTTTTACGTTGAGGTAAATTCAGTTTAAAATGCAGAAATTGCATTTCCCTCATCCACCATCGATTCAACTGTTGACAGAAGAACTTTTAACGCATTTCAGATCTGGTATTGTCTGTATTTTTATTCCAGGAGATGAGAAAACATTCAGCACTTGTGTTGTCACTCCTCTTTGACAGACATTGTATAAACTTGAGGTCCGACCTGCTCCTCACACCTGACTTCTACTGGGACAGAGAAAACCTGGAAAAGCTCTACGACAAGACGTGTCAGTTCCTCAGCATCAACCGCAGAGTCAACGTGAGTAAAAACGCTTCTGAGGAACAACTGAAGTCTTACAGATTCTAGATGGCACTTTGAACAGACTTAGCTTAGAGAAACAGAAACTAGTTTTGACCACATTGGTGAGGTAACCAGTCTGAGTGGAGTGTTGCTGCCGCCATAAAGCTCATAAGAAAGCATTCCTATGCAACATTACAGATATTTAATCACCTTTACCCTGGCTTTCCACGGGAGCCGTCAGCAGCACGTTACTGCAGCAGCACGTTACTGCAGCAGCACGTTACTGCAGCAGCACGTTACTGCAGCAGCACGTTACTGCAGCAGCACGTCATAGCTGCTGATAGGAACCGCTGTGGTCAACAGAACCTTTTCCACTGGAGCCGTCAGCAGCGCGAGTTGGCCGCGTCTCGGGAGCAGCATGTCGCGGCCTTTACGCGCCGGTTCTCTTTTCTACGCGCGACGCCTTTGAAACGGGTCAAGTTCGACATTTTTGGGGAAGGAAATACAGGAAATCGGACGCGGAAATTGAGAGAAGCTTCCGAGATTTTCAGAATAAAGAACGTACTTCCTTCCGGTTACTTTACTTTTAAAAAAGGTTACTAACTGTGCGTCCCCGTGAGAAGTTATCACCTAGCTAGCGGTCTCCTTTGTTTTTCAGGTCCATATTGGCGATTATAAAACAGACAGAACATAAAACACAAACATTTTGGAGCCATGTTGTAATTTTCTCCTGCTTGTTGTTGTGTTTACTGACGAAGTCACTCGTGTGACTTCGTGCTCTGTCGGTGACAGCTGCTCCCCTGCTGCTTCGCGTCTCGTGGGAAGGGCCAAGCAGCAGCAAGACGTGCTGCTGCAGTAACGTGCTGCTGACGGCTCCCGTGGAAACCCGGGGTTAGATTAGCAGTTCCTGCTGAAGTACTAGGATTTTCCTGTTCTCAAACTTCACTGGAAGCTAGAGCTATCTGCAACAAATAAAACATTAATTATTCATAACCTGTCCACAGAACCCTCCTTTTAGAAGATCTGAGCTGAAGGTAAAGAGCTTGTTTCTGTAAACATGTCGTTTCAGGTCGTGAATGAGAAGCTGGAGCATTGCACTCAGCTGACAGACCTGATGAGGAGCCATCTGAGTGAGAAGCACAGCCTGAGGTTGGAGTGGATGATCGTCATCCTGATTACCATCGAGGTAAAAGACTCAAACCTCAGATATTTACCCGGTGTGAATAACAACACATCGGTTCCTTGTTTCTTTTAAAGGTCATGTTTGAACTCGCAAAGATGATCTTCTAAACTTCTGCTCCGAGAAAACGCGTCCTGCTGCTCTTCATGAAGGTATCCATTCTGGGATAAGACTTAGAATCCCAGAGAGGAGCTGCTCTCATTTTATTCTTTTGTTTTGTTGCACTGATGTTAATAAATTAATGTTTCAACAATATAGACGATTCAGTGATTCTCATTCATTAAATAACAAACTTGCTGGAAACGGGTATATTTACTTTTTTGAAAGTGCAAATTTTTTTGTTTTGATTTTCAAAATAAATTTTTGTTTATTCTTTTATAAAATATTTTGTTAAAATTTATGAAAACTTGTACATTTAGCAAAACCCATGCATACAATCTAATGTGCATGTTTTAAGATTTTAAAATAAATTATTCACATATTTTTAAATCCTAAACACCAGGATGTGTTTTAAGCGACACAATAGTTATTATTTTTTTTTGTTTGTTTCCGGGTGTTTCTCTGTAAAATATCAAGTGAAGCTGTTGAAAATATCACAAACAACACAATAAAGTTGTACAAGTTTGAATTCATTCAAATACAACAATGTTTATTTATTAAGACTCCAACAGCAGCTGGATTCATGATTTTATATCTCATTAGATTCTAAGATCTGAACAGAAACAGGAAGAAAAACAAGCTTGAGTATTTATTTAAGGCTTTTTCTGATTAAGGCTTTTGCATATTGTAAATATTTAAAGTTCATTAAAACATCAGACACATTGTCTAGTTTGCTGCAGCATGCAGGTCTTAAAAAGCCCTTATTTTCAAAAGTGTAAAGAGTAGAAACCGATCAACTCGTTGAAGGAGTAAAACACTTTATCACGTTCTGATCTCCCTGTTTTTATTGTTCTTTATCCACAAGTCATAAAATGTAATAAATGCTGAGTAACGACACGTGTGATGCGTAGCTGTTACATATCTACAAACACTAGAAAAAGATAATACGGGCTGTGTCTGGGATTACTAAAGCTTTGAGATCAGGTAAAAAAGTTCTTATTTGGTTTTGTTTTACAGTAAAACACTGAAAAGTTAAAGTGAAGCTACTGAAAGTGATTAGTTGCCTAAGTCAGGTTTCACTGACAGGCTTTTTCAGGGTCATCGTGGTTAAAAGTCCCTCTTGCCTCAGATGGCATCACTTCCTGTTTATCTCCACTCTTAATCATAAACTTTAAACATTCACATATTAGAATAGTTTGAGTTACGCTGAAATAACATGGTTCCAGATGAAGACATGTCCTCTCTCTGTTTGTCCCACCTATGAAGACAAAGACATTGACGTGATCAGTGATTGGCTGATTTATGACTCCGCTACTGCTCTACAGATTTACCTCTGACGTCCACCTGGACTGGGTTGTATTAGTCCCAGTCCACAGAGGAGCTGGTTTCCAGGTCCTCGAGTGCAACAGCAAAATCGTCCCCTTCACTCTCGTCACCGCTTCCTTTGGGTCTTTGTGGATCTCGTTGGCTTTCTTTGTCCTCTGTCTCGGGCTCGCGCACCGTTTCTGGTTCAGGTTCTGCTTGTTGTAGCGCACCTTCAGCCTCAGCGGGTTTGTCCACCATGTTTGTGGAGCCCAATGTTTCCTCTTGTCTGTAAATGTCCTCCTCAGCGTCCAGCCACACATCCTGATCGTTCTCCTCTGTTGACTCCAAAGGTTGCTTTGCTCTTGTCTCGCTGAGGATCTCCTGTGTTTGCTCTGCAGCTGGAAGCTCTAGGCTTTCTCCTTCTGTCGACTGGATAAGTTCTGGTTCTGCTGCTCCCACCGCTTGGGCAGCAGTAGTCTGTAGCACTGGCCGACTTGCTATCACTGCTCTTTGTGTTGATCGTAAATGAGCTGCTGGTTCTGTCATTTCCATTGCCCGAGTGACTTCGTTCTGCTCTGTCCGTTTCTCAGATGTTTGTGTTGCCTCTCTTTGTGGTTCTGGTTCTACGGATTCTGCTGCCTGAACAGCAGCTTCGGAAGTTTCCGTGTGTGTTTGCACCTTTGCTTGTCCAAACTGGATGTTCAGTTTGAATTCTAAGGAGAGGCTAGACGGAGACTCTACGTTAGCGGTGGATGAGATCACTCCTGCGTTCTGGGAGGTTGCTAATCCAATGCTGCTACATGTAGCTATCTGGCTTTGGGTTGTCTGAGGTCCTTGAGTTTCTTCTGCTACATCTCCTACTTCAGCTTTGGTTTCTTTAATTTCATCTTCATAATCGTAGCTGGAGAGAGCCAAACGCTCTTTGGTTCTGGATGTTTGTTTGTGATCTTCAGAGCAGCCTTGATGGTGAGTTTTAGAACGATCAGTGATGACAGCAGCCTCTTCCTCATGTCTTTCCATCACCATCTCACGTCTGATCGGCCGATCTTCTTCCTTGTTTGATTCATTTTCATCCATCTCACCTCCTCCTGTCACATCAACAACCAGCTCAGCGAACCCAGCATCTCTCTCTGATGACTCATTCTTCACATGTTCCATAATTTCTTGAACCGTCACTTTTATCTCCTCATAAATCCCGTCTTCGTTGAGGTCACCTGTGGCTGAGAGGTTCTCTACTTCTTCAATGCTTTCGTGGCAAACATCTATGACCTCTTTGACTTCTGTAACCCCAATCTTGATTGCTGTTTCAACGGATTTCTCAACTGATCTGATATCAACATCCACCACTTGAACCTGGACTCTGGGGTTCTCCTCGCTCTCCACCAAAGGAACGTGCAGCATCACAACCACCCTGCTCTCCTCTGCTGTCTCGTCCACATCATCTCTCTGTAACGGCGTCGCAGTCTCCACCACGTCATCGACCTGTGTGTCGCTCACCATTCTGTTGATCAGAGGTTCTTGAACCAGAACAAACTTCTGAAGTGAGACATCTCTCATAGTGTGTGTGACTTCGTGAGTTATGTCATCCTGATCAGTTGATGCCACCTTCAGCTCATGATCTAGAAGTTTGCCCGTTCGCTCCAGCCCTACGGTCTGCTGCAGTTCACAGAGATTCACCTCGTGAGTGGGTTCATCTGAAACTTCTGTCTTCTCCTGACGAGGTTCTGGGGTTTTCTCAGGACACATCATTGTTTCTACGACTGGAGCATCTCCTGGTTCCTCGTTGACAGAAGACACGTGAACTGCTGTCAGTCTTTGTAAGTCCTCTGCACCTTCTGGGAGGTCTTCGCCATGCTCAGCCTGAGCGTCAAAGGGAAGACTTTCTATTTCCTGGTCCTTGTTTGTCTCTGAAGCTTGATGCAGCTCTGAGCCAGCTGTGACAGCGTTATGTTCTTCTCGTTGAGGAACAGCTGGGAGGAAAGTTTGCCCTTCAGGTTCTGGAGCCGGACCTTCCTCAGCATCTGGTGCAGCTGGAGGCTGAGCTGTCTCCACATCAGTTTTGGTGATGTCTTTAACGTGAAGTAATGAAGCTTCTGACTTGGCTTTAACTTCTGTTGATTGTGTAGGATCATCTGTAACTGTTTCTATTAATGGAGATTTGATTTCCTCTTTAGGTGTTTCAGGACTTCCTGCTTCTGAAGCTAACTGAGGAGCTACAGCTTCAGGTTCTGGAATCTTCTCTGTTTTAGAATTGTTCTCTATAGTCAAAGTTTCTGGTTCCTCATTGGTTTCTAAATCTTCTGGTGGAACCGCAACCTCTGATGTTACTTCCTTTTCCAGGGGTTGATCTCCACTTTCCAGTAAAGTGGAGTCTTGTGGGATTCCTGAAGCTCCTGTGACTACAGAGTGTTTGGTGTCTTTGGAATCCTCCCTCTCAGGAACATCTGCTGGTGGTCCTGTGTTTCCTGGCTCGTTGGTTTCTTCACTGAGAGAGTCCACCTGTTTCTGTCCACCTGTATCTGATGCAGCCGGAGAAACACTTTCTAGAAACTGTACTTTGTTAAACATTTGAACGGCATCAACCTGGGACTCTAATGATGGTGTTCGTGTGGCTTCTGATGCAGCCATATCTTCAGTGAGGTCCATTTTAGCTCCATCTGCTTCTGGTTCTGTGTTTTTCTGCTCATTCGTTTCTTTGGTGGGAGGTTCTACCAGTTTCTGTTCATCTGTATCTACTTGAGCTGGTGAAACAGTTTCTGACGCTGATACTTGGGACTCTGACGTTGGTATTGGTACAAAGTCTTGGTCCATTTTTGCTCCACCTGCTTCTGGTTCTGTGTTTTCTGGCTCTCCAGTTCTTGTTTTGAGAGACTCTTCATCTGAGATCATTACTTCCTCCTTAAAAAGATGACCTCCATCCTTGAGTGTTTCTGAAGTTGGTGCTTCTACAACTTCTTGGTCGGTTTTGATTCCATCCGTTAGTGGCTCGTTGGTTTCTGGCTCACCAGGCACTTTATTTAGAGTCTTTACCTGTTTCTGATCACCTGTCTGTGCTTCAGCTGGTGAAACGCATTCTGAGAAGGAAACTTCCTCCTGGGGCTCTGATGTTTTAAGTTCTCTGGTCTCAGCACGCTCGGTTTCATCTTCATCCGTCAGTGGCTCATTGGTTTCTGACTCAGCAGGTCCTTCAGTGAGAGAGTCCACCTGTTTCTGATCATCTGTGTCTACCTCAGCTGGTGACACGCTCTTTGAGAATGATACGTCTTCATGAAGGATTAGAGCAGCATCTTCATCAGACTCTATTGTTGGGGCTGTACGTTCCTTGGTCTCCTCAGCATGCTCGGTTTCATCGCCATCTGTCAGTGGCTCATTGGTTTCTGGCTCACCAGGTACATCACTTAGAGAGTCCACCTGTTTCTGGTCACCTGTCTGTGCTTCAGCTGGTGAAACACTTTCTGAGAATGAAACTTCCTCCTGAGGCTCTGATGTTGGAGCTTGTACAACATCTTTGTCGGTTTTGGCTCCATCTGTCAGTGGCTCATTGGACTCTGGCTCAGCAGGTCCTTCGGTGAGAAAGTCCACCTGTTTCTGATCCTCAGCAGGTGAAACACTCTCTGAGAATGATTCATCTTCATGGATAATCTGAGCAACATCCTCGTCCAACTCTGATGTTGGGGCTTTAAGTTCTCTGGTCCCTTCAACGTGCTCGGATTCATCTCCATCCACCAGTGACTGATTGGTTTCTGACTCAGTTATTTTACTGAGAGACTCTACCTGGATACTTTCATCTGTGACTCTCTCAGCTGTCTTTATAGGAACCACAGCTTCCTCTGGTTCTGTTAATGAAGCTTGGAGAACATCTGGTTCTTCTTCAGCTACAGCTCCATCTGGCTCATCGGTTACTTCAGTGAGAGACTCTACCAGTGTGTGTTCATCTGTATTCACTTGAGCTGGTGAAACACTTCCTGAGAGTAATTCTTCTTCCTCAAAAGACTGAAGTGTGTGTTGTTGGGACTCAAGTGTTGGTGTCTGAACAACTTTTAGTTCTTCTGTGACGTCAACATCTCCACCATTAGCTCCATCTGGTTCTGACTCATCAGTTCCTTTAGTAAGAGACTCAACATCTGAGATTGTTACTTCCTCCTTAAAAGGAGAATCTCCCTCCTTGTGTGATTCTGGTGCTGGAGCTTGTTCTTGATGACGTTTGGCTCCATCCATCAATGGCTCATTGGTTTCTGACTCATCACTGATTGTACTGAGAAACTCAACCTGGTTTGTTGCATCTGTGACTATTTCAGCTGATGTAATCTCTTCTGAGACTGATACTTCCTTTGTTTCTAATGTTGGACCTAGTAGATGTCCCGGTTCTTCAGTTGTAGCTCCATCTGGCTTTCTGTTTTCAGGTATTTCCATGAGAAACTCAACTTGTTTGGTTTCTTCTGTATTTTTATCATCGGATGCAGTATTCTGTAAGACTAACACTTTATTTGTGGATGTGTCTACGCCCTCGTCTGGGTCCAACGTTGGAGCTTGTAGAACTTCCGATTCTTCTTCACTTTGGTCAGATTTAGCTCCAGTTGTTTCAGGATCTTTCTTCCCTGGCTCATCCGTGACTTTAGAGAGATCTTCTGTTTGTTCCGTCTCCTCTCCGTCCTCTAAGGATTGTTGTTTAAGTGATTTAACTTCTGATGCTGCCAGTGTTTCCAACTTGTTCAACTCAGGAAGTGGTTCTTCACCCTGCTCAGAAACATTCTGCATGGTCTCACCGGCCTCTTTTATGAGAATTTGGACTTCTCCTCCCTCAACAGCCACATGTGAGGGTTTAACCGTGTCGTTTTCTTCGGGGTCTGTGTCTTTCTCGTTTGGCTCCATCACATCTTCTTTGGGTACATTATCTGTAGATGCTTGTTCCTCCACTAGTTGGCTCTCATCACTTATTTCTGATTCTTCGAGGTTTTCCTGTAACTCTGAAACGGTGACCTCACAAACCTCGTCTGCAGCAGGCTCAGCAGTGTCGAACTCCTCTGTAGAAATCTCCGACACAATTTCTATTGAGAGAGCTCTGCTGAGCTGAGAGACGTTCTCCGTTTGGGCGGTTGCAGGCTGCTCATTGACAGCATCGATCTCCTCAGTGTTTAAGCCCGTTTTGAGGGCTGTTGCTTCGGATCGCCGGTGGATTTCTAGGAGTTTTGGCTGGTCCGTTACAGATGATTCCAGTATCTGATGTGAAACAGAAAAAACAACTCTTTCTGGACTTGGTTCCTCTGAGCACACTGGGACCTCTGCTGATCTTACGGAGATGGTCTGAGAAACCTGCTGCAGTACTGTCTCTGTGTCCATGACGTCGTATTCCGCTGGTACGGGTGTTGTATCACCAGAGGTTTTTGATGAGTCCGTTAACTGGGAAACAGCAGAAATCATCTCGGTTTCGTCTGCCTGCGCAGCGTCTCCTGGCTCTGGAGCGGTTATGGCCTCGGACGTGATCTCGTTCAGGTCCTCTGAGATGGTCTCGTCTCTCCGGGTTTCCTCAGCGATCGAGGCTGGACTGGGTTCTGTCAGCACACCCTCCTCTGGAATATCACTCAGCTGCTGATGATTACCGATCGAGTCTGAGCACTCATCTGGTTCCTCATGTTCTTGTGTTTCTTTGCTCTCTGGGATCTCCTTTGCTTCACCGCCATGAACTAGGACCTCCTCTGTTTTCTTATCAAGGACACCCTCTCGGAGCGCGTCTTCTGCTTTCTCTGTAACGCTTAGTGAGTCTGTCTGAAGCTGAGTCTGAACCGATGTCTCTGCTGTATCAAATTCAGACAGTGGAACCACAGCAGGTGTCTCAGAGTCTTCATCTCCTGAAGTGACTTCCTTATCAGCCTCATCAGACGATACCTGGTCGTGCTTTTCAGCAGACCTTCTGTCTTTTCTTCCTGGCAGGATTTTCTTTATGGAGAAGGAGGAATCATCTTGAGCTTCGCTGCTGCTTTCATCCTCATCTTTGACTTTTCGTTTGGGGGTGACAAGCTTTTTAAACGATTTCCAAGTTGACCCTTCCTCTCCCTCAGGAGATGACTGCTTGGGGGATGATGCCGGAACCTCTTGCACCTCGTCAGAGGGTCCTAGAGGAACCTCTTTGGGTTCACTGTCCAGTTTTTTGTCTTCGTTACCTTTCTGAGGCATTTCATCATCAGAGTCTGAGGTCTTTCGGCTTCTCCTCCTTCCAGATCTACACAAAACAGCTTCCCAAGACACGGATGAGTCTTTTCTCTTTTTTCCTTCTTCTCCACTGTGATCCGATGTTTGTTCTCCTTCACCTGGTTTTGCTCCATCAACTAGACCAGGACTTTGTCCCTCTTCACTATCCACAGAAGGCCTCTTCACACGTTTTTGAGGAGTCATAAGTTTTTTGAAGGAAGCCCATGCCCCGTCTTCTCCACCCACTACCTTAACAGGTGGTTGTGATGGAGTTTCCTCCTTCTGGTTGTCTGCTGACTCAGTAGAAGACAGCAGGTGATCAGAACTGTGTTCTCCAGAGTCTGACAGCTTTGCATCACTGGACCTTCTGCTTCTCTGCTTTTTGGAGAGCTTCTTTAAACTGGAGCCAGACAGGAGCCTTTTCAGGGGACTGGCTTGAACTCTGTCCTTTTCTTGAGAGTTCGGTATTTCGTTCACAGCTATGGAAGCAGGTTTAGCTTCATCTGTAAGGTTCTCCTGTTGGTGTTTTTCAGCTGTGGCTCCTTCAGTAGCAGGAGGAACCTTCTCCTCTGCATTTGGTTGCTGACCTTGGTCTGTTGACTCGGCAGTCACGTTCTCCCCCATGTCTAACAGCTCTTTCCCGGGTATGCTATCGTCTACGAGGCTCTTTTTCTTTCGAAAGCTAGAGAAGATTCCAGTTGTGAAAAACTTTTTAAACTGGGTAGCAATCTCCTTCTCATCTGGACTAGTGGGAGACGATGGACGTGCTTCCTCTTCAGGTGCAACGTCCTCACTGGCTGGTGAAGCTGTTCCTGCATCCTTCTCCTTGGTCCCTGTTGTTTCCTCCTCTGGAGGCGTAACGTCTGTCAGTGTCTTGTAGGTTGTTGAGTCATCATCACCAGCCTCCCGTGCTGTGTTCAGATCCTGTTGATGGTTCTCTGCTGTTACTTCAGGTGAAGAATCCTTGATGTCCTCCGATTGCTTCTGCTCCTCCTCAGGCTCGTGTCGTGTTATTTCATCGCTGTCAGCAGAGCCTCTCTTTACTGTGACTTTTAGGCCAATGTTGCTGAAAAACTTCCTAAAACTTTCATTAACATCGTTCTGCTTGGCGTCCACTTTGATCGTTTCTTGTGGTCCAACTTGATCAGCTTCACCCGGCAGCTCAGTCTCTGCTGGTGTTTCTTGGTTTGTTGGTAGATCTGAAGCATCTGTGTCTGCAGAGACAGCTAAACAAGAAAAGGGTTTCATCATTATAGTACGCTTAAATGAAACAAGTGGTGCTTCTGTTGAAGCATTGTTTAGATCAGTAGAGATGTAGAAATTAAACGTACCTTCCACTGCAATCTCGTCCTCACAGAGATCATTAAACCCTGCTGTTGAGTTTTCTGCTTTTCTGTGGATCTCCGAGAGCTGCCCGTTTGTTCTGAGAACCTGAAACAAACACGTGAGTTCTTCATGCATGAAGTCAACAATAGATCTGCCTTTAAATTCATTTATTCATCGATCGCAAAGAAGTTTCTGTATCTATCTACAAGGGGAGTAAAACAGCTGATCAGAGGCTTGTTTTAATGTGAAAGGAAACAGAAAATGTCTGTCTGTGATCACTGGAGTTCCCTGCCTCCTGAATCCTGTTTTCTAAACAAACAATACAATCCAATCTCTGCTGGTCGAGGGTGCTGGCGACCTTTCGCTTAACTGTCCTAATTGCCTAAATCTCAAGTCCATGAGATGGATTAGTGCGGAGTCTGAGCCGGGTTTAGGGAATAAGCAACGCACGCCAGACAAAGATGTGGAGCAACTTTCTAAAGACATAAATATAAAAAATTACATGAGGAGATGTTCCTACAACTGTAAAAACACTAACATTATGTGCAACTTCATGTGACATCACGATCATCAGTTGGCACTCAGGGTGTGGATGACTCTCAGCTACTAATATTAGCCTAATAACGGTGAAATTACAGACAGGGCCATCTTGAGTTAGGTTGACCTTAAAAAATAATGATAAAGGTGTTGCACAACGAGCAGCACTTGGAGTTTCTGATGATGACGACGCTAAACTGCAGCCACTCCAGGTTTCAGCTCAACAGCAGCTAAATTTATCCAAATTACTGGAATTTCGTTGTTTAAGTCAGGTCAGCCATCTTTAATTGACTCCAAGAGTAAATTGGTTACAGAAGTACACCCATGGAAAACTTTATTAATGTTTCATTAAGAAAAACACTAACCGTATAAAATAAATAAAACACTTTTTTAGAATTATTCTCATGATCTACATGTAATTTTAATAGCTGCATACTGAAATTCACCAGATTTAGAGAATTATACGATGCCAACAGGACAAATGTCATAATATGATTATAACGTGTTCATTTCAGTTGTCAATTTTAAAACTCTATTGATTGAAAAGTTTTGGGTCATGGGTAAGCACAGAAGATATTTGATTAATTCCACAATTTATCTAGTATAAAATAGTTTTATTTGATATTAAATCCAAATTTTTCTCCCTTTGCACGACTAATGATGAAATACTAAAGTACATCATAAAAAAAACTTTTTTTATGTGGAGCATCAACTTCCTGCACAGAGCTGTCAGTTGGACTTCCTGTTGAACCAGAGCAGGTAATGATGCTGTACACAAAATAATCAATGGTGCCTTCTGCTGAGTGCTGCGAAGAGGAAATTGTATCCCTCTCAGGGGCTTCAGACTGACTTTAGTGAATTAAAAATCATTGCAACAGTCATGACACAGAGTCAGCAAGATGTTCAGAAGAAAACTGTTTTAAAAGGTCAAAATTCTTAAAATTGTTTTATCATTTTAGGGGGAGACATGGCCTCGTTTTACTTTAAACATGTTGCCTAGAGAGCCAGGCCATTTTAAAAGGCAGATAGTTAGCTTGTGTTCTGATGGATGCATCACTTTTGAAGGACAAGGAGTTTTCTTTTAATGGATGAGCTGGCAGCAGCATCCTCACTGTCCTGACAACAAAACTCAGCCTCAGCATCTTCCCAGCTTCTTTTCCAGCTGAATCTCTGCAGCGTTTATAAGCTCTGGAATCAGAAAGAGATCCTAACAGGATGAATCACACGTGCGTTTTTTTCTCTCGGGATTTAAATCAGTCGATACCTTATCAGATAGGTTTTGTTCAGGTTCAGCATCGATCACTTCTCTCTCTTCCTCCTCCACTGCTGCATCGCTTTTTGCCTCCCGTTGCGCCGACTGAGTGTCTCCCATGACGATTGGGTCTGCAGTGCCTCAGAATCCAAACAACCATAGAAGTGATGAAAATATCCCACAAGGAGAGAAACAAGCCTGCAGCTCTGTGAGCCGAGAGGGAAGGTCAGCTCCCCAATGCTGCAGCCAGGATGTTGGGAAACTAGTTTTTTCTTCAGCAGGACTCCTCCCTGTCAGATCACATGAAGCTAAACGAGCCCAGTCCGGCCGGGCTCGCCCCCCCCACTGAGTGCATCAGAGATGGAAAGAAAAAGCAGAGAAAACAGCTTCATGGCTGATGGATGTCAACACAACAAACTTGAAGCACAATTCACACTAGGCTTAGGGTTAGATTTTTAAGAAGTACTTTATTTAGCTAAATAGTTAACAGCTGCTTTCTTTTGTGCCTATAATTTGATCATTTGTTGCTTTGTTGGACCCAGGGGTGTCCAAAATGCAGCCTGTGGGCCATTTGTGGCTCGTGCATTGATGTTGTTAGGTTCCTGGATCCATTTTTTATGGTAAGAATTTCAAATGAGATGCTTGGTTAAAGGTGTGGAACACTGAAAAAAAATTTCAAACTGATTATAATTGATCACTCTGACTTTTTCATGCAGACTGAACATGAACACAGTCTCCTACACCTATCTCCTGCATTAGCTTCTGATAGAAAACAGACGATGAAACTCTAGGATTTGAAAATCCTGACAGATCTATGTCACACTTTCACTTAACTCATTCACTGCCGGCCCTTTCCTGATCAGAAAAGTCCTTCGCTGCCAGTGTTTTTCAGCGTTTTTACTATTTTTTTAAGAGTCACAGAACGTGCGCAAGGATGATGTCAACGCCAAAACTACCGAAACAAAGAGGAGACTTACCTCTTACATCAGATGGAATCTGCGCGTTTCGAGCTTTATCCGTTCTTTCATAATCCGTTGTCGAATTGTGATTGGCAGAAGCTTTTCCGGTTCGCACCTCACTTTTTTTTTTTTACAGCAGCGGCCTAAAATAATCTCCTAACACGTCGATTTTCTGCTTCCTGGTCACATGATGTGTGACGCACGCGGATGAAGATTGGCGTCAGAGCTGGGATGTTTGTTCTCACGGTGCGGGGGCTCGTTCCGACGCCCACACAGTAAAAAATGCTAATGACAACTTTAGACATTATTGGCAGTAAATGTGTTAACATTCATGGACTCATCTTGACTTACGACGAGGAAGGCTGTTGTTAGTTTAGCGTCCAGGAAACAGCAGAGAACCTCTCGGCTAGTAGAAGCTAGCTGTTAGCATTAGCAACTGCACCACATGACAGAACTTCTCCTGGCTTGTGCTATTTGTGGAGATAAAACATCAACATTGCAGAGCGAACAAAGTCAGAGTTGGAGTCGCGCTTGTTATCCAATCAGAGGTGAATGTCCAAATATCCCAAATCCTCCAAATCCTGCCTATGATCTGGCAGTCTTCTAGATCCTTAACCATGGGCTTTTTGTACCCAGAGCACAACTTACAAGGTGTTCATTCCTACTAGAGACCAGCTGTCTGAAGCTCTCCTCTGATGTGGCAGTTTTCTTGTTCCTTAAACTGGTGCTCCAGAGCTCTGTTAGGTTTAGGGCACCAGTTTAGAGTCAGATTAACAAGAATGCATGGTGTAATAGTTATTATTCATATAACACTGAAACCACTATGATTTAGCAGCTTTTACTACCACCTTAAGAAGCATGAACTCATCAGGCACTTTTCTTCAGTTTAACTGAACTTTATTAAAGTTTGCTGCCATTTTTTTATCTCATCCCTTCATAATCTGACTGCAGCACTAATTTCTAACTGGAGTAGACCATTGCAGCCCTTTACTTCGTTGCAGATCTACTGTTTGGAGTAATTTTATGACTCTGGTCAAAGCCTCAGCTCTTAGACGGATGGACTCATATTTGACTCTCAACCACTACAAGGTGTTCAGGTGTTGAAGCTGCAAACAAGACCAAATCATCACCTCTCCACCCCCGTGCCCGGGTGTGTTTTCTACTGATGTGCCAAATTAATTCAATTTTTGTCGGTTTTCTCCATGCAGCATCCTGCCATGGTCAAGTCACGTCTTCAAGAAATTAAGATTGATTTAATATGAGAGAACACGAGTTAGGTGAAGGGTGAGACAAAGAACGGTTCGAAGGATCTTTCATGGCGGTTAAAACGAAGAGTCGGAGTACCCGGCCCGGAGGGTTACCGGGGTCCCACCCTGGAGCCAGGTCTGGGGTTGGGGCCCGTGAGCGAGTGCCTGGTGGCCGGGCTTTCGCCCATGGGGCCCGGCCAGGCCCAGCCCGAACCGGATACATGGGCTCGTCCAACTGTGGACCCACCACCCGCAGGAGGAACATGAAGGGTCCGGTGCAATGCGAATCGGGTGGCAGACCAAGGCGGGAGCCTTGGCGGTCCAATCCCCGGACAAGAAAACTAGTTTTTGGGACATGGAACGTCACCTCGCTGGCGGGGAAGGAGCCGGAGCTTGTGGCAGAGGTTGAGCGGTACCGGCTAGATATAGTCGGACTCACCTCGACACATTGCATTGGCTCTGGAACCCGAGACCTGGAGAGGGGTTGGACACTCTACTTTGCTGGAGTTGCTCCGGGTGAGAGGCGGAGGGCTGGGGTTGGCTTTTTGTTAGCCCCGAGACTCTCTGCCTGTGTGTTGGGGTTTACCCCGGGGGACAAGAGGGTAGCTTCCTTGCGCCTTCGGGTCGGGGAACGGGTCCTGACTGTTGTTTGTGCTTATGGGCCAAATATCAGTTCAGAGTACCCACCCTTTTTGGAGTCCCTGGGACGAGTGCTAGATAGTGCTCCATCAGGGGACTCCATTGTCCTGCTGGGGGACTTCAATGCTCACGTGGGCAATGACAGCTTGACCTGGAGGGGTGTGATTGGGAGGAACGGCCCACCTAATCTGAACTCGAGCGGTGTTTTGTTATTGGACTTCTGTGCAAGCCGCAGTTTGGCCATAACGAACACCATGTTCGAACATAAGGATGCCCACCGGTACACTTGGTACCAGGGCAGCCTAGGTCACAGGTCGATGATAGATTTTGTAGTCGTATCATCTGACCTGCGGCCGTATGTTTTGGACACCCGAGTGAAGAGAGGGGCGGAGCTGTCAACTGATCACCACCTGGTGGTGAGTTGGATCAGATGGCAAGGGAACATGCCGCGTAGACCTGGCAGACCCAAACGCATAGTGAGGGTCTGCTGGGAACGCCTGGCAGAAGAACCTGTCAAGACGGTCTTCAACTCCCACCTCCGGCAGAGCTTTGACCACGTCCCGAGAGCAGTGGGGGACATTGAGTCCGAGTGGGCCTTGTTCCACTCTGCGATTGTCGAGGCGGCTGTTGCTAGCTGTGGTCGTAAGGTGGCCGGTGCCAGTCGTGGTGGCAACCCCCGTACCCGCTGGTGGACACCAGAGGTTCGGGGAGCCGTCAGGCTGAAGAAGGAGGCCTACAGGGCGTGGCTGGTCTGTGGGTCTCCGGGGGCAGCAGACAGGTACCGGATAGCCAAGCGGGGTGCAGCAGTGGCAGTTGCCGAGGCAAAATCTCGGGCGTGGGAGGAGTTTGGTGAGGCCATGGAGAAAGACTATCGATCGGCTCCAAAGAGGTTCTGGCAAACTGTCCGGCGCCTCAGGAGAGGAAGGCAGCAACTCGCTCACACTGTTTACAGTGGGGATGGGGAGCTGCTGACGTCAACTGAGGCTATAGTCGGACGGTGGAAGGAATACTTTGAGGAGCTCCTCAATCCCACCAATGCGCATTCCGAGGAGGAACCAGAGCTGGGAGGCCTGGAGATGGACTGTCCGATCTCGGGGGCAGAAGTTGCTGAGGTAGTCAAACAACTACACAGCGGCGGAGCCCCAGGGGCGGATGAGGTTCGTCCTGGGTATCTCAAGGCTATGGATGTTGTAGGGCTATCATGGTTGACACGTCTCTACAACATTGCGTGGTCATCGGGAGCAGTTCCTAGGGAGTGGCAGACCGGGGTGGTGGTCCCCATCTTTAAGAAGGGTGACCTGAGGGTGTGTTCCAACTATAGGGGGATCACACTCCTCAGCCTCCCTGGAAAGGTCTACGCCAAGGTACTGGAGAGGAGGGTCCGATCGATAGTTGAATCTCAGATAGAGGAGGAGCAGTGTGGTTTTCGTCCTGGCCGTGGAACTGTGGACCAGCTCTATACCCTTGCAAGGGTGATGGAGGGGGCATGGGAGTTTGCCCAACCAATCCACATGTGCTTTGTGGATTTGGAGAAGGCTTATGACCGTGTCCCCAGGGGCACCCTGTGGGGGACGCTCCAGGAGTATGGGGTGGGTGGCTTTCTGTTAAGGGCCATTCAGTCCCTTTACCAGAGGAGCGTGAGTTTGGTCCGCATAGCCGGTAGTAAGTCGGACCTGTTCCCAGTGAGGGTTGGACTCCGCCAGGGCTGCCCTTTGTCACCGGTTCTGTTCATCACTTTTATGGACAGAATTTCTAGACGCAGCCGTGGTGTGGAGTGTGTCGAGTTTGGTGGCAGGAGAATCTCGTCTCTGCTTTTTGCGGATGATGTGGTCCTCCTAGCTTCATCCAGCTCTGACCTTCAGCTCTTGCTGGGTAGGTTCGCGGCCGAATGTGAAGCGGCTGGGATGAGGATCAGCACCTCCAAATCTGAGACCATGGTTCTCGACCGGAAAAGGGTGGCTTGCCACCTCCGGGTCGGGGGAGAGGTCCTACCTCAAGTGGAGGAGTTTAAGTATCTCGGGGTCTTGTTCACGAGTGAGGGTAGGAGGGATCGGGAGATCGACAGGCGGATTGGTTCGGCGTCTGCAGTGATGCGGACGCTGAGCCGATCTGTCGTGGGGAAGAGGGAGCTGAGCCAGAAAGCCAGGCTCTCGATTTACCGGTCGATCTACGTCCCAATCCTCACCTATGGTCATGAGCTTTGGGTAATGACCGAAAGAACGAGATCGCGGATACAAGCGGCCGAAATGAGTTTCCTCCGTAGGGTGGCCGGGCTCAGCCTTAGAGATAGGGTGAGGAGCTCGGACATTCGGGAGGGACTCGGAGTAGAACCACTGCTCCTCCGGATCGAAAGGAGCCAGTTGAGGTAGTTTGGGCATCTGGTCAGGATGCCTCCTGGACGCCTCCCCGGAGAGGTGTTTCGGGCATGTCCTGCCGGCAGAAGGCCCCCGGGTCGACCCAGGACACGTTGGAGAGGTTACATCTCCAATCTGGTCCGGGAACGCCTTGGGGTCCTGCCGGAGGAGCTGGTGGACAAGGCCGGGGAGAGGACGGCCTGGAGCTCCCTAATTGGGATGCTGCCCCCG